CTCATGTTAGTTATATACCAACAAACTCTTTATCGTCTTCTTCATGGAAAAATTATTTGTTTATTATAACTAAAGTGGTTACTCCCACCTACACTTATAAGATGACAACAATTTATTATGTACGTTTGTATTAAAAGTATTGCAAAATATTCGAAAAATATTAAAAGTATTGTTTTTTTTTTTTCTGTAATACAAATTACACGTGATCGACGAAAATTTTATTTGCTTTAAGTACTTTGTAATAGTTATGTACATAACCAATCTGAAATCTATGCTTTTTTAGTTAATTTTATTTACCTACAGCCGATACTGCTAATAAATATACCTTACTAAACCTTTGGAAACATCCAAATTCCGAAACCACTATGTCTTGGTCGCAATATATGTCCCTATTCATCAAGTACACACGTGAGCAGATTTAAATCTGTCTCCAAGCTACCGTAGGCTACGTCACTAGTGTTGCCTAATTATCAATGGGTATCGATTTATTAATCGATAGTTCGATTGACACTACAAATGATACAAGAATCGATATTACAATATATAACCTATTAGTAATTAAAATACTATCTAAAATATTATAAAGAGAAATAATTTGATTATTTGTTTATAATGGATAAATTAAAAAATGACTTAACCTATCTTAATTATTTCGCCAATAAAAAGTTATTTTATTAGCGAGTAATATGGGCATTATTTTATTTAAAAAAAAAACATGCGAAACTGAGGCGAGTTGTTAGTTTATAATATTACCTATGTGTTGTTTTAAACTAGGTACCAACACAAATGATAATTTTATATCAACAATGCATAACGTTATACATCAATACTGTTGATTTAATCTGATACTATCGATATTAATTTGATATTATGAAATAGACCAATCAATGTTTAGATTATTCTGGATGAAAACTATCGATTAATTTGATAATCGATTCGTAGGCAACACTGCGCGCCGCACCACACCCTCACCACACTGCACACAGTGCGTTACCGTGCGTGAGACGCGTTACAAACGGCCCGTCTTTTAGGAGTCCCCTGAATGTAAAATCACCTTTACCTAAGAAGTTGGATGCCACGACGATTAAATATATGGGGTGATTTTTAAGATTTAATGCACCATAAACTTATTTTTGGGATACTTCAAAAAGAAGGTCCTTAATGCGTTTACCTATATTTTTTATGTGATATCTACGCGATATTTTCATTGATTCTAAACCAATTATGATAGATTATTCTACAATCCATGGGGTTTACTCCCGTAAAAATTCCACGTTAATGTTGCCACGATTGCAATCGCTGTTTTGGTTTGCGCGGCAAAATCTACTTGCTTTTTTTTTTTTTATACGAGGACTCTACTGTTTTAAAGATTCAAACAAGATCAATATACTAAATTCGTCATATAAGTGTCATATCTATTTTACACTCAATGATAAGATTAATTGCTTTATGGTCCCGGTATAGAATGAACCACCCGTGCCTTTCCCATGAGTGCCGTAAAAGGCGACTATACGAACTAAATGGTCAAAGGATGTGCAGCAGCGACCCTCTTAAAACATCACCAAAAGCTAAATTGCGGTTGTCAACCTGCCTGCCAAGCGTGGCAACTACTGACAACCCCCCAACCCTCCTCTAATAGTAAACTGTCATAAGGAAAGTCCTCGTTCCTTATGACTCTATGGAGAGGCCTATGTTCATTGGATAATAAAGGGCTGATTTAATGATGATGACGATATAACTATAATAAAATCTATAATGAAAACACCATTAAGTATATCTTCACTTTTGATGGATACATGTTTTCAAGATTCTTTCAGATAGCCCTTATACTTGTTCGCCACCGGTAAGTAGTATAAAAAAGACTACGGAACCCATAAGCTAAAATTGATCGCAACCATCTGGGCTCGACGGATAAAATAAGTAGACCCCGGAAAAAGTTCACAGTGAAATGAAATCGTTTATCCTCCAACAGAATAACGTATGACGTAGGCATTTCGCATGCAAATTAGATTGATTCTCTTTTGTCAAATTACATTGAGACTATTCAATACACAGACACAGTTGTCTTGGAGACACGTACCGTGTAAGCAGGAAGAAGATATTAGAGTAACAAAGGCATAGAGAAGGATTTTTGGAAATGTCTTCATTCTAAAATTTTGCAGTAAAAAAATTACTTCACTAATATTGTAGTGTCAATATGCAACGATATAATAACATATAGCCAACATCAAGTGACGTCAGTAACCCATTTTACGAGTACATTCTAAAATGTTATCGTTACATATTCTTACATTACGTTTTCTTCTTTTTTTAAACGACTTCATAAAAAAGGTGCTTTTTCAATTTTACTCTACTCTTTTATATGTGTATTTCGCAAGATATTTGTCAATTCAAAGACAATTTGACTATTTTTTTATCGAATGTATTTAAAACTCTCGTGTTTTGTCTATGTCACACTAAACTCTTCAAGATTGTAATCGGTTTTTTGTATTATAAATGAATGAATCTAGAAATAATAGACTAATAATTTAACAATATAAAATGAACATAATTAAGACATCTACGCCGCAGACAGTTTCTAATTTCTTCAAATACGCCGACGTCCGAACTTTCTACGTCACAAAAGGACTTATTAAAAGTTTACTGTATTTAATATTCACCCCCTAAAATTACAATAATGAGCAGAATTGAATGACAATGTCAAAAGTTCGTTCATCGTAATTGATTGACAAAATACTTATTATACGCAATTGTACAGGTCTACAGTTTAAATAAATAATTTCAATATTATTTGAAAGCACAATTATAATAAGTGCCAAAGTAACACGGAGATTCGGGATATGGATTTCGTAGTGTAGAGAAATGATCCTTGAGACGCCCACACACTCAAGCCGAGTGGTGAGCTCAACTTGGGTCCCATTACAGTGCAAACACTACGTTTTCACCAAACAATATTTTGTATTATTCATGTGTAATACGAGTAGAGTACGTTTGTATTATTTTTATATATAAAATACATACGTTTTATTTCATGATTTCTTTCTTTTGTAAATGAATCGATATATTTTACAACATCTATTTTGATAGAAACTCGAAAGAAAAGAAGAAGAAGAAAGAAAGTATTCATAGAATTATGTGACTCACACAGTAGCATAAATGAAAAAACTAAGTATAATAATGTGATTAAAAATAAATGTAAACAAACATAAATAAAAAGTGCAAGTGTGTGTCGCAATGTTCTGTGAAATAGGTCTGTGCTCAGTATATTACTGCAGCGTTTGAGGTTCTACAGCGCTGTTTTTTCAGCAGAAACTACTGGTGGGCCAGTGTACTCCCTACATCTCTCCTGGTAAAAGTACGAAAAATATAGTAGAAATAAAAAAATAATAATAAGACTTGCCATAAAACATAAAGCTATACATGCCCTTCGATTGTGTTAACATCAATATAGGACCAATATTGGTTTAAAACTTACAAAAAGAATCATCAAAATCAGTTACGAAAATATCGGCTAACATACACATGAAAAACTTCCTCCTTTTTGAAATCATTTAATAAATAAAAATATGTACAGCTAAAAATATAATAGTAAAGATGGTGCTCTAATCAGTCAAGTTGTCCACTGCTGAACGTGATGAACAAAACTGATCCTCTGCTATTTGCGTCCCTCAAATCCCTACTACACATTTGAAGTCTTCTCTCCATTTAATCTAGAATTCGTCATACGAGTATGTCTATAGAAGTCATTAGTCAAAAGGGCTTTCTTTTTCAATATTCGAATAAAATAAAATTCGAAATTATTTTCAAAATTATTTTCGAGTTTTATTTTAGACGATTTCTACTTTAACTTGCTAATTCTTCAGAGTACTTTGTACGGATGTTCGCCACAACACCGATTCGCTCAATGATAAGTTAATTTCACAATATTAATTATTGTCGCAATAGTGGCTGCCATATTGGGTTCTTCAAAACTTCAAGGTTGGCAACAAACACATGACACGCCTGATGTTACAGGCGTCCATAGACTACAGCAACTATTTACCATCAGACGGACTATATGTTTATTTGTCACTTTTGTGGTGCAAAAAAAATCTATTAAACGCTTGTACAAATTATTTGACAAAAATAAAAAAAAAATACGGGTAATTATAAACATGGCGAAAATTACTCGAGTTAAATTAGCTGTGTTACAGCAAAACAAAGGGTCCATTAATCCAACATCATCGTTGTGCCGTCTGCCGCGGTCGAGGCAGCTACTTATTTATCAAAATCAAAGCCTTTGTTTCACTAAAATAAAAACGTTCTATTATGTTATATTTATTAATAGGTCAAATATCTCTGCGTGACCAGAATGTTTTTCATTTTTTTTATACTACTAAAGCGGCAAACAAGCATACTGTCCACCTGATAGTAAGCAGTTACCCTAGCTTGTTTTTCATCATTTTTCTATGCCAAATATCACATATTTACCAAATTTCATGAGTTTCAATTCATTGGTTGAGCTGTAATTATTGCGTCAAAATGTAACAAACAAACAAACTCACTTTATTAAATTCGTAACTCACTTAAAATCACAAATAATTGTTTGGTTAAGTTGCTAAGAATCTCCTTCATTTTTGTATTATCGGTTAAAAATTAATTAAACATACAATATTAGTACCGGCTTAGAATTGGCCACCCCTTCCTTTCCCGTGGGTGCTGTAAGAGACGACTAAGGAGGGCGAGTTATGGGCAACAGCGACCCTCTTAAAACATCTCCAAAGCCTGACAACGGTTGCCAATCCGCCTGCCAAGCGTAGCAACTATTGGCAAGACACCCGCAAGGAGGATGCTTATGTTAACAACTGACAGTAAAAGGCTGATATGATGACGACGATGAAGATACTAGTATTAATTTTAACAAGCCATATGACTATATTATTTAGAGAATTCAAACGAACATTTTACTAAATGTGTTTATTTCTGTAATGTAATTAATAATTTAATTTATTTTGTTACAGATGACCATAAATTAAAAAAGAAGAAGGAACCTTTTTAACATTTTAAAAGGTAAGGTTTTTATGTTAAATCAATATAATAATAAATAATCCTTATTAATATTATAAATGTGAAAAAGAGTTTGTTTGTTTGTTATCTTATAGCACCTTAACAACATACATACATACATATCTGTCACGCCTGTCTCCCATTAGGGTAGGCAGAAACAATGGAACGCCAAATGCTTCGATTCAAACAAACCTCTTTCGCTTCTTCCACATTCATCAATCCACCTTAACAACTTAACCAATAACTATAAAATTTGATATACATGTACTATATGGGATGGAGAAATAAATAAGTATAATCTAATTATATAGGCTACTTTTTACGCCGGTCAGTAAATATATCCCGGTCCCGTGGACGAAGTCGCAGGTAAAAGCTAGTACTTGATTTATTATTAACTTTTTTTTTAAATACAGACAAACTTAAAAATATACTTTGACGTAAGATTTAAGAATATAAAAATACACGCGTTCTTATAATTACATCAAAAAAATAACGTTATCAGAACAATGCATTCAATCCGATTTGTTGCTTTACCTTCTACACCTATTTCGTATAATACTCGTACAAAAATATGTTTCTACCATGATAAACTTTTCCCGCCTTTCATCGTTTGTTATTATAATAATTTAGTTATAAATTTAGTTACTTACAGTTACTTTTGATTAAAATGAATTTCTTAATATTAAATCTTTTTTTATTCAAAACTTACTTGAGATTCAAATATCACCTGGTAGGTAGTAGGTATATAAAACTTTTCTTGACTATTGATTATTATGATAAATTCCCAACATAAAACGAGTTAAAATTTAATAACCTCTCTAAAAGCTATATATTTTATCTCTTTTGCATTTTCTATTTTTGTACAAAATATATTTTTTGCAGTTTAGGCATTACTTAGAACAAAAAAAAAGTATAAATTAATTGTATGCAACCAGTTCATTAAATTTGAAAAATTTACTCTGTATGTAGTTAAATATTTTTATACAAATATTATGAAATAAATAAAAATAAATATAATACTATGAATATATTGGGTTTATTTTCTAAATGTTTATATTCTATGAGGGAGGCCTGTGTTCAGCAGTAGACTGGTAATGGCTGAAATGATGATGATGATATGTAAATGGTTGCATAGATTTATTTTCCAGCTTCATCAATAAAACGCTAGTGTCATGTCTTATAAAATGTAGTGATTACTTAGGACACAGGTATTATTCTTAATCTATGGATTACTTATTCTGTGGTTTTAGCGGTAATCTATAATCTGTAATGTAGCTTATAAATTACAAATGTCGCTACAATTTAAACAAATATAAATTTTATAATAATTCACAATGGGAAAACGATTATTGTAACAAAGTCCCACAATGGATCGGCAATTCCTGGCACGTTTAATTGATAGCACCATTAGCGATCTAGCATCTTAAATTATTATCCCGGATAGAGAAAACTATCCGACCAAGAGCGGTAATAAGTTTTACGTGTACACGTAGCGTATATATGTACGTACATGTTTACTCTCGTTAGCTTAATTCACGGTAGGTAATGCTTTTACCAGTTACTCCTCTATCACCAGTAAATGGACTTGTATAAAAACTAAAGATCGGACAAGAATGTAGCGCTTGTATGGATGGCTTGCTAGTTAGGTTTACTAAATAGAATACTTAACAAATATTAGCTTGTAGTGTCATTAAATCAACTAGTATAATAATACAGAAAATAAATAGTAAATAATAGTAGGTACTTTATGAATAATAAAATCTTTACACTTATTGTTTACATGTTCCATTATGTATTGATCATATCTACATGTTGCCCATAGAATTTCTGATTATTACTTAGTAGTTTTGTTATTAATAACAAAAAAGTATGTATGTGCTTCTTATAGATCAACAGATTTCCACGAAATTCCAAAAAATCTCATAATTACACAAAATGTTCGCACGTACATAGGTTTCAACATAGAACTCGTATGTGCATAAGTCTCTATTCACAATTCCCACCCACGTCTATATCTCAGTATATATGTATGTTGAAGCAGCATGTTGACTATATCAGCCAAGATTAGAAAGGAGTTTACCTCTAAAACTACACTCAAAATTTAATACACAATACTATTAAAATAATAATTGCTATAGACTCCCAATAATGGCAAAAAGCCTTAAAAATAAAGTATGATAATCAATTTATGACCTTAATGCCACAGCGGTAAGCATACTGTTTTGCGTAATGAGATCCCGGATTCAGTTCCTAATTGAGCCAATTTAGAAAACTAAACTTTTCTAAATTAGCTCGAGTCTGGCTACTTTCAGTTTATCCCCAGATATTCGTTGGCTAGTTTTTCATAATACGGGTATCCCAGCTTGACGTCCAGACGATTGGTATGATTGTGAGGTACTTAGAAAATTTAAGCTTAATCCCATTACAAACCCAAAAGTCAAAACGTAATAATAAAAAATAAAAACACAAATATTATTGAACAAATTACCCAATCATCTAGACCCAAACCAAGGAGAGCTTTTACTATGTGTCAACTGATAAAAAAAAATACTTGCACAATCACCTTAAAAGTTTAACGGATTTAATAATTTTTTTTTGTAAACGGATAGATTATATCCTAACTTCAAATATACAATACTTTATATAATATATTGATGCAAACGTGCAACGCCGCAAGAGATAGTAAACTATAAATGGTGATAGTGATGAAAACGTACATGTTCCAAATTAAAAAGGTTTTATTAATCACTTTACACCTTTTTTATTACTAAAAAGAACTTGCAACATGAACATAACAGTCTTAATTGAATTACTAATGCTTAATTGGATTACTGTCACTTCAGTGGTATAAAAAAAATTTAATATCAATCTGAGAGATGTGTTTGCTTGTTAACAAATCTTTTACAAAATAACCATAAAACATTAGCTTTCTTCTTTTAATTATATACTTCCAGCCTCCAAGTTCGTTTCCCGTTGCTTTATCAGCCATCGGCCCTTTAAATAAATTTCGAGACCACCCACTATTTTAATATCTATATCTGAGTTGATATGTAACAGTGGCTGAGTAACAACACGGTACTAACCCGAAAAAAGCTCTTAACATTTATAAGAATGTTTTTACCTTATATTTAATGATATGTACATATATTTTCTCTAATTTTTATGATCTTAGATTATAATAACTTACACATAATATTACGTCGCCTCTATAAAAGAAGCATTTAATTTAATTTACAATACAATTATCTAGTTCTTGTTCTTACACTTCAGTTTTAAATGAAGAGGTAAATGATTTTTTTATCAAACGCAATTCTATAGTAGGTAATACTCGTATATAAACGGAATACTACAAGTGCAGTTGTGATATATACCTTTGCATGTCTTTAAACTACTAAAGAAATAATATGTTAAGACAGTACCTAGTTATCTAGAAAAACAAGCCTTTAAAACTCTACATAACTGTATTTTCAATGTTTTTCTATTATACTTTACAAACTTGTACTAGTAAATTTGTAAAAAAAATAATAGAAAAATCGATTCGTGCCAGGCGTCAATGAATACTTACAAACGATTAATTAAACAATGTCAACATTGGTGAGTATCAGGTGCAAAATAGCGAATTGACGAAGCGTAAAATCGCCAAAAGGAAAATTGGCGGGAAAACGACACACCCATTAATTTGCATCATTAATCTTTGGACCCGAACCGATTCCATGCGATCTGTCACGGAAACAGCCGATTGCATCCCAACCCGACACAATCATTACGAACAAAGTACCTCTATCTACCTATCGTAGACATCAGATAGGTACATGCGGATAACGGTGTATGTGCAGGACTGTGTTTATTTATTTAGGAATGTCGATAGATATGTACTTTAACAATAGATTAAGGAATAATCTTGAACATCATGCTACGATCGGTGACACCTCCTTATAAACGTAAATACATACTTAAACATAGACCCTCAATTTTCGGGAGGAAAGTGATTGTTAGTAATGGAGACTAAGAATCCCATTGCTAGCAATACACCCAACCAGGTAGAGCTCCACGCGGTTCCCCCTGGCAACTATCATGGTTCATTTCTGATGGATTCGTCATGATGGGCTAACTGGCCTGTTTTCATTCTCATCGATCACCCTTTACTAGTGCCCCGCTACGCTAGCGCAGGCGGGGTGATCATTCCATTTTCACACATTAAAAAAAGCCCTCAATTTTTTAAGCCTTTAATTGCCTATTGCTGAACATAAGCCTTCCCTTGAGGGGTTTTGCCAGTAGTTGTCACGATTGGTAGACGTATTAGCAACCACAGTTAAGCTTTAGAAATGTTTTAAGAAGGACTTTGCTGCCTATCTCTCGCCCTCCTTAGTTGTCTCTTACGACACCTACGGGAAAGGAAGGAGTGGCCTATTTTATGCTGGGACCACACGACTATTATATTATAGATTGTACATTTGTAATAACATATTTGAGCTATATTACTGAAGCCATCTATTTCTGATGATTAAGCTGATGTGTACATTACCATAAATACATCGAGATTTTAGGCAATTCAATATGTAAATTCAATATGTAATTCAAAAAAAAATTTACCGCGTTTAAACTAATAAAAGAATTTCCTAAAGTTGTCTTTACATTTTAAACATAAATAATAAAAAAAAAAGAAATAGAAATATAAAGGTATCATTAATATAATTTGTCAGGTAAATACTTATTTAAATGTTATGATAACATGATAGGTTAATTTGTAAATGAGGTTATGTCAACAAGATCATTAATTCGGATTCATTATTTAAATATTATGTTTAGATTACTAATTTGTAATTAAAAAAACGATCGACAATTTTTTAAATAAAGTCCTTAATCTCTATTAATTATTTAATAAATAGAAAGTCAATAATTATAACCAATAAACTTTTTTATTCATCTTGGTCACTAAGCTAACTGCCCAAATGATGAACAGCACTGACTCTGACTAAACGGATTTAAAAAATAAACTACTGAACCGATTTTTTAAAATATTTATGATACCAATCTCTAAAAAGTCCCTTTCAGTAAAAAATGGAATTTTCCAAATCGGTTTACAACTGATAGAGTAAAAAACATAAAAAATGCAACAGAATTGAGGACCTCCTTCTTTTTGAAGGCGGTTGAAAATACACTGTAACGACTATAATATTGTTCAAGCTAACGTGTTACAACTGGGAGGAAATGGATTGTTAGTAATGGAAATTATCATGGTTAATTCCTGATGAATTCATCACGATGGGCTAACTGGCCTGTTCTCATTCTCATTGATCACCCTTCACTGGTGCTCCGCCAGCGTATCCTGTTATCGCAGGCGGGGTTACTATTCCATTTACACCCATAAAAAAACGTGTTACAACTTTTCTACCCAAAGGTTGTCTGGAAGAGATTGCTTAGCAATAAGACCGCCTTTTGTACTACACTATACGTATTGAAAATTGTTTTAACAAATCATGTTATGTTGGTGCAATAAAGTGTTAAATAAATAAATAAATAAATATTCCAGTCTGAGGAAAATAAGTACTATGAACTATATACATATAAAGCTACATAATTAACGAACAATGAATAATATATGATAATAAAGATATATGAAGATGAGTTATTATAAAAATAATAAACATTGTTACAGATGGGCAGCAGCAGTAGCTGGCGGGCTCGGTGGCGGTGTTGTAGATGAACGGGCGCACCATGTCTCGGATGTGGGCGCATGCGGTGATCGCCGCGCTGGCCGTGGCGGTCGTGCGCGCCTACCTCGTCCTCGTCCCCGACACCGCCCGGCCTGGTCATGTTGTCATCGATGCCGCTGTCTACAGACTCGGCTCGGAACGAACATACTCAATAGACGTTCACCGCACGGCCAACTTTGTTCATCATATTCTCCGAGTCAACAGGACAACAGGCCTAGTTACCTTAAGGAAGAGGCTAAGATGTGACGGTGTTATGTACCCGAATCTCTTCACGTTCTACGTAGACTCTACTTCGGAACGAATCCGTGACATTGAGTATTACAGTCTACCTATAAGAATTCTGGTCACAGGCGAAGATTGTTCACGACGACACGCAGATCTGTACGATATAGATTTCGATAGAGTCTACGATCAAAACGACGCGGCTCTGCAATATGAGGATGAACCAGTTAGAGAGAAAAGAGAAGTAATATATCCAGAGAGTATAGACTGGAGGTTGTTAGAAGCTGAGGAATTAGTCTCTAGTCAATATAGTGTTCTTTCCACTGCTTATCCTTGGTCTAACGCCATGTTTGAGGATTTTGTAGCGAGGAATAAAAGTAGAAGAAAACGATCTCATTCATTAGTACCATTTGATATGGCTGTAGATGTGAAAATAGCTGAAGCTAAGCAATGGGTAACGGAGACGTATGCAAGTTTTGCAATACCAACCGCGGATCGTTGGCAAGGAATATGCCTGAAGAGGTCTCAATTTGTTAATTCTTTAACGGCTTTCTTACCACGAACCGTTCAGAAAATGTGTAAAGTACAATTTTTGGATGTCAGTGACCCAAGATTTATGATTGAGAATAGTCAGGGAGATTTAGTAACAAGCAACGATGTCTGTATTCAGGAACCTATGTGGAAAGTGTCTATTCTGTTCACGTTCAATTGTGAGAAAACGAATATTATCGACTCCGACCATAGATTGAAAATAGTATATCACCATCAAGAATTAAATGATACCGATATCGTTAAGAGAGTGAAAAGAGAATTACGAAACCAATCTCCCTACTTTGAACAAGCATTATACGTGGCTTCTGTTGCTGAAGAGCAACCTTCAGGAGTCGTTGTCACATCTGTAAGAGCGCGGTACGTATATATTAACAATTAATTAAGCTGTTATTGCTCTGTCACCATAACACATAAATATCAAATGTGAACGACGATAAAATTATCTATCTATGCTAATTAGAACCATGCAGTCTCGTTTATTAACATTCTCTACACACAACCATGCCATATGTTTGTGTGCATTTGCATGTTTATCCGATTAGTATTTTCATCCGTTATAAAGAGGTTGTTGACTTTCTGTTGGCATTATCTTTAAATGACATGAATATAACACCTTCGGTCGTAAAGCATCTGACGCTTAATTGACTTTATGCCGGCTCGTTGAGCTTTTATAGTCTCATTTATTTTATGTGGTCCGGAACCATTGTCATGAGCCATTGCACGCGTCGGCAGACAATGCCACCGCTTGCAATGAGGTTAAACCGCTCAAATTTAAACTGATGACTGTATTTTATACGGTATGATCATTATCGTCTAGGAACAATGACGCACAAAGAGCCACTCGATGAAGTGAAACCTTTTTACCGCTATTAACTGACTAGGGACGGGCCTGAACTGGTAATTATTCACTGTCATTTGTATTTAGCTCCTTGTAATTGAAATTTGTTTCCTCAGACATACTGAAATAGAATTACTGAGATTATTACGTAACCACTAATGCTAATGCACAACGTGCAAATTGCACTCATCTACACTGAATATTGTTATCAGGTTCCACTTTTACTATACTTTAAGACCTTTCACTATTTTCTTTGTGTCTTCCAACTATTGAAGAATAACTCAATCAACTTAGAATATATTAAACAATATCAACTTAGAAAATTCTTCTCATTTTATTGTCAGTACGATTTTTTAAGCCATTTACTATAATAGCAAAACAGTCTGATCTGATGGAAAATAGTGACCTAGTGGAATAATTTATTATAAGTTTTTTTTATACAACTTAGAAAGGCAAACAAGCTGACGGCCCACCTGATGGAAAGTGGTAACCGTCGCCTATAGACATGAGCAGTACCATGGACATAACAGAGTATACTGTTTCGCCCATGATACCCCCTATGCGTTGCCATTCCTGAGGACTCAGGCGTTATTCCTCTATACCCAGTAAATTCACGCCATATCCCACCCTTCAAACCGAAACACAGCCATGCAAATACAACTGCTTCACGATTGAAACACGAATGGGAGAGAGGTGCCCAATTAAACGACTTTTGTACAAAATCTCCCTCTGGTAATTATAAGTTATATACATATTATATATCTATAAATGTAATTAGATATGCATAGGCGTTTTCTTGATTACAATTAATGTATGTATTACGAAGTTACACAACTTTTTATTATCAATACCTTAATCTTATGAGATAATAATATTGTATCATGATACACTTTAAAAGACTGATCCATAAAATCTATTGGTAAATTACTTATCTGTTTAGATAGTTTTATAAACAAGAAGAAACATGTTATTATTATAAAAAGTATATTATAGGTACAGCTATGCCATCACATCGTCATTAGTATCGTGAACTGCAGCCAACTGGACTGTAATCACATCAACTCGTTTTTTATTACCTTTCTAGTTTATGGTTATATAATAGCAGATAATTATAAAACTATAAAGTAAAAAAATGGTACAAACAGTACATGATTGTTATGGAACTCGAAAAGGAATCTTTGATTAAGAATAAGAATAAGAATAATTTATTTGCTCGAAATGTGGTACAAAGGTCTTAAAATGGTAACTGAACTACACATTTCGCCTTATCTAAAGGCATGCAAATTTTGTCTTAGTACATGTTAAGTAAAAGTTTATCAATTATGTATGTCCAAATAATTATTCTAAATACATATTAATTGTTACATTGAATTAGTTAATTATGTCAACATTTAAAAATAGTCGATATTATAGTTATAAAGCATTGAAATTGTACATGTCATATTATTAATATTATTACGTAAAATGCATTCTTAGTCTAATCTGCCATTCAGACTTACAAATTCTTTTATCGTGTAAAAACACTTTTCAATAAGCCAATTTCGTAGTTTTCTTCGGAAAATTTCAAAGGGCATTTCACGAAATGACTGGGGTATCTTATTGTAAATATTTATGCACATCACAAAACAATTTTTATGATAGAGGCTACTCTTACATATAGGCATGTGTAGTTTGGTAGGGTCCCTTTTGATAAATTTATTAATTTCACAAATTTTATTAAATAACTGTGGGTGTTTTTTAACAAAGATTCCAATTTCTAAGATATATAAACTCGTAACTGTTAATATTTTTATATCTTTAAAATAGTTTCTACATGATTCCATAGGCGCTAATCCACAGATAACTCTAACGCATTTCTTTTGTGAAATGAATACTTTGTTAATCAATGTTGCATTACCCCAAAGTAAGATTCCATATCGCAATATAGATCCAACGTAACCATGATACGCGGTAAGAGCTGCATTTTTACTGGCTGTATTGCGTAGACGTCTGAGTGCATATACAAATTTATTAATTTTAGTACATAACACATTTATATGGATCTTCCAATTACAATTTTCATTTCATTTCAGAATCATTTTTTTCTGATATTTTGATCTAGTGCAAGCTCCATATTATTTATTTTAGTTCACTATTTAAATATAATTAAGATAAATAATTTTCAGTGACCCAGAAAACAGTCCAGTAACGTATTCCATGTCGAGCTTGCTGGATTCCCGGTCTGCCGGCATGTTCGCTGTAGACTCCAGAACGGGCGTGGTCACCACTCAGGCAAGACTCGACAGGGAGAGGCTGGACGTCCATTACTTTAGGGTTGTCGCACAAGATGACACATTTCCTCCAAGAAGTGGAACTACCACTTTGCAAGTGAGTGTTCTATAATATGTATACCGAACATAACATAAGTTTTGTCGTTAATTTTAATAGAATTATACTTGAATTAACAACTTCTAAAATAATTCTCAATTCTTAATTTTTTAACGATTAAATACGTTACTCGAATACTTCATTAATTTTTTAATCAATTTTTCACAATTCCTTTTGCAGTTGATAGAATTTACTCCATGTTGAATGTATGTTAATTTTTTAAAGGCGACAGCTGCCATTTTCTATTAAAAAAAAAAAAACAATATTTTATTTATAATCATGCGGGTCTATGTTCTAAATTCAAATATTTAATTAAATGTTTGAATTTGACTTTTGAGTCGGGTACGGATCATGCATACGACTGATCATTTTTTTGTTGTGATTAAAACATTATTGCATGTTAAAAAAAAATTAAATAATTAAATGTATAGTTTTTTTTTTATTTCCGAGCAGAATATACTAATTTAATATGTAATGATACGAAGCTTTAGAGAGAGCGAATTCTAATCATTTTTTTTTTTTAATTATAGATCAATGTACTAGACTGCAATGATCACTCGCCGGTGTTCGAAATGCAACAGTACGAGGCATCGGTCCGAGAGGGCGCTAGCGCAGGCACCACGGTGCTCACACTTAAAGCAACCGATCAAGACATTGGCAAAAATGCAGAGGTAAAATTATTATTATTTTGTTTTTATTTTTATTTTAAACTGAAAAAACTTTCTTTGACAGTTTCTCCTGTCTCATTTTTTTAAAGAATATTTGCTTAAAATAAAAAGTGTGATATCTTTCCAGATCCATTTTTTTTTCTTAAAACAGAAGCGTACAATAGTAATACTGAGATGTTTCTTTTTCCATCCCGAGCAAAGTGATAACAAATAAAATACAAAGATTAATAAAACATTAGAACACACAAGCCCAACTTTTACACAACTAGCCAAGAATCACGAGTGTTTGGCACTATGGACTTTTTTAATTGTCGTTTATTTAATACCGTCTTGATACGAAGCTACAGCATTGTTGAACCTATAAAATAAAAATCTAAAATAAATAAATATTTATTTTATGTACATTTTTTTTTTCCTTTAGGTGGAATACTCTATCGAGTCAGTATCAGCCGAAACCCTAAGCGCGGAAGATACCAATGAGTCTATAGACACCAGTAACGAACAAACAGACACACAAGATGTGTTTAGAGTAGACGGCAGGAGCGGAGCACTACTCACCAGGTCCACGTTGGACAGGGAGAAGGTCGCTAGATATACTGTGATCGTAAAAGCGACTGATCAAGCCAGCCCTATCTCAGATAGACTTTCCAGCACGTAAGTATTTCTGATAAAATATGGAATCAAATTAAGTATAATACAGTAAATAATAAAAAAAAAATATTGACTGGATGAAGTCTCTGACATAGTTATCCGAACTAAATCCGATGTTTCTTAGGCGTCAACGAATTAGTTTCATAATTCCATAATTTGACTCTTCCGCTACAGTATTGTAAATTGTATTCAATTTTATAATTATCACGAATTTAATAGACGAAATAATGACTAGAATAATAAAAGAATTATTAGAATATTACTTTCATTTTTTATGTTTCTATAGCATTTTTCAACCAAATGTTTAATTAATAGACAAAATTCTAAATTTTATAATTACTTTTTATAATTATTTTGTAACCGTAATTGATTTTAGAATAACTTTTATCACTTTCCATTGCCATTCTAAATATTATAAAAAATTAAGCATTTGGTATTATAGTTGATGGTCTAAAGAACACCGAGATATTTCGTGACTAGAGTGATATTACTTTACAATAAAAGGTGGTTCAATGTATTGTTAATGCAATGATTTCTATAACAGGGCTACAGTACATGTTAACGTACTGGATGACAACGACAACTACCCGCAATTCAGCGAGAAAACGTACACGGTGACCATTGATGAAGACATCAGTGTCGCGGACAACCCCGTAATCGCAAGGATCAAGTAAGTCATCAGACTATATATCTCCCTTCACTTTATTTCTACAAACTCTCAGAAATACTAAGATACCAATTGTCTTACTAAATTTCATTACCATCACCATCATTCCAGCTATGTGTTCTACACTGTTGAATGAAAATTACCTTTCCTGTAACAAACATAACAAATAAACCACTATAAACTTCTAGTTGTTTGAGGTTATTTCTCTAATTGTAATTCACACAACAATAGTGCTGCATTAGCAGAATGAATTGTTAATAGATGATGTTGATTATGTTCCTCTATTGCTAAAATCCTGCCAGATCTACCTCCATGCAGTTCCCACTGGAAATTAAACTTTTTCTAACTACCACAGTATTTCCGAATAGATACGATAGTAAAACCTTAATGTTGCGGATGATTGTGGGTCTTGATAATCACTTGGAATGGGTAATATCTATATATTGCAGTAACAATATCTATATTTTAGCCCAATAAAAGATATGTTAAATATCGGTTTCCCAATGTGCAATATTGAAATTAAACACCCGATTGAAACAAATGGAGGTATCCAACTAGAATAGGCGGTATTGCAATGGGTGATGACGTTTTTTATGCTGTCACTTTTCAGAGGATATCAATATATAGATATTGTAGCAATACTGATATTACACATGTCTAGAATTTTTTTTTAAATTAGTGAGAGCTGCTTGTTTGCCCTCTATATTATAAAATATAACTAATAATCCTTGTGAATTCATTATGATGAGCAAATTGACCTGCTTTTATCCTTACCTACTCGTATTATCTCTTACTGGTAGAGCACCAGTGTATAACAAAAGCGCAAACAGGGTTTGCCTTTGCATTACCATCTTTTTAAAATATAGTACATTTACATTTATTTCATTACTCTAGAGCCATTCTTTTACATTGATTATCGGTCTTTAGAGCTGCATAATCAACCCATTTACCCAGTTTGTCCGTTCTATAAAACCGGTATTATAAAAAATATTCAATAGACATTTTTATTAAATGAGATTTTACATAAAAAGGGCGCAAAAAGGTTTCTTCTGGGTCGGAAATATGTAAGTTACCCTTGGGATTGCAAGCATTCATGGGACGCGGTAATTACTTACCCTTAGGCAGGATATGTACTTGATTGCCATCTTAGCGGTACAGAAATAGACCACAGAGGGTTGGTAAGTGCCAAAATAATACATTTACTTTGTAGCTTCAATGAAATAAAATTAGTTTTACTCTAGACTTTATTATATGAAGAATGGAGTGTTAGATTTGTTAGCCGACTGCTAGCCAACGGGACTTTTTTATATTATGTATTTAAATATTCAGTCTTTTATCAAGATTTAAAATATATTCTCAAAGTGTAATATTAATACTAAAAATAAATAATAAATCACCAATTATAAGATCAATACAATAATAAAAACGTAACATTTAAAAAAAGATAAGCTGTTTTTGAATTATCAAAACGTTTGTACTATCTTTATGTTATTTACTCGTATTTATTGAATTTACGACATTATACTTAAAATAAAGAATGAGTTACCATCTGTGTTTAGGAAATAAGTATAAAATCATCATACATATCAGCAGTTATCTGTCCACTGCTGAACATAGGCCTCCCTCATAAACTGCCATTAAAAACGGTGCATCTATTAACAACTCCCTTGCAGTGCACTTCAACTAGTTCTACAACGTCGTTCTACAATGTGTTTGCCCGTACAGGGTTGCCACTCAAGACCTATTAGTTATCGGTTCTTGGAACTATATAACCAGCCCATTCGCACTTCAGCTTGCTTATCCTTCGAGCTATGTCGGTAATTTTGGTTCTTTTTCGGATTCTATCATACAAAGAAACTCCGAGCATAACGCTCTTAATAGTTTGCTTATAACTTGAAGCTTTTGCATACGGGCAACCTTCTAGGACCGTGTTTCGGTTCCGTAGATTATCACTGGCAATATGCACTGGTTAAAGAAAATAATACTAGGTACGTTCTAACCTGTAAAATTTCAAAGAAAACGAATTTATTCTGTTATCTTAAGAATGATACTTTTAAAAAATTACCTTATAATGCTTAATTACTACTAAAGATTACTAAAATATTGGTAAACGATCATCTTTAAATGTAATTTCAATAAATCAGCTTCTACAGGATATTAGGTCATTTTCAATAATGAGAATTTGATATCATCGTGAGAATTTAGTAGATTACCTTTATACATTTGCATGTCTGTATTAAAAATTAGTTAAATAATTAGTATTATGAAATATTATAATAAAATTTTAATTTCTGCTTGTTTTTTATTGCCTATAACTCATCTAAATCACAACTGTAGACAAAATTTAGACTATATTATTATTATTATTGAATATATTAAATTGTTATAATAAAATTATTATAATAACTAAATACAAGTGCACAATTTATTGTCGATTCTGATAAAATATTGTTGATCAAGCTAAACGAAAAATTTTTACTGACGTACCAATATTTCGCTAAAAATATTTTTATTCATCGGAATCATTCAAGAATGATGTAAGAATTCTGGGTTCGGCTCAGTTATCTGATTTCTTATCCTACGTATGTATATGATGTATGTATGTTTGTTACTCTTTTACTCAAAAACTACGGAACAGATTTGATTAAAAGTTGGTAGACGGATAGGTTATATCCTAAATTAGAACATAGGATATTTTATAATGGGTTCACGTTATTGAAACCACAGGATATAGCCAGTAATAAATTCTTAAATAAGATTTTTTTTTACTTGGCAACGATTTATTATTGTCCAATATGCCACAATAGAACAACGAAATAAATACATAAACTACTACAAATAAACTAAGTAACAAATATTAAACTACTAAATATACTATCATAATCACTAAATAACTAGAAATAAATATTTAAATTCATCCAAAATAAAATTCCAAAGTCAAGTTTAACATTTCCCGCCTTTTCCCCACAGTTTATTTTACCTACCACAAACAAGAAATTAATTGTCCTAAATATCAAATGTCTTAATAACAGTTTTTTTTTTCTAAAATAAGAAAAAAAACAGATGTTTAATCTTTTTTTTTTACAGAGCAACGGACGCGGACGTAGGCGCGAACGCGGCGATACGATACGCCATTATCGGCGGCAACACACAAATGCAATTCTCCATCGACAGCCTCAGTGGGGACGTGTCCTTAGTCAAACCCCTCGACTATGAGCAAGTACGGAACTACAGGCTCGTTATAAGAGCTCAAGGTACGTATCTCTCAATAATACAGTCATTCATGTATAGAAATGCCGGACGTATCTTTTCCCGGCCTCTAGAGCCGTACACATATGCACATATAAGTGAAAGTTCCTATATTCTATTTACCTATCTTCACGCCAAATATCAATTTTTTCCTGAAGGAGAAAATGTATCCTTACATACATGATAAATACCCTATAGAACCTATAGGCACTTGTAATGTCAAGATTTCAGACATGGATTCAATTTATTGGCTTGATTTTCGGATTGATTTGATTTCAATGCCGGATTGAATCTGGTTTATTTAATCAATAAAAAAAATTATTGTATTTTCGATCATTTCCATCTTTTAGTGGAATTTACTCGGTAAATATATACAAGCTGTAAATATATTCAGCATGTTCGACAACTTGTCTGAAAGTTGATGAACTTATATTTTTCCTGTTTAATTGTTAGTTAGTGTTAACAGAGAAGAACTTTTAATGTTTTAAATATCAAGAAAACACGTTCAAACGTGTATTAACATTTCTGGGGTATAATGGCGTATTCTGGTGGATTGCGGGTTCGATCCTCGGGCAATACATATATTTGCATCTACCCTTAGTATAAGATCTGTTTATTTTGTGATGATTAGGTAACACTGAATATGTCCAGGATTATCTACTAGTTATTTAAACTAAAGTTTTTATAGCTCTGACTACTCAATTAGGCATTATAGTCAAGAACTTTTTTTTTTTTCAAATAAATAACTAATTTATATGCCATTTCCCAGACGGCGGCAGTCCATCACGGTCGAACACCACCCAACTACTGGTGAACGTAAAGGACGTCAACGACAACTCTCCAAGGTTCTACACATCGCTGTTCCAGGAGTCCGTTAGCGAGAACGTACCCGTCGGATTTAGTATCGTTAGAGTGAGTCTCATATTCATATCAAGTGGTCTATTTACATTAGTTATAGGCTATTTATCGCACATAAAAATCTGAGGGCCTACCATGAAATGTTTCCCCAAATTTGAAAGCCGAACGAAACACAAATTTGATTTTAAAATAGCATAAAAAACGCTATTAATATAGTACTTTTAGTATTAAAAAAGTTTAAATATCGATCTTTCGAACTTTTACACTATAATTTATAACGAATAAAACATTAAATTTTATTTACAAGTACTAATCGAATTTATGGTAAAATTTATGGTAAATTATAATTTTAGGTGCAAGCTTACGACGCAGATGAGGGAGTAAACGCTGAGTTAACATACACCTTGTCAGATAAAGAGTATGGGGGTAACAGCGATATGCCTATCACGATAGATCCCAGGTCCGGCTGGGTGTACACATCGGGACCGCTGGATAGAGAAGTGCAAGCTAAATATCAACTTCAGGTAACGCCATTTCAACCATTATTTAACTATTCTTTTGTACATAATATAAAGTATGAATCGTCATGTTGGCCCCGGCATAGAATAAGCCACGCCTTCCTTTCCCGGGGGTGTTGTAAAAGGTGACTAAGGGAGCTAATGGTGGAGAGATGGGCAGCAGCGTCACTCTTAAAATATCTGTAAAAGCCTAACTGCGTTTGCCAACCCGCCTGCCAAGCGTGGCAACTACTGTCAAAATTCCTCTTATAGCGAAGGCTTATGTTCAGTGGACAGTTAAGGGCTGAAATAATAAACTGCAAAACGGACGTACAAAACTAAAATCATTCTCTTCAAGTAAAGTAATAAAGATGTGAATGTTAACTTATTTGTTTCAGTCCAAATTCCGATTTCAGAGCTAATATGTTAAGCTTAGTTACTGAAAAGCCATAGTCAGACTTCATATAAATATACCACGTAAATAAAGTCTCGGGCTCGAATCTTGATCTTAAAAATTTAGGTGACTCCTCAAATAAAAAGTTTGAAGCAGTGATAAACATCTTACTATTTTTAATCCACTGAGGTGGTAAACGAGCATACGGTCCACCTGATGGTAAATGGTCACCATAGCCTATGCACGCCCACAGTACCCGCAATAATTACCATTTGCCAATCTTAAAGAAACCTCTTTACCACTTTTTTAAAGAACCTCATGCTGTAGTCTCTTGGAAAAACCTCAACATGGAGCTCATTCCATAACTTGAGCGTTTGTGAGAGAAAAAATCTCTGAAACCGTACTGTAAGCGACCATCTAGAAGGTTGAATTCCCTGTCGATGGCATATAATATTATAATGTTAAATATTTAAATCATTATTTATACTAAAATTTATTTAAATGTAAACAATGCAGGTAACAGCAACTGACGGTGGTACACCGCCACGCAGCGCCACAGCGGCAGTGTCGGTGGTGGTGCAGGACGTGAACGACAACGACCCGGTGTTCGCGCCCGCCCAGTACGATGTCGAGATCGCCGAGGACGAGCCGCCGGGCACTCCGCTCGTCACCGTCACCGCCACCGACGCTGACGAGGATAACAGGTGAGGAGGGCAACTTTCACTTCCAAGAAAATAAGCGGAGCACGCAAACAACTAATTAAAACATTCCCAGATACGTGTAGTAAGAAATCACCCTTACATATCTGAAACTGATGCTTTTGTCACATTGATGCGATATTACATTAATAATATCGTATCTATATCGTATATACGTAAATGTAAGTCATTTGCTATGTTGCCTAATTCGTTATTAACGGCTCTGTACGCGCTTCCAGAGACCAATCCATCCAATGAATGCAACCAATCATTTTTTTCAAAGTTGTACAGTATCCACTCCTGAATTTAATTCATATTTTATTTCATAAGTGTTCTCCAACTTTAATCATAAATAATGACCCTGGATCACGTGCATCTATCCATTCTCACTAATATATTTGATAGGATAATCACAAATATATACATATATCTGGTACAGACTCCACTACGAGATAACTGGCGGCAACACGCGCGGACGGTTCTCGATCACGTCGCAGAACGGGCGCGGGCTGGTGACGGTGGCGCAGCCGCTCGACTACAAGCAGGAGCGGCGCTACGTGCTCACCGTGACGGCCACCGACAGCGGCGGCCGCGCCGACACCGCGCTCGTGCACGTCAACGTCACCGACGCCAACAACTATGCGCCCGTCTTCGAAAACGCGCCCTACACCGCTGCTGTGAGTATCTATTTGTCACATCGTTGTTTATATCATAACGAACGACAACGCGTACGGTTGGTTCTCGATGACGTCAGAGAACAATCGTAGTCACGACCGTGATCAACTACGAGCCCGTGTTTGAAAACACAACTTACATGTTCATGTCTATAGGCGACGGTAACCATTTTCCATCAGGTGGGTCGTCAGCTTGTTTGCCGTTATAAGTTGCATAATAAAACATAGTTACTATTGGGTGAATCCATTGTAATATAATTTATATGGTCCATTATCGATCACGACAGAGAACAATTACGGTCAGCGGTGTAATGATCTAAACGTTTATATTGGATAACGGATTCTAAAGGAGACACTGCGTATTCAGTCTACCGAATTACCATAAAAAAGATTTTAACCGGACTCCATTGGAGGAAGTTGATTAGTTTCATCAATACTATCACTTCAACTTGCTATAAATAATTATTCCTAATTTTTTGGGTGTATCAAGCCCATCATGTACCGATTACACGAAAGAAAGTACATTTCTTTCAGAAAGCCTTTATTTCTGTCGCTAAATATCACATTCATTGGTAACCGGTCATTTTCCATCACTCCTTTTATATACTGTCAATCTTGAATACGTAATCATAGTGCATATATTCATTCAGGTATTCGAAGATGCCCCAATCGGCACTACCGTGCTGGTGGTGTCGGCGACGGACAGCGACGTGGGCATCAACGCTCAGATCACTTACAGCCTCAGCTCGGAGATCTCCAACGAGGCGGTCGCACATCACGACCAGGAGTTCGTCATCAACCCACAGACTGGCGCCATCACCACCAACAAGCTGCTTGATAGGGAGACTATGAGCGGTGAGATGTTCTTACAAAATCTAAACTATTCATTTAAAAAGTTCTAAGTGATTCTGGAACATAGGAATCACCACTAGGCGTGCACCACCAAACGTGATCATAACTGTTTTTTCTTCATAGAGAGGGCGAGAGGTTTAAGCTTATTTGCTAGCTTGTGATAAATACATAGAATACAATGTAATGTTGATTGTCAGGTTACTTGCTAACGGTGACTGCGCGAGACGGCGGCATGCCCGCTCTGTCTGATACTACCGATGTCGAGATATCCGTCGTGGACGTCAACGACAATGCGCCAGTTTTCAAGCAACAATTGTATACCGCCAGCATTATGGAGGACGCGTTAGTAGGTAAGATGCATATCAAAATACAGAACTTGAATATCGCAAATGGTGTAGTTTTTAAGTATGAATTTTCGATCAATTACAACTGAGTATCACGTATTTTCATGTACATATTCAATACTTATATTTCAAATTGAACCTTAAGTCCTATCAATACCGGTTAGTACCGACACGTATAATGATCTCAACTTGTGGGTGCAGGTACATCGGTAATACAGGTGAGCGCGACGGACGCGGACGTGGGCTTGAACGGGCGCGTGCACTACGCACTAGGAGCACGCGAGCGCGAAGATGCAACGTTCGCACTCGACCCGGCGTCAGGCGTGCTGCGCACCAACAAGCCGCTGGACCGCGAGTCGCTCGCCACCTACGACTTGCGCGCGCTCGCGCTCGACGCCGGCACGCCGCCGCAGAGCTCCACGGTAAGTGAACGGCGCTCGACACACGTCGGGCGTGCTGCACACCAACAAGCCGCTGGACCGCGAGTCGCTCGCCACCTACGACTTGCGCGCGCTCGCGCTCGACGCCGGCACGCCGCCGCAGAGCTCCACGTAAGTGAACGGCGTAAGACACGACTTGCGCGCGCTCGCGCACGCGGTGCTGAACTGGCGCTCGACACACTTGCGCGCGCTCGCGTCGACCGTGAACGGCGCTCGACACACGTCGGGCGTGCTGCACACCAACAAGCCGCTGGACCGCCGCTGGACCGCGAGTGGACCGCGAGTCGCTCGCCACCTACGACTTGCGCGCGCTCGCCAGCTCCCGGTAAGTGAACGGACTGCACACCAACAAGCCGCTGCGCGCGCTCGCGACTTGCGCGCGCTCGCGCTCGACGCCGGCACGCCGCCGCAGAGCTCCACGGTAAGTGAACGGCGCTCGACACACGTCGGGCGTGCTGCACACCAACAAGCCGCTGGACCGCGAATCTAATTTTCTACCTATTCCATATAATACCAAAATATATTCGTGTAATATTATATCTACTACCTAGTATTTTCAACCTCCAAGTAATACATACAATAAATCTGTCAACAGGTAATCATACATATAAAAGTGGAGGACATAAACGACTCGCCCCCCGTTTTCGAGAGCGATTGTCTCACGTTCTACGTGCCAGAGAACAGTCCCATCGGCACCACCGTCGGCGAGATATACGCGCGGGACCCCGACGAGGGACCCAACGCTGTTGTACATTATTCTATCAAAGGTATGTTGTCACTTTATTACACCACATTTTGGCCAACCATGTAAATTTTGTAAAGCCCTATTTAGGATAGAATTGACAGCGAGCCGGAATTACATTTGGATACAATTTTGAGGCAGCAAAATTGTAAAAACTAACCATTATAAAAGCTGGCTAATATTATTTTTGACCGATACATTAAAATTGCTAAATTATAATTATCATAAATTATGTGTTCTAAATTTTTCCGCTTTAGTAATTTATAGAATGAACTTTCTTAATTGATGCAGGTATTAGATCTAAAACTATTAAAAAAAATGTTTCGAGATTCTCCAGATTCACATTGTATAAGTTCACGTAACACTGAATATCCTTAATATTGTTTCTTTTTTATTTTAATCATTTCAAAGTAACAATGGTGTTAAAGATACAGTTGTAATTTCACCTAATATTTCTCTAGGTGGTGACGACTCCAACAGTTTCTCGCTGGAAACTCGCCAAGGTTCAGATAAAGCTGAATTGGTAACAATGGTCGACTTGGACTACGAAAGTCCGCGCAAGAAATACGAGCTAGTTATCCGAGCAGCCAGCCCGCCATTATGGAATGACGTCAGAGTTGAGATCTTGGTGACTGATGTGAATGATAACGCACCGATGATGAAGGACTTTCAAATCATCTTCAATAATTATAAGGATTGTTTTCCTGTGGGCCCGTTTGGCAGGGTACCGGCGTTTGATGCTGACGTTACAGATAAGGTGATTATTTTTACACGCATACGTCTTATAAACACGATTCACAAACAATAGAACTCAAATTATTTTTCTTAGCAACACATGGTTAATAGTAGATCTTTTTTTATAAAATAAATTTATGAGAGATCCTTGACGATCACAAAAGAGACAATGGTGAGGAGCCTTGAATTACTCTTATCACTTTGCTGAGCGGGAATTCTATCATGATTCAAATCTTTGAAATTAAACTAAAATTGTAATAAAAACCGGAATGCAGAGAAAAATATTTTTTTGGTCATGAAAGCTTTGTAATCCAAATAGTCTTGCCCGTCGTGGTAGGAGGACGAACGCCAATACAATGACGAATTTTGTCGTCACCGGTCAGCAAAGTGTTATTATGACCATTATTGTGAATAGGAGTGCCCATTTGCATTTACGAAAACTGACTCTTCGCAAACACTGACTAATTACCTGTTGTTTGCTTTATCTATAAATTACCTCTCGGAGAATTTGATGACTTTATTATTAAATTGCTTAATATAATTAGCAACATTACTGCTTTTTTTGAGATATCCATGGTTCTCTTCATGTCTATGGTAATGATCACTTACTAAATTGACTGCCAGCTTGATTGCCATTCTCAGTACTATAAAATTGACTTAATATTTTTCATTTGTAGCTGCAATATCGGATACTGTCGGGAAACAATGCAAATCTGGTACTATTGAATGAAACGACCGGCGCCATGACGCTGTCTCCACAACTGAACACCAACGTACCCAAATTGGCCATTATGGAATTATCTGTCACTGGTAAGTATCTTTTTTATATAAATGTAGTTCCAAATATTATTTATCAGTTTAAAAGAAATTTATTATGTTACCTGTATTTTGATATTAATATTAACAAAAAATAATTTAAAATTTCATATTCAAACTGGCATTCGTATTTGCTCCTATCCATTAATCAATAACGTGGATTAATTTTAATATACTTATAAATATTTCCAAAAAAAACAAATAACCTTATGATATTGCCACCTTTGCCTACTTGGAAAATTTGGAAATAACAATTAGTTATTTAGTAATTACAGTGTATAGTGTAGCAATTACATCATTAATTTGAAACCTATAAAATTTATCCAACTTCCATAAACAAATATTTCTTACTAGACGGAGTAAACGAAGTTAAAGCGATGATGCAACTAACCGTTCGTCTGATAACCAAAGAGATGCTTTTCAATTCGATCACCGTGAGATTGAACGATATGACGGCTGAGCAGTTTCTATCACCGCTATTGGGCTTCTTTATCGACGGTCTGGCCGCTATCATACCCTGCCCGAAGGAGAATATCTACGTGTTCAGTATACAGGTGAGACTATATTATCTTATGATGGATGAACGAATTAATGATTCAGTTCATTGTGGGCCGACCTTTTCAGGAAATTTGCATTATATCAATTTTATATTCCTTTTCATTTATATTAATACCCGCCCACTATGTACTTTTTATTATAACAGATTGTGAATTGTTAATCTTTGTCGGATGCCCACGATATAGGTTCGCCTAGTATGGGGCCCATTATATGTATTTTGTGTTTGTAACGGTGTGTTTTTGTCAAATAATAAATTTCTATAATAACCACTGTCCAACTTATCCATTGACATGCCAATTAAAAGGGTCTCTACCCAACCAATTGTGTGTCAAAACCTAACTTGACTAACCCTTGAGTAGCTTATGTTAATATAGCTAAGGATTTATTAAAGAAAATAGAAGGTTTGAAAAATAACATACCTAATAAAGCGTTCCGAACACAGCGACAACACACAGGCACTTTTCTATAATGTCAAATAATTTAAAAGACATAAAGTAATTAAAGCAATAAGAATGAATAAAATGTGTAGTGTTTATCGTTTGCGCATAAGTCAATGAAATATGCTACAGTAGGTAGTTTTAATTTGACGTCGCCTCCAGATTTTATTTCAGCACACTAATAACGTATCTATTTTTTTTATTATTATATTATTAATAATAGCTAAATTGTATGAATAGGATGACACGGATGTGACTGGCAATATCTTGAATGTGTCATTCTCGGCGAAACGGCCCGACGCAGAAGTCGGTGTCGCAGGTGACTCGTCGCAATACTACTCGCCGACACACTTGCGAGAGCGTGTGTATCTGCATCGTGCTACGCTCGCCAGACTTGCTACGGTACAGGTAACATAGTCACCATATTTTTTATAACATAGTTCAAATCAAATATTATTAATATGTCCTTTTTAAGCAACGTAGAAAGGCAAACAACCTGACTGCTCACTTGATGGAAAGTGGTAACCGTCACCTAAGGATATGAGCAATACTATAAACTGTTTCGCCCATGATACTCCCTATGCGTTGCCATTCCTGAGGACTCAGGTGTTATTCCTCTGTACCTTGTAAATTTACTGCCATATCCCACCTTTCAAACCAAAACACAGTCATGCAAACACAACTGCTTCACAGTATAAACACGAATGGGACAGAGGTGCCCAAGCAATCGACTTTCGTACAAAGTCTTCCTCTGATAGTAAGTCATATCATTTCTCAATATATTATACCATTTAGTTCTCAGTAAAAATAAACTAAGGAAAATCAGTTACTTATTTTGGCTTCAGTTACTCCAGCGTATATGAGTGTTGTTGTACTACTAAATCTGAAAATAAAAAGCAATATTGCCACTTGGAAACATTCTCTCACTAACTACTTGACCTATGAAGCACGATATATTACACGAGACTTGAATACAGTCAACTAATAATGCCTACATCAATTCAAATCCAATTTTAGCTCGATGTAAATCCCTAATACAATAATAATATAGTCTAAAAATTTTTAAATATAAGCATTAAACTATGTTTGCCATGTAAAGGAAAATCTATCCATAATATTATCATTTTATTGTACCAATGTTCAACAAGAGAAGAAAACAGAGTCACGTCTACTGTGACCAATCGCGATAAACAGCATTTTGGTTATTCATTATCATTTATCTCATTGTTGGCTACGGACTTTCACGTTTGTAGACGTTTCCTATTTCATACTGTCTATTCATGTTACTTCGTCCTCTTGACCAGGGCAAAAAGTAGCCTACATTCCGAATGCTACGTATACACCAAATTTTTATAACAATTTCTTGAAGTAGCCAATGTCCTTCTTCATGCCAAATTCCAATATTTGTAAAACTTTATTAGGCCATTATTTTGTAATTAAGTAAGAAAAGTAACTTTCACATCTATAATGTTAGTGTGTGTTAGTAAAAAATGACCATATCACATGCTTAGATTATATAGATATAGTGTTTCATACAAATGCTTCAAGAAAAGCGGATCAACTTTTTCCTACAATTTTTCATGATAAATAAATGTTTTCTTTATAACTTCTATATTTATTTATTTTTTTTTTTTTTATATTTTTTGCATCTTTCTAATGAGTAGAAACTCATTTTATTTATTAAAAAATTAAATATAGATACGTGAAAATATGTACATTATGTGCGTAAGTATATATAATACTGATAAAAAAAACGAGTGAACTAATTTGAAATTAGCTGACAAAAAGTTGACCCGTTTTTTGAGGATTGATGCTCTATGTATATAATCTAAGATAACATGTATGTTGGACAAATCAGGTGCTGCCATTCGACGACAACGTGTGTGTCCACGAGCCGTGCCTCAACTACGAGGAGTGCCTCACCGTGCTGCAGTTTGGAAACGCCTCCGGCTTCATATCCAGCGACTCTGTGCTCTTTCGCCCCATATATCCCGTCACTACTTTCACGTGCCAGTGTCCTAAGGGATTCACAGGTAAACGTCCAGTAGCTTTTTAAAATTATGAACAAGAAGAAATACCTGTATCATATTTTTTTTAAGATTTGCCTTAACATGTCCTCTCTGAAAAGAATTCGTTGATAAACAATTAAATAGTTACTTACCATCCGGTGTCCCGCATGCTCCTTTGCCCCCTGTGATATAAAAAAAGGTCCGCGTTTTGTTTACATTTAACTATTGCTTAATCTAGTACCCCGCCTACACGAATGGTTTATCCTGACAGGTACCAGCGAGATATCATAGAAAAGAATGGATTCCGGCCAGTTGGCTTTCGAATTTATCAGGGTTTAACCACTATGGTTACAAGAAGGATCGCATCAACCCCACTGGATTTATTGTTATTAAGAGCCGCTAAACCCTATTACTAAATGCTTATTACTCTAGGAAAAGAGTAGGATTAGGTTTCAGAAGGCATCTACAACAACTTCTTGGCTGACGTGATTATATCCTCCCTCCCCCGATCATGTACAGGATCGCACGAGCACTACATGTGCGACACGGAGGTGGACCTGTGCTACTCATCACCGTGCCAGCACCGCGGCACCTGCATCCGCCGCGAGGGCGGCTACACCTGCGTCTGCGCACCCGGCTATACAGGTGCGTACTACTTTATTGTTCGTATCTGTATCGAACCAATTTCTTTTGTCAGTATTATGTGACATGTATGAACCATCATTTTTTCTTCTAATCCACTTCTTAATAGGGAATTGTAATACATAGATTTTATTGGACCAGTATAAAATATGTTGAAAGTCTGTTATCCAAAAAATAACATTAGATAACAGACTTTTAGCATATTCAAAAATAGATTTCCGACCGATATGGGCGATATCAAAATGGGTGATATCCATATTACTCATGCCTACTTCTAGCCTTTCAAGCTGACCTCACTTATTCTTCCTTATTCCGCCTATTTTCTCATGCTTTCTTCCTTCTATCTGTTTATTTCTAGGTTCCTAGATTCAGATATTACCGCTTTCAAAACAACGCCCTATACTTTATTCACACGTGCACATGTGTGTGTTATATACACATGTGAATAAACATCATCTGTCGATTATATTCTAATTGCCTGATCCATCAGGTTCTGATTGTGACTTCACTTCCATCAATAACAGTAGGGAAACTATGGAAATAGCAACGCACGAGGAGATCACAGCATAGTTCGTGATGTCCACAATGCCGTTCACGTCTATAAACGTCGGTAACCATTTCATCAGGTGGACCATCAGCTCGTTTGCCTTTGCAAGTATCAGCTAGAAGTACCTCAGACGCGCAGTAGTACCTATAGACTGGAGCTTGTATAGGAGTATATAATGTATGGTGGTATTGCAGGCGTGAACTGCGAGACGGTGGTGCGCAAGGCGACGTGCGAGCCGTCGGGCGCGGGCTCGGTGTGCCGCGGCGGCGCCGTGTGCGTGGCGCGGCGCGAGGGCGGCGTGCTGTGCCGCGGCTGCGCCATCGACGCCGCCTACACCACCGACCTCTGCGAGCTGCGCGCGCGCAGCTTCCCCGTCTCCTCCTTCCTCACCTTCCCCGGCCTCAGGAGGCGCCACAGGGTGCACCTCAAGCTCAAGTCAGTTCTGCACACATCACACATACATACGCCTCCATCTGTCCCACCGGCATATATTAACTAATCGAGATAAAAGTAACTGATATCCTTCTTCGTTCCACTCAGGAAATGTATGCTAAACAATATTAGTCGGGTTTTTAAGGCGCCAAGATGTTACAAACAAACTTTCTTTCAAACTTGTAATATTAGTAAGGATTTAAAACCAGATTTTAATGTTTACAGTCTTCAGCATATTCTGAACACTCCTTACTCACTACTCTACCTAGACTAGTCTATTGGATGACTGTAAAGCGCTTTAGACTTCACAGTCTTAGATAAAATCACTTTTATAGTGTAACAAATAAAGAGCCTGTTTAAAGTAAACAGAATATAGTATTTGATTGGATGCGCGCCAGGTTCGCGACTCAATCGTCGTCTGGGCTGCTGCTATACAACGGGCGGTACAACGAGCGGCACGACTTCGTGGCGCTAGAGCTGGTGAGCAGCGGCGCGGGCGCGGCGGGCGGCGCGGGGCTGCGCTTCTCGTTCTCGCTGGGCGGCGCGCGCGCCGACGTGTCCGTCGCCGCCGACCTCGCTGACGGCGCCTGGCATACTGTGCAAGTCGATTACTACAATAGGGTCAGTTAGTTTTTTTATATACTAGGAAAATTGTAAACAAGCATACAGCCCGTCTGGTGGTATAGGCCTGTAACACTAGAGGTGGTGCATTGCCAACCCTGAAGAAATCTAATTATACCTTTTTAAAAGAGTGTTTTTCATCGTCAATCTACTTATATATTGTATATTATTGTTTTAAAAAAAATATTGCAATCCTAACAAGACTATATGAGAGTAAACCCTACTGAGTCCTAAACAATCCTTAAATTCGGCACAAATTTCAAGTAACCTATCACCAATGAATTTGATTATTTCAGACTGCGACAATCATTTTGGATGATTGCGACAAAGCGTTAGCATTGGCCGGCGCCGCTGAGTTTGGACCCAAGTACGCGTGTGCCAACTTCACCAGAAAAGTTCTGCCCCCTCGGTGCGATATTCCCACTGAAACATGTCACAGGTAACGACAAATTTTATTTTTTTTATTTTTATTTTTGTGATACAACAACAGATTACAAACAAAACTTTTAACAATAGAATACAACAATAGCATTATAAGTTTGCAATCCAATTATAGTTGTACTCAACATTCACAGAGATGAAACAAAATAGGTTAATTTTACTACAAAAAGAATTAATGATAAAACTAGATACAAAACAAGAATCAAAAACAAAACTACCAAACTATGCATAAAAACTATTAAGTTATCAATGTATGTAAAGTGCTTCGATACAATGAAAATTTCTGATAGAATATGTCAATATCCGATTTAAAATCAATGTCGTTGTACAATTTGCACATTCTGTATATTGGATTATTATATGACACATTATTGTTTGCGAACGGTATAGAAAAGAGTTTAGTTGTACGAGAAGAGTGTTCAGTGGCTCTCAGGTTTATGTACTCCAATAAATTACCCTCCAATTCATTATTTACAATTTTATATAAATATGTTAGATCAATAATTTTACGACGCGCAACCAAACTCTTCATGTTAAAATGTTTGAGTCTATTCTCATAGCATGTCAATACACGTTTGTTGGCATATTTTTTTGTGATATGACGTATAAAATTTTTTTGGATCGACTCAATTCTGTCCTCATGTACAGAATAAATTGGCGACCACACTGATGGACAGTACTCAAGCACACTGCGAACTAGCGAATAAAATAATTGTGGTCCCTTTTAAAAGGTTTTGACATTCTTATGATAAATCCAAGCAACTGATTTGCTTTTTTTACTGTTGAATTATAATGATCACGAAAAGATAATTTACTGTCGAATATTATTCCCAAATCTTTCACAACCGTAACTCTTTTTAATGATTTGTTTTCTATTTTATAGTCAAATTGGTGTATATTTTTATTTTTCGTAAAAGATATTACATAACATTTAGCAATATTCATATGGTTTATTTCACACCAGTTGTACAATATGGAAAGATTTTCTTGTAACTGTATGCAATTGTTTATAGTTGTTATTTCGTTATATAATTTTATATCAAAAGTCTAACAGGTCATTAATAAATATAAGAAAAAATAATGGTCCCAAGTTCGAACCTTGAGGTACGCCTGTGGATGCCATAAATGGTACGGACTCATATCCATAAACTGCCACGAGTTGAGTTCGATTCTTTAAGTAACTTTCAGTCCATCTGTCATCAAATCAAATCATGTATCAAATTAAAACTAACTTTTATTGTTTTCTGTACTGATTTCTAATACTTTTTAATAATTATAAAATTTCAAATATACCTATTGTTACCAGGTTTTTAGACTTGACGGGCCCATTGCAACTTGGTGGTCTACCGAATATACCAAGCAGTTTTCAAGTGAAGAACAAGGACTTTATTGGCTGTATATCGGATTTTTATATTGATCATAAATTCGTGGATTTAAATAGGTAAGTAGAAAATAAAAATGATTACTAAGTTAATTATAAATATAGAATTGTTCATGTAATTTAACTATGTGAAATAGAAATAAAGTTATGGATGTCTACTATGTATTTATAACAAAGTCCAAGATTCACGTACTTTAATACGGTAAAATACTTTTTAACCTCATTTCTTTTTAAATTCATAATTTTTTTTTTATTTGTTTTTATGGATTTGTATAATAATAAATTTAAGATATTCCTCCAAATGAAATAGAAATTAACGCACAATTTAATTACGAGTATATCAGTTCCTTTCTGTATAACTTTTTAATCTGTAATTAATTATATCTTAGATATTTTACTACTTCACTGGTGTGCTGTATCCTATTTATACTACGTATGTTGTAGCTTCGTATCCGACAACGGCACTGTGGCCGGATGTCCGCCGCGGACGGCCCGCTGCAGCTCAGCGCCGTGCCACCACGCGGCCGCCTGTACCGACCTCTGGGGCACCTACCGCTGCCACTGTCCCGACGGACACACTGGCAAAGACTGCGCTGAAAGTAAGACATTATACTTCACTACGTTCATTTTTTGTGATGTCAGTAATGTATCATTTTAACATACTTACCCTCCTTCCGAAGAATGTATCCAATATGAAATCAACGGATAATATAAACGTTATTCTTAGGTCTGTATTTATCACATCACATGCTTTAGGTTTTATTCTTGGATCTAGTGTTAGTAGTAAGCTGCCATAATTTACCAAAAGTATTCAAAAGTACTAAAGTTCATTAACTTCCTACTCGTAAATTACATTTAAAGATATCGCCATAAAGAACGTTTCTCTATATTGGCCAGTTTTTCAAGTTACATAAATAAAAAATAAACACAATTTGTTACTAAATGAAAATAAATGTAAATATAATAATATATTTATGGTGTGATACGCAGCGACATCACCGCCGTGGCGGTTCAATGGTGATGGGTGGTTATCGTTCAATCCACTGCTACGTCCGATCCAGCTGCCGTGGCTTAACGCACTGTCTGTGCGTACGTGGCAACGGGACGCCTTTCTCATGTCCGTGCAAGTCGGACAAAACAGCACCATACTCATCACAGTAAGTTCACCTTAACTTGTTATCTTCTACCACATTCTTCTATAGAGTAAGTGACATTTACATATAAGAATAATAACATGTTCGTGGTATATAATGACTATTATTGAATTAAGATACGTTGTAATAAAATGTAATCAGCTAAAATTGAGTGCATAAATAATATATTGTCAATGAAAGAATGAAATAATTATGTTTATTCAAGTAAATAGCCTTTTTTCATATTTTACTACCCATTCAGAACGAAATTTTAGCCAAAAAGAACGGGCAAGAAACAACAGCTTTTTTTAAATAATTATATTATACTTCGTTATGCTAAATAATTGGAAAATTGACAAATATTTGTATATTTATGTATTTCTATTATTTTATATATTTATGTATCTGCCCTGTTTGAAACTCTCCACTCATACACTACCTCTTCTAAAAACTTATATTGCATTAATTGTTAAAAGATAAATGTTTTTCAACAGTTAAAATCCGGTCTGCTCCACTACTCATACAATGGCGAGTCAATGTTCTTGCCATCGACAGACCTAGCCGATGGCGAGTGGCACCGAATAGAGATCACATGGCTCGGTACAGATATCTCAGTAAGCATAGACTATGGTTTAAGAACTGTCCTGTTACCGATGTTGGCCAATAAAGTGCAAGGACAGTATGTTGGCAAGATATTGATTGGTGCACCTGACACTACTGCGGGCTTGCTGGCTTCTGATTTCGGATACTTTGAAGGATGCATACAGGTAATGACATATATATGAAGCACAGAGATTTGTACTGTTTTTCTCTTGAATATTTAAATTTTAATATGAAACTTATAAATTACAAAATTACAACAGAATTACCTATAATATAATTATATTATAGGATGTGCGTGTTGGAACATCGCAGTCGTTACTTAATCGACCCACTGTGAGAGAAAATGTAAGAGATGGCTGTCAATCGCGAGCAGACTGCATGCTGTCCATATGTCCACCCTACGTAAGTATAAATTTTTGGGTAAATTTTGTTTCCCAAATATCCAGAATTAAAAATATGTTCATAATCTGTTCATATCTATAAGTGACGGTAATCACTTTTTATCAGATGGACTATCAATATTTGTCAAATAACTATTATCCCGTACTTTAATTTTTACATCATAACCCTCAAGAAAAAATCATAAATTTTTAAAGACTGGTAACACACTTGCGTTTTCTCCAGTATTACAGGTACTCATGAGTGGTGATAGACAATTAAAATCAGGTCATCTGTTTGCTCGTTTTCCCCCTGTGTTATAAAAAAAAAACTTTTTTCGATACTGGCATAAATATAAAAACTAAGAAGACACAAAAAATATTTGCCTAGTATAAAAAATAAAGAACAAATTATACAGTGGACTAGTTGTATCTAATCTACATTGGACACTAATAAAGTATATCAAACGAACATACGGTTCAGTTAATTCGAGTAGTAAGTAATTATCGTAGACCATAGACACTAACAAGTCCAGAAGGGTGTCGCTAGTCTTTATGTGGTGTGTAAGTCTATATGTAACTGTAGCACAAGTTTTCCTAGTTCCACCATCACTCTCCACAATACATAAACTGTGTATTCTTTAAAAAAAAAATACTATTCTATACTATGCTACACGTAGGAGAGTTGGAATGTTATTAGTAGTTTTTAACATATATGCCAAATGATTATTATAAATGACATGATTTTAAATAAAAATGTTGTAATGTTTCTAATATCTAATGTTATGCAGAGCAATTATTGGAGTGCAAATGTAATGCTGTTTTATGTAATATTTATTTTATTAATGTATTAATTTGTAATCTGTTGCCTTGTTATTAATAAATAACTGTCTTGGTGAAAGTAAAAATGTTTAATAAAAAAATCTTTGTTGAAAATGACACTTGTACCAGAGCACGTGCGTGACGTGGTGGGACCGCACGGGCTGCGAGTGCGAGGCGGGCCGCGTGGGCCCCGCGTGCGTGCACGCGTGCGAGCTGCCCGTGTGCGGCGCGCACGCCGTCTGCAAGCCCGACGCCTCGCCCAGGGGATACACCTGCGTGTGCGACGATGGATACCTGCTCACTGGTCATTATGTTGGACTATATCTATTTTCACTACAACGGTAACGGTCGCCGTGTAGCTCCCAGCATAGAATGAACCACCCCTTCCTTTCCTGTGGGTGTCATAAGAGGCGACTAAGGGGCATATGGTAGAGGGATGGGCAGCAGCGTCCCTCTTAAAACATATGTAACAGCCTAACTGCGGTTGCAACCCGCTAGCAATGTACCCTATTAGGTCGACCTCCACGTGGTTCTCCCTGGAAACGATCGTGAAAAGTTCTTGTTGAATTCACCACGATGGACTAACCTGTTTCATCCTCACATATCAACTCTCACTGGTACCCCGCCAGTGTATACCCATGGAGCAGGCGGGTTTACCATTTCATTATCACCCATTAAAAAAAACGATAACCGTCGACGAATGTGTCTCAATATCCCATTAGAGATTATAATCATTAGAATATATTTTTTATACTCTCTGCATATCGATTTAATATATTTCGGGGATCACAAATAAATCACGACTGTAATCCCAGGTAGCATAGTCGATGACATTAGCTGGCGTGACCAAAATAATAGTATAGTAAAATTTTATAAAAAATCTGATTACAGAAAAAATGGTCGCTTTAAATGCAATATTATGCAAAATGTTACATTAAAATTGCTAAAAAAATGACCTATTCCCATCCTCAGTCACGACTTTTTACGTACTAGACAAAATATCAATGTAATATCAACAGAGTCTGGATGCGTGTCGGCCTCATCTGACGAATGTCCGGGCGGGTGGTGGGGAGCGGGTAGTACAAACGTAACTGTGGAAACGAGCACTGAAGCGGAAACGGTAGCAGATACTAGTACAACAGCGGGCGCGGTAGCGGTAGCGAGCGCTTGCGGTCCGTGCGATTGTGATCCGGCGCTCGGGTACCACCCACACTGTCATCGCCGCACTGGTGCCTGCCACTGCAAGGTATACCCTACAGGCTGAAATGTATCCAATCACATCAAGTCATAATATATGTATGAGATTAGTAACAAACAAGCAAAAAATAACAGTTTAAAGTTCAAATTTTATTCACACTTAGTTTTATACATAAATAATAACCAATGTAGGATATTTTCTTTATAATTATCTTCAATCGCAAAATAACAAAAACTACAAGTTTCGACTTTAGCGCCATCTAGTATTTTGTGTCCAATTTTGTTTAGTGATCAAACCACCTTAAAAAAGCCCTTGAGCTACGTGTCAACAACATGCACGCAATATTATTTACTGATTATATTGCATGCATTCTCCTTCCTTTCCCTTGGATATCGTAAGAAGTAGTTGCTTCTTAGTAGGGAACTTAATGGTCGAGAGATAGGCAGCAGCGTCTTTCTTAAAATATCTTCAAGGTTATCTACCAAATTACATTAGAGAAATATCATCTCATACAGTGTTCAAACATAAACTTAGGAATTGGCTGTTATGTAATAATTTTTATACCATCCATGAATATTTTACTAAAAAAAAACAAATGTACTTGACAGTCTATACTGGAGATATGATTGACACTTTGACTCTTGTTTTCTTTTCTATTTACTGTAATAAATTATGTGTCTGTGTTAAATAGTATGACTAATAAGGGAAAATATAATGTAGAATTATGTAAATTTTTCATGTTGTTAATAATTTGCACGCTGACATAGAGGCAGAATGTATATGGGAAATGTAAACCTGAAAAGTACCTACATTCTAGCAAAATAAATTCATTTCATTTCATTCCATTCCATTCCATTCCATTTCATTCCATTCCATTCCATTCCATTCCATTTCATTCCATTCTATTCCATTCTATTCCATTCTATTCCATTCTATTCCATTTCATTCCATTCCATTTCATTCCATTCCATTCCATTCCATTTCAAGGCCTAACTGTGGTCGCCTGCCTGTGGCACCAGACGTGGCAACTATTGACAAACCCTCCGTAGGCCTATGTTAAGTAATGAACAGTGAACGGTTGATATGGACCGGTATAGTACGGTATCGCATGCGCGGCGCAGGAGAACCACTACCGGCCGGCGGGGTCGGCGGCGTGCGTGGCGTGCGCGTGCTACGCGGCGGGCGCGCGCGGCGGCGCGTGCGACGCGCGCAGCGGGCAGTGCGCGTGCCGCGCCGGGGTCATCGGCCGCGCCTGCGACGCCTGCGCCAACCAGTACGCCGAGGTCGCCGCCGCCGGCTGCCAGGGTCGGTGCACCACGCCTCACGGCGCGTGTCTTCTACCACCTTGTTCATAAAAACCTAAACAGCTTACAAATATATTTTAAACTATTACAGTGTTTTGCTTTTATTATCTATCAAATTGAAAAATGTAAGTAGAAGAAAAGGACATAACACTTCAATAGCTAAAATATGTTTTTAAGAGTTTTTTTTATACAGCTTAGAATGGTAAACAAGCTGACAGCCCACCTGATGAAAAGTGGCCTATAGACATGAGCAATACCATGGACATAACAGAGTATACTGTTTCGCCCATGATACCCTCCATGCGTTGCCATTCCTGAGGACTCCGGTGTTATTTCTCTGTACCCTGTAAATTCACGCCATATCCCGCCCTTCAAACCGAAACACAGCCATGCAAACACAACCGCTTTACAGTAGAAACACGAATGGGACAGAGGTACCCAAGCAATCGACTTTTGTACAAAGTCTCCCTCTGGCTTTGACGTTTTCATCAATAAGAGTGTAGTATTAAACGAATTAATGAATGAAAAACTCTTTATTATTCCCTTAAAAGAATGTACAGATTTCGTATGTTAACAAAATGGACACAAACTGTACCCGTGTTGTCCCGGCATAGAATAGGCCACTCCTTCCTTTCCCGTAGGTGTCGTAAGAGGCGACTAAGGGAGGGCGACAGATGGGCAGCAGCGTCCCTCATAAAACATCTCCAAAGCCTAATTGCGATTGCCAATCCGCCTGCCAAATATGACAATTACTGGTAAAAGGGGGGAGACTTACGAAATGATTTACAGATGTCATAAGTGTGTTAGTATTAGTGGAGATTGTATTGTAAAATAAAATTGGTTTTATTAAACTTTTATAATTATTTTATAGTTAGGCCAATTTATTATGAGCCCACTCTCGTATGTTCAGCAGTGGATAAGACGCTAGGTTACTTTATAAACAAACTCACTTTTACATTTATAATATTATAAAGATTTACATAAAGACTTTATCGAATATTACTAACAGAAGTGACGCTCGTTACTGACCGATTATTATAAAGTCAATATTAAGACAATGGTAACTTTCACATGTAACCTATAGTCAAGTTTATCTTTCCGCCAGATCATGTTAAAGTTCATAATGAAACCAAGGGTAACTGTCAACCGAAACATCTAAAAGCTTTTTTATAATGTAATTTTTTTACATTAACACAGAATAGAATGTAAACTTACAGAATACTGACCAAATAAAATGTTACAGTTGTATACGATGGGTGTCCGCGCTCATTTTCGCATGGTGTATGGTGGCCAAGAACCAAATTTGGGATTGAAGCTGTTACTGATTGTCCTGCAGGTAATAAAATAATAATTTTATTTAAATAAATCACATTAAATTGTTAAGCATTAAAGAAATAAGTAAATAAAGTATTCACATTACGAAATGTAAGAAAAAAATGTTTTTTTTTTTAAATAATTATAAAATAATAACCATATTTGATCAATTTAACCAACAAATTCTGTATTAAATATAAAAATAATGATAAAAAATACATTTTAGTAATAAACCTGTATCTTTAGCAACTTTATAGAAATACTTAAAGAAACTTTTTGTGTTTTAATGTATGAGTGGGTTACGTTTCTCTATATATTACTTTACATACTTCGTATTTACGTAGGTACAAGTGGTAAAGCGACTCGTATGTGCGACGAAACACAAGTGGTCCCGTGGCAAGAGCCCGATATGTTTAACTGTACTACATCTACCTTCTATCAGTTGAGGCAACAGGTATTTTAAACATAATATTATTATAGATAACAAATAGGAAATAAGAAGTAAATAAATGAGAGCAGTATTTCACAAATTATTTTACATAGCTATCATTTAAGTTTGAAACATAATTCCAGTTGCACAAGATTGAAACTGGCGAGTTAACAATGAACACATTCGTCGGGGTTCGACTCGCCGAAGACCTGAAATCCGCTTGTCTGAACACTCCACATCTTTACGGAGCTGATATCCTAGTAGCAGAAGGGATATTGCTAGAATTGTTGCAATACGAATTGAAACAAGCCGGATTGAACCTCACGCATAGTCAAGACAAGGATTATGTTAGAGTAAGTATTTATTAATTTAGTTTGCATTTATTAATAGTATCATAGTATTACAAAGTGAAAATACAATATATTGCCTAACCTTTTCAACCTAAAAATGTCATACGAGGTAACCAACCCAACAATAACATCAATGTAAGAAAGTAAATCTCAAAATTCTATACCAACTCATCTAACTGGCATGATGCACATGCACTTGTTTCCATTTTGGATACATTTCATCGTTTCTGACACTTCTTTGGTCAATATACAGTATTTTCTCCCTAACATTCGAGTTCCATACTATAAGTGATTCTCAAAATACAATATTTTCCCTACTTTTTGATACTTTGGTCCTTCGAGCCGGTTATCTGACTAAATATTATAATATATTATATCTCGCAGAATATAATCCAGTCAGCGAACACGATCCTGAACTGGCAATACGAGGCGGAGTGGGCTCGCATACGTCGTATATTAGGCCGCGGCGCGGAGGAGCTGATGCAGCGCTGCGACCGCTACATCGCAGCGCTCGCGCACACACAACACGACACCTATACTAGCCCTTTCGAGATAGTCACCAGCGATATAGGTAACTGATGATATTCTAGTTGTATCCTGTAACCTTAGATTACATAGATAAAGTGTCTCCATACAAACGCTTCGAGAAATGCGGATCAAAAAATAAGTTTTCTATCTTATGGCCAAAATTCTACAGCTATAATAATATCCATTATACTTTATTTTGAAATTATAAGTAATTTTTATTTAATACCTATTACAAAATTTGTAATATTGTTGTTATTGTATTCAGTTATCGGTGTGGACATAGTAACAGCGGAATCGATCTACGGCTTCGAGCCCACCCAACTAAATCGTTACAACATCGACACATACACGACAGAGCGTGTCATACTCCCCGATACGTCTGCCTTCATACACTCTCCCATACAAGCTTCGTACGGCGGCAGCAAAATGAAGAAGAAGCCCTCCAGCCCCACGGTCTCCTTCCCGAAGTACAACAATTACGTGAAAAATAAGAATAAATTTGATAAATACTCGAGGATTTTGCTCCCTTTGGATTTGCTCGGAATAACGAATTATCAAGGTAAGGGGTTTTATAATTCCTTCATTCCTCTAGGTAGTAGACCTTTGGACTGCTAATGCATGAAATTCCTGTGGACGTTATAGTTTATTTTATGATGTTCGTTGTTCCTTTATAAACAATGATTACTACCTTACTTTAAATGGATTATATTTATCTTCTTTACCAATCCTAATAGATAGGAAAACACAAAAATCATATTTAAAGTAGTTACACAATTTTTAGAAATTATATTAAATAAAATATGACCATAATGTAATATCATGTTTTCTCCAATATATAATAGAATGGTCATGCAATAAAGGTGTATTAAGTTTTCTTAACAGTCGGCAACGCGCGCGTGACATCCCTGTTGTTACCCCATTTTAGCATCAGACGAGCCGCGCCACTATAATTGTATAAAAAAAATATCAATTTTTTTTATGACACAATTTCTTTATCTACAGAAAATACTGACACAAACTACGAATCTCGCGCGGTATTCGCGTACATCCAATACTCCAGAAACACCTCGGAACTGATGCCAATGCGTATGGACGAGTCGGTCAGCCAGCGGTGGGGGGTGAACATCACAATAGGCTCTCCAATACTACAAGTAGCTCTATATGTGCCTGAATATGTATGGATACGGGAGTCACATGAAAGCAATGATGACAACTCTATTGAGAACAACATGGACGATGTAGAAGGTAAATAATAAGAATTTCACCTACCAACTTACGCAGTTATTAATGCCTTAATAACTACCAATCCCCCCTCCCCCGACTATCATTATCATATCAGCCTTTAACTGTCCACTGCTGAACATAAGCTTCCCACTTGGTGGGATTTTGCTAATAGCTGCCACGCTTGGCAGGCGGATTGGAAACCGCAGTCGAGCTGTAGAGATGTTTTAAGAGGGACGCTGCTGTCCATCCCTCGCCTTCTCTTAGTCGGCTCTTACAACACCCACGAGATAGGAAGGGATGGCCTATTCTATGCCGGGACCACATGGCTATATTGGGTTCTAATACTACATTGACTTCCTCCAATAATTACCCTGATAACCTACCGCCTACCGTCTTCCTCTCTCGCTCGTGTTAAATCCCTAAAACAAATTTAAATATATACAAAAATATCCTTAGTACAAGTAATTATTTTTCATCTTTATTTATACTAAAACAAAGAGTAACAATAACAATTACAAACAATGTAAGCAAAGGTGAACTTATCTCTAAAAGAGCCCTCTTCTAAGCAACCTTCTTCTATATTATTTTAATTATTACAGGAATAACATACGCTAACAAAGGGCATCAGTCCCATACCAACAACCACATTAGCCCAAACCCATCATCTAAAAACTCTTATCCGCACGACGATGAGACGTCGAACCACGAGAACCACGGACCGATACTCATACAGCCGGCATTTAAAAAACAAGACAAAATACCTTACACCGAGAATAACCTTCAAGAGAATGAATCTAGCTATGTCGCTGAGAAAAATGACGTCGAAGGTCCTAAAGTTATGGCCTTGTCTATGGATGCTGAGGATAAAAACAAAGATGGTACCAACTCGACCAGAGAGCTTGGAAAGAAAAAGTTGATATACAAAAGTATGGGCGGTATAAGGTTGAAGAAGCCGATAAGATTGCAGATGTGGCTGGATATAGACAAAGAGACGTTCGGATCTAGAACTAACCCACAATGTGTTCATTGGTCAACATTAAGGGGGTAAGTACATTTTTAAAGAATTAATTGAGCTACCCTGCAAATTAGCACTTAAAGCAAAACAGTTTTAAGTAAAATTAGCTAAACCTGTCAAGTTTTTAAAATTTGTAATAAGAAAATGGGAATAGGCAGATAATATTTCTATACATATTATTATTAAAGTGCCGGCGAATGGTCCCGCGTGGGTTGCCACACCGAGATCGACTACGACTGGTCGCCGTACTCCAATGAGCCACTCCTCATCAATTGCACCTGCAACCATCTGTCCACCTTCGCTGTACTGGTTGACGAAGTTGATATAGAGGTATGATGGCATTAAAATTACATACTGTTACTATTATTTATATAATTTTACATTTTTACATGTTTTACATTTCAATTGAACCATTTAAGAATATTTTATTTTCTCACGAGAAAAACTTTTTGACTATAAGTTCATTTTTAATGTGATGAAATGGACGATTATGAAATTCTTACTATTTTTTTTTTTTTGAAATTTTTGGTACTGGCAACACTGATGAATATGTGTAATAATACTACTGTAATAAATAGAAAATATTCAATTCAAAGTCAGTTAGAAAATATTCTTACTAGACTTTTTAAGCGCTGAGCAAACGACAATTAACTTTTTTACAATTTTTTTATTACAATTTAACAATTACTTTCGACATATATCCTTATTTATATATTATTAGGTAATTACTACAAGGATCAATCAATTTTATTGTAATAATGTTACTTACACTTTATATTCCATACAGTTCATCCCAGAGCCATCTCTACTGGAATCAGTAACATCCTACACGGCGTTCAGCTTATCGCTGCCGCTACTGTTCGTGACTTGGGCAGCTCTGTGCCTAGTACGAGGCGGCGCAGCCACCGTCTCCAACTCCATACACAAACACCTCATCTTCTGCGTGTTCATGGCAGAGCTGTTATATCTGATTGCTTTGAAAGCGAGAAATACATTAGTGCAGAGTGAGGTGAGTCTTAAGCATTGCAACTCGGTAGAGTATCCACATAAGATTTTTAATGCAATTTAGAGTAACAAACAAGGTAATAGCCCATCTGACAGAAAGTGGTAACTGTCACCTATAGGTATGAACAGCACTATGGATATTACAGATCATATTGTAATGTTCATGATATCTCTTACACACTGCCATTTCTTAGGATTAAGATATTATATTTTCATACTCTGTAACTTCGCTACTATATTCTAACCTTCAAACAGAAATACAGCAACACGAGTGGGATAGAAGTATTTTAGCAAATGACTTTTGAATAAAATCTTAAACTGTCACGTACCAAGGTAAAATTTGATACTTCAAACGCCGATATTTGGGTTTAAATTATTAAACAAGCGCCGATACGATGCGAATAATTTTTTTTGTAAATTGCAAATATCTTTTAATCTCATTAATTTCTTGAGAAAAAAAGAGAGACAGAGAAATGAGTAACTCGGTCGAAGAAGCTTTATTTATATTACTACCATATTTCTATTACTATCATATTTCTATTACTACCATATTTATATTACTACCATATTTATATTACTACCATATTTAAATTACTATCATATTTATATTACTACCATATTTATATTACTATCATATTTATATTACTACCATATTAATATTACTACCATATTTATATTACTACCATATTTATTTTACTACCATATTTATATTACTACCATATTTATATTACTGCCATATTTATATTACTACCATATTAATATTACTACCATATTTATATTACTACCATATTTATTTTACTACCATATTTATATTACTACCATATTTAAATTACTATCATATTTATATTACTACCATATTTATATTACTATCATATTTATATTACTACCATATTAATATTACTACCATATTTATATTACTACCATATTTATTTTACTACCATATTTATATTACTACCATATTTATATTACTACCATATTTATATTACTGCCATATTTATATTACTATCATATTTATATTACTATCATATTTATATTACTATCATATTTATGGGAGAGGGAGACTTTGTACGAAAGTCGATTGCTTGGACACCTCTGTTCCATTCGTGTTTCTACCGTTAAGCAGTTGTGTTTGCATGGCTGTTTCTGTTTAAAGGGTGGGATATGGTGAGAATTTACTGGGTACAAAGGAATAACACCTGAGTCCTCAGGAATGGCAACGCATGGGGGGTATCATGGGCGGAACAGTATACTCTGTCATGTCCATGGTACTGCTCATGTCTATAGGCGATGATTACCGCTTTCCATCAAGTGCGCCGTCAGCTTGTTTGCCATTCTAAGTTGTATAAAAAAAATTGTATGAGTGTCGTGTGCGGGCGGCGCAGTTCCCGTGCAAGCTGGTGGCGATGGGGCTGCACTACTGGTGGGTGTGCGCGCTGGCGTGGGCGGCGTGCGACGCGTGGCAGGTGCGGCGGCTGGTGCGCGAGCTGCGCGACGTCAACCACGGCGGGCTGGCCGCGCCGCTCGCCGCCGCCTACGCCGCGCCCGCCGTGCTGCTCGCGCTCGCCGCCGGACACCACCAGCACCAGTACGGCAACGCGCTCTTGTGAGTACCGTCACTCGGCTCCTCTGACACCCACAGGAAAGGAACGGGTGGCCTGCTCTATGCTCAAACCACATACAGGCAGTCGTCGACTTACGTCGTTTCAAGTTACGTCGAACAAGTTTTGATACTGTTCCTCAAGCATGTCAACTGTTTCGATTTCCGGCATAGAAGAATTCACTTCACTCCATATGTATAATTATTTTAAAAACTTACTTTTGATAATAATGTATATATATCCTTTGTTATAAATGCAGTCTTTTTTATTTTTTATTTTGAGTCACTGTGGATCCTTGAGTTTTATATGTAAAAACATATAAAAAGTTAAAGGTCAAAGCATTATTCCCGGTGAATTCATTATGATATACAGTTACATGAAAAAATACAACTATATATGTATGTATAATTACAATGGTCTGTAAAACTTGTGGGAGACTGGACCCTAAACTAGATCAGAGATCTATATCTCAGAAATCCAGGCCCCCAACTCGGACAAAATGATGTATAGGCATATACTGGGAATAGATGTACTATCTAAATAGGTATAGACTAATTTATGTGTCCAAAATTGTATTGGCAAGACTGTTTCTTGTAAATAAATATTGTATGGTATGGTGACGGCAGCTGCTGGGTGAGCTGCCACGAGCCGGTGGTGTGGTGGGTGGTGGTGCCGGCGGCGGTGTACGCGGGCGCGGCGCTGGTGTTCCTGGTGGGCGCCACGCGCGCCGCCTTCACCGTGCGCGACCACGTCGTCGGCTTCGGCAACCTCAGGTTCGATACACGGCTACCACACAAGTGCCGGTATAATCTATACATATAATAAAACTGTAGAGGTCTAATGTCTGTACGTAGAAAAAAAAATGCTAAAAACCAAGTCACGTTAAAAGTGAAACAGTACAAATCCCGATTTTTTTGTTTTCTGTTTTTGTCTGTTTGTACGGACTAATCTCTGAAACTGTTGAACCGATTTAAATGAAAATTTGCATGGTGGTGCCTTACATCCTCGGTTTATAAATATGCAACATCCAATAATAATAATAATAAGGAGGGGGGAGGTTAATAGGTGAATATGGAATGGTGAAAATGAAAATGGAATGAAACCAGAGGGAAACTTTGTACAAAAGTCGATTGCTTGGGTACCTCTGTCCAATTCGTGTTTCAACCGTGAAGCAGTTGTGTTTGCATGGCTGTGTTTCGGTTTAAAGGGTGGGATATGGTGAGAATTTACTGGGTACAGAGAAATAACACCTGAGTCCTCATAAATGGCAACGCATGGGGGGTATCATGGACGAAACAGTATACTCTGTTATGTCCATGGTACTGCTCATGTCTATAGGCGACGATTACCACTTTCCATCACGTGGGTCGTCAGCTTGTTTGCCATTCTAAGTTCTATAAAAAAACCGCCATCGGTATACGCTGGCTGGGCACCAGTAGGGGATGATAGGTAAAGGATAGTCAGCCCATCGTGATGAATTCGACAAGAATTAACCACAATCGTTTCCAGGGGGAACCGCATAGAGGTTGAGTAGAGTAGTAGTATTAGCACTGGGGCAGTTAGAATCCATTACTAAGAATCTCTTCCCATCTGCTATTATATAGCAGGTTTTTTAAAGATGATAATGGAATAGTAACCCCGCCTGCGCTATCGGTATACACTGACGCGGCATTACTGAGTGATGACAGGTAAGTATGAAACAGGTCAGTTAGCCCATCGTGACAAAAGACCACTAAATTAAACCACGATGGTTTTCAGGGGGAACCGCGTGGAGGTCGACCTAACAAGGTATATTGCTAGCAATTGGACTGTTTTTTTTACGGGTGAAAATGTTATGGTAACCCCGCCTGCGCTAACGGTATACGCTTGCGGAGCACCAGTGAAGGGTGATAGATGAGAATAAAAACAGGCCAGTTAGCCCATCGTGATCAATTCATCAGGAATTAGCCATGATAGTTTCCAGGGAGAACCGCGAGGAGGTCGACCTGGTTAGGTGTATTGCTAGCAATGGGATTCTCAGTCTCCATTACTAACAATCCCTTTCCCCCCGCAATTGGACTGTTAGTCCGCATTACTAACGACCCCTTTCGTCCTGCTATTATTGTCATCTACTACGTACTTCCTCGCATGTTACAACAATAGCGAGTGTAACCGCAGCACGCTGTCGTGCAGGATGCTGCTGGGCGTGAGTATCACGTGCCTGCCGCTGGTGACGACGGCGTGGGCGAGCGCGCTGGTGCTGGCCAGTGAGACGGGCCCGCGCCGCGCCGCGCTGTCGTCGCTGCTGGCAGCGGCTGTAGCGCTGCACGCCGCCGCTGCAGCGCTCGGATACGTCGTCGCCAACGTGCGAGTGCGAGACAACCTGCGCAGGTACAACATCGCCCTGTAACACCCCCGCTTACTTATTACTAGTAGAAATACGGTAGTGCTGCACAAAAAATACCGATTTTCATTATGACAAAACCAGTAATTTTGAGTTGTAATCTAAACAATTGAATCTATTTTAATAAGAGTTCTGTGGGACCAATCTGTGAGCATATCTATTCAGACAAAAAAAAGAATTTTCTAAATAGGTTTACAACTGCCGTCAGTTGTTATAACTGTTATAAGGTAAAAAAAAAAATGTAAAATAGCACAACCGAATTAAGAATCTTTTTATTTTTGAAGTCAATCGACTTGAAATACTGACAGACTTGAAATTTTGAAGTCAATGACTGCAAATAGAGATGAAAACTTATTACGCTGACTCCAAATTTTTTGGCCAGTTCCACTCGTCCCTACCAACGTTTCCCTAATAGAGTAGGTAAGATCGAATTTTACTCTACCGAACTCCACTGATAGAAATGAATGGAAATTCATTCCTACATTCTTAATTTAAATGTTACAGAACCATTCTCAGATGTATGGGCAAGAAGGTGCCATTGGCCGACACATCTATCATTGTGAGCAGTAGTGCTCAGAATTTGTCTCAAATAAATAGGTATGTATTGTAATAACTTCACCTATAAATTTAATTGCTATGATATAAAAAAATTATATGATACTAACGACACGCCCCGGCTTCGCACGGGTGCAATGCTGATACTAAAAATACTACAAAGTGATTTAAAAATTAACCTTAATACTGACTAAAGTACGAACATACAATTTAAAAATGTCACGCTAAAAAGCACGATACTATATTATGCATGTATTATACATATAAATCTTCCTCTTGAATCACTAGAGTTTAATGCTAAAAAACCGCATCAAACCGCTAGTTTTAAAGATCTAAGCACACATATGGACAGACAGCGGGAATCGACTTTATTTTATACTATGTAGTGATAGTGATATAAATATGACGTTATAATAGTAATAATTATAATTGGTTAATTATATTACCAGGTCGGCACTGGCGTACCACAGCAGTACAGAGCCTGGTCGGCAGATGCGAAATATTGGTATATCAGCATCGTCCACTACATCCAGGTCCACAACGAAGACAAGTTCTAGTCCTTACAGGTATGTTTTTTTAATGGGTCATAATGAAATAGCGACCCCGCTGCGTTAGCGGGGCACCAGTGAATAATGATAAGTGAGGATAAAAGCAGAACAGCGGGTCTACCGTGAAGTGAAATTCCGAATTTTCGGACTTAATTTCGTGTTTTTGTTTATACCAAAATCGGACCAATAAATGGAGATTAACATTTCGTTCGTCATACATCCTATCATAAAAGTCCAAAGGAACGATATTTAAACATTTTTAATATTTCTAAAAGACATGTATTATATATTTTTATCATCAAATTTGTCTTGCGTTTAGCTCCGAAATTTCGAATAACGTTTCATAGTATGCCCTCAGTTTGTCTATCGTGATGAATTGAACAAGTATTAACCACGATAGATTCCAAAGAAAATTGCGGAAAGGTCGACCTAATAGAGTATATTGCTAAAGGGCCAGTTAGACCCCATTACTAACAGTCCTCCCCCTTTGGGGGAAAAGGATTGTTAGTAATGGAGACTGAGAATGCCATTGCTAGCAATATACCCAACCAGGTCAACCTCCTCGCGGTTCCCCCTGGAAGCTATCATGGTTAATTCCTGATGAATTCATCATGGTGGGCTAACTGGCCTGTTTTCATTCTCATCTATCACCCTTCACTGGTGCACCGTCAGCGTATTGCGTTAGCGCCGGCGGGGTTACCATGCCATTTTCACCCAATAAAAAAAACAATCCTCCCCCCCCCCCCCTTCTCGTACAGGTATGTACCTATAATGTCAATTAAAGGATTTACCCTTTTAGAATTCAAAACTGAATATAAAAGCGATATTGAACTTGGTTTTGAGTTTAAAATCTGTATAACTTCTAATTTTATTTATATGAGTTTTACCTCTATTAACCCTTTGCACGCCGTTGTCGCCGTATTTGTGACGTTAAAATGCTAACATTAAAGCCACTGTCGCGGCTACGGCGATACGCTTTACTGACTCAGCGCCCTTAACACTTGGGTAGGCTAAATCGTCTCTGTTTATCTTATAGTGTTTATGATATTTTATTATGTTTATAATAAATTAATTATAAGTTAATTAGTTATTCTCTAGAGTGCAAAAAACACACACAGAATATCAGTGTTTTTCTCTTTTGAGGGCAAAGCAATAAACTAAGTCGTGACCATTTAGTATTACTGTGGCACACGTATGAAAAAAAAGGAAATTGTTGATTTTTTGTTTGCTTTTTAGTTTTTGTTGCTTTTTTTGTTTTTCATTCTTTTATCTTTTTTACTGTGTATTATGTGTATGTTTGTATTGTAATCTGTGTGCTGTAAGTAATGTAAATAAATTATTTATCTATCTATTTATCTAAAAGGTTAAATTTGTTTTTGTTTGTATTTCAGCCGCAGTGATGGACAGTTACGTCACACGAGCACTTCGACTTCTAACTACAACACGAGCGCGAGCGACATGCCCGCCTACCTTAGAGGGTTCGACTCCTCATTGCACAGTAGGAAAGATGGTGAGTTTATACATACATTGAAGAGAATTATGTTACTTTTACATTTGTTATTGTTACACCAGAGGGGGACTTTGTACAGAAGTCGTTTGCTTGAACACCTCTGTTCGTGTTTCTACCATGAAGCGGTTGTGTTTGCATGGCTGGGTTTCGGTTTGAAGGGTGAGATATGGCAGTGAATTTACAGGGTACAGAGGAACAATACCTGAGTCCTCAGGAATGGCAACGCATGGGCGAAACAGTATAATCTGTTATGTGCATGGTATTGCTTATGTCTATAGGCGACGGTTACCACTTTCCATCAGGTGGGCTGTCAGCTTGTTTGCCATTCTAAGTTGCATATACAAAATACCGTTATATATTATCATTAAAAAAATACTTCATTGGAGGTCCAATGCTGCTCTCCCCCCAGGGGGGTTTTGTCAGTAGTTGCCGCGCTTGACAGGCAATTTGACTTCCGTAGGTAGGCTTTAATGATATTTTAATAGGGACGCTGCTGCCCATCCCTCGACTATTAAGTTCCCTTTGTCGCCTCTTACGACACCCAAGGGAAAAGAAGGGTATCTCGTTCTATGTCTAAACCAAACGACCACACGCCACAAGGTATTTTTTTTTATGGATGAAAATGGTATGGTAACCCCGCCTGCGCTAACAGGATACGCTGGCATAGCACCAGTGAAGGGTGATAGATGAGAATGAAAACAGACCAGTTAGCCCATCATGATAAATTCATCACGCCACAAGGTATTCAGATGCTATTTTTGTTTTTTTTCCCCTATTTTTTTAGACGAAGGCCGCCGCCGCCGCAGAGCAGCCGCCGAAGGGGAAGCTGGGGAGACTGGCGAGACCGGGGAGGAAGCGACCGAAGCTACCGATAGCGACAGTGAAAGTGCACGCAGTCTGGAGCTAGCCTCCAGCCACTCCTCCGACGACGACGAGACCAGCACACGCCGCTCCAGCCACCCGCCCTCTGCCAACAGTCAGTACACTCATACCCACTAACCTGTAGCGAAATCATGAATCATCATCATCATCATGTCAGCCATTATCTGTCTACTGTTTTATATAGGTCTTCCTCATAGACCACCATAATAAACGGTCCATAATAATACCTGCATCTACTGACTCCTTGCAATGAATTTGAAGTCACTTCATCTAATAGGGGGTCGTCCTACACTGCGTTTGCCCGTATAGGATTGCTACTCAAATACCTTTCTTCCTCATCGGTTGTCAGTTCTTCGAGCTATGCGACCAGCTCATTGCCACTAGCTTGTTTATCCTTCGGTCTATGTCGATTACTTTCGTTCTTTTTCGGATATTCTCGTTTCAAATTCTATTACGCAAAGAAACCCAGAGCATAGTACTCTCTATAGCCTGCTAAATAATTTGAAAAAAAAAACATTAATATAAGATAAAATGTAACTCTATACTCATGAATTACGTACAATTATAATATCTAAATAATATTCTATGTGGAACAATATTGTAATGCTTTACAGGGGAACGCGGTACTAGTAGTGCAGGCGGTAGCTACCTGCCAAACATCGCTGAAGGTGCACCCTTAGCCATAGCTCCAAGGTGGCCATCGCACATAAGAGAAGGTAAATTAATATTAAACCTTCTAAACATTAAAATCTATAATACTTTTCAAATAAAACCCCCAATTATTGTTTCATTACGTGTACAGAACCAGGACGCCCAGATATGGGCCGGTGGTCCCAAGAGACGGGTTCAGACAACGAGGGCTTGAACCCCGGTCTAGCTTCGCCATCTCCCAATCCGCTGCCGAATCCTGATCTCACATCGGACGTATACCAACTAAGCCGGCACCGTCTGAAGCCGTCCATATTGGAGAACGTACATGACACTTACGTGGCTAGTGTTGACGCGTCCAGGCTACCTTTAGATAACAGGTATGGTATTAAATATTAGATCGGAAAGTGTAATCTGGATTCGGTAATTTGAACTCGTATCATAGCTGTATGACATGGCTGTAGCTGGAAAGGGGGGGGGGGGGGCGTGAAGGGCAATGTCCTACCTTAAAATACTTCATGCTATACCTTATATTAAAACCCCCAAGAAAATTACATAATTTCGCTTTTTCAAAGTCACTTAATCATAGCTTCTGCCCTACCAAAAAGTTCTTTTAACCTACCTTAAATTTGGGTCTAGCTACGGCCCTATTATCTAAGAAAGTGCATTCAGACTGCCATGATACGAGTGGTATATTTTTTATCCTCTCTTTCAATTGTAAACCCTAAATGTTTTTTTTTTTTTTTTTTTCAAATTAATACAATTTTTAAAACTACTAGTTTTTATACACAACTTTGATTTCGTGGTCGATTCAAAACACTACGTAAGCAAATTCCTTGATAATTACTAAAAATATTAATAGAAATAGTTAGAGTATTAGCAATGAAATCATCAATGTATCATATAGTCTAGCTGAAATTTCACTTATTCGACAATATTTCGTCGTAGGTATGGCGTTATGGACGAGGAGCTGATGTATGGTGTATTACCAACGGAAACTGAGAAACAAATCCCGTACGATCCCAACTACCCACTCTCACCCACCATGTACAGATTACCCGGTAACCCTTATGGTTCCAAAACGTATCTGTCATCTAGAACATCTGACTACGGATATAGCCCAACGAAGTATCTGAACCCCGACACAAATGTATACGGCTCCCGGGATTTCCGGGATTCAGGGGTTACGACGAGAGAGCACGACAACTATACCCCTCGAGATTTCCGGGATTCCGGCATCGCTACCATGTTGAAAAATGACTATCAGAGGAAAATGGAGAGTCACTACGGAGCTGAATACAGTGAGAGGATGTCCGAGGGCTCAGATAAACATCTCCCACACGATAAATACCTGTTTCCCTATACCGGTACGTATTAATAATGTATTTCTAGAGTGTGTAAAGTTTATTGTGGGTTTCTTGTGTAACATTATGACTATTACCTTTAAAATAACTCTATTTTGTTTAATTTTTACTTCTGTTATGTTAAATTTTAATTATTTGATACTAGAGTTGTTTGCTTTTATTATTCTTTTTATGAGCTTTAGCTAAAAGCAAACACACATTAATCACATCCTTGGCCCTTATGCTTCTTTAAATCTTTTTGTCGATTTTCTTCTACCGATATTTTGTATTTTATTGATATCGCTTTCGATTGTGTGAATCTTGTGTGATTTAGCTGGAAAAGTAGTTACACTCTTAGCATTCTTTTTTATTTTACTTTTGATAGCGTCTTAAAAACGTAAGGAAATAACATTTAATATGCGCCGTAAATTAAATACGTAAACTGGGTAACAATGATCACTATTCTTAGACACGTCTATACATATAATATTTGAACGTCTATGAATATACATATGGCACTTGTCTATTTTTCTTCAGATTTTGACTCTAGTCTAAGAATACATACAACCCTTTTTAAAACCCCCCCTCTCCTCCACCCTCCTCTCTCTGGAATATAATCCTAATAATATTGTAAATGTGAATGTTTGTAAAGTTATATCAATGGATGGACGTATGGTTATGTCCCAACTTAACACTTACGATTCATAAATTCTTAGAATTCACGCGGGCAAAGTCACGGAATATAGCTATTCTTAAATACACGTATTATCCTAAAAATAAAAAATAAAAACCCATCAAAATTACAATGTCGAAAGTAAAATAAAAGAATGAAAAAGGTATTATAGCATCTGACCGGTCCGTTTGTGTAGCGGAGGAAGACCACGCGAGCTCGCGCGGGGCTGCGTCCGCTCCTCACCGCCCACATTCAGGTAATGTCCAACACATACATATTTATTTGCATTTGTGCCATCACACCGATTCCATTGTGTCCGCTTTTGTCTCTTTTATTTGCTGTCATATATAAGTTTGTGTTAAAGTATGGAATAGCAATTGTACATAGCTCGAAGAACTGTCTGTCTCGATGTGTAAGGAAGGTTCTCGAATGACTATTCTATACAGAAAATGCAGTAAAGTCTCTTCACCGCATGCAACGATGACTTTAAATATATAGCAGGATGCCAGTGGATGTAGGTAGTTCACGACCGTTCCTTGGTGGAAAGCCCAATGGATGGGCAGATATATATTCTACAGATTATAGGGCCGATTCTGATGTGCCAAACCTACTTTCATAACGTAATATTTTAAATTGATAATTTTGCAAAATTATTGTTATAATCTATCATGAACTAAAATTACTATAATTTTGAGTTAAATCTATTGGAAAAATAGTTTATAAAGGTCCTTGAAAATAATTTATATAATTTGCTGTGATATCAATTTAAATTTTATAGATAAGTTTAGAAGTATAGGTTTAGGCATAGAATAGGATTTTCTTTCTGTCCCATGAGTGTCATAAGAAGCCACTAAAGGAACTTAATGGTAGAGAGATAGGCAGCAGCGTCTATCTTAAAACATCTCTAAATTCCTAAATGTGGTCGCCAAGTATGGCAACTAAAAACTCCGTTTATACTCCAGCTTATGGACAGTTAAAAGTGGCTGAAATGATGATGATGAAATAATCATTATAGTGTGAATTATTATCATCTTCATGTGAATCATCGTTTAGACAACGTTTTATTTGGATCTTATTAAATAATAGAATATAAATGAATAATATATCAACATTAATAAAATTTAACCAAATTACAGTCATTTTAAAAAGTCCCTTAAGTAAATAAAAAGTCCTAATAAATACAGTGTACATTTACAACAATATGATCCTTAGAGCCGGATTTTTTTTTACTAAAGTAATATTATTATTTTTATTCTTTAGGTGATCCACCGCAACAAATGGGGGCGCCACTAGCAAGTATGGGAGAAACCAGCGAGTAAGTTCTGTTTCATATTATTACTCATCAATTCGAATTTCTAAATCAGTGCATGATTGCATGTTAAACAAAATAAATGTCAATATGTCACAGTGAAAAATGTCACTCCAACATGCCAGCTTATTTAAAATTATTAAATATTTTAATATTTACCACATTTCTCTCCCACGATAATAGATAATATAGATCATAAACGGGCACACATAGGTGGATGGCAACTCTAATCATATTTCACCACGAAATTTATAACCAAATGGATTTGCAATACAACTCTTTGGGTCGTTATTTCTTTAACATTGTTAAACATTTCTTTTTATAAAGCTTACGCAAGGTTCTATGGTGACGACAATACAATATTACAGCGTTAGATTATATAGATAGAGAGAGCATCGAACCTCAAAAATGGGTCAACTAATTGTCAAATTAGCAGACTCGTTTTTTTTTTTATCAGTGTTCTATGTACTTACGCATAAAATGTATTTTGACGTAATATTTTTAATATTAAAAAAAAACATAGCAAATAGTCATTAACAGTCTACTGACAAAGACTGACTTTAAGGAAACATAAACGGCGAGAAAATCCCCATATCACTAAAGCGAAGGTGATGTTTGATTACGTTGTGACACAATAACGCTACCGTCGAGATTAATCGGGTTGTAAGGTATAATAGAGCAGACACATAGAGGACGAGGGCTAAACAATCTTGCTTTATTAATTTTATTTTTAACCAAAATTAAAATAATATGTGCTTAATACTGCAATATCCGTTTGGTTTCAATGTTCTTGTCCTTAACATTACATTGTCTATAGATGGTGGCGGTTGTATGAGAAACACTCATTGTAAATCATCTTTTGCTTTGCTAACTGGTGGTGTTGCCGCGCTCTATATCATCACTCACCTTAGGGAGGAGGTAACCGATACGTTTTAATACATTCTGCATGTTCTTTCTATATTAAATAAGTTTCAAAACCCAAAATATGGGCAATTGTAATGCTATTCTGTAAAGAAAAATTGAATTTCACTAACGTATCAGCTAATGAAATTGAGTTTGAAAATATGTTGCCAGATTAAATAAATGACAGCACCATATAAATGATGTAAAAATTTAAGTGAAGTGAATATACTAAATGTTACAGAATAACATTGCCAAAACCTTGTCCAATTACATTTTGTGAATTATAGGACTTTTTTTTTCAAATTTTAGATTGATCCTATTATTACTTATCACTATCATCACATCACACAATTAATCACACACACACACACACACACACACAAGTTATCACACAATATAATATAGAAATGTTTCGAAAAAAGTTTGTAAAGTTAGGTAAGTTATATAGTTACAAGTTTACAAATTATATGACCTTAGCAATACAAATATAACAATTAAATGATGCATGTAACATTTGTTAACTAAAACAATATTTAAATAAAAATTCTTTAGAATTATTTTATTGTATTTAATTAATATATTTTAAAATTTTCTTTCAGGAAATCTACTACTGAAGATGACGCCGAGACAAGAGTGTAATACTCCAATATAGTACAAGATTTCCAATGATTCTCAATTAGTATATTAATTCATTATAATTATATTTAATCTATGTAATTAGCATTAATTTTCTGCAAAGACTGTTAACAATCAGTACCCACTGCCATAGAGTAGAAAATACGTAACAGCTATTTATTTTTTGTCTATGCTTTAAGTAGATATTTCAATAGTGGAGATTACTGATGTTTACCCTCTTATTCATAAAAACATCAAACCTTTAATAAACCTATCGAACTGTTTTTTTTTTCTTCTCTTTCTATTAGGCTAAATTCCCAATTTGACAGAAAGTGACAAAACACAGTAATAGTTAAAATAAGTTTGTAGAAGGTTTTAGTTTTTATGAATGAGGTTATAAATGTATAGTATCTAAATTGTTTGACCCAATAAGTGTACTGTTAGAGAAAAGTAAGATTGAGATTTCACAATAGCTTTATGCTTTAAAAGTTATTTCACAACATAGTACCTAGCTAAATACTTTTTGAAAGGAAACATTTTATGTGAAATAAGAAGTTAAAGAAAGACAATGTGTAAAGCAAAAGTTTAAAAAGACTTTATCATGCAATGATTATCATTTGATATATCTAGTAAATCTTGTGAACTAGCTATGAATATTTTTTATTCGTAAATAAAAACTGCAACATTGTTGACCGTTTGAAAGTGTAGTTAAAATATTGCTCTAGGCTATCTTAACTTCATGGGCAGCTCTAGTACAAGGCAAAGGAATCTGACCTGACATCATGTCATCGCTACGTCATGTATGAGATAGAACGAGACAGCAACGTTCGGCGTCCTGTTCTTTTTCATGCATGCGCTAAGGAAAAGATATCTATCGATAGATTCGATTGCCACGTATATAACGATTGGTGTATTAAGGAGAAGTCTGGCTACTTAAAAAAGGCACATAAGCACCTTAGACATGTCTTTGCTCATATTTGAAAGCTCCTCTTTTGATCCTGATATGGGCGCCAGATAATTCATGTGTGGGCATGGTCCATCCGGTCTCTCCTTTAATTACGCCTTTATTTCTAGCGAGCAATATTAACATAAACGTTCTGAAGTATTAAAATAAATAAATACAAGTCGGTAATAATTGATTTATCAATGATAACTCATTACCGGGACTAGTGCAAATATTTGTTTGTGTGTGGACATTATTATTAATTATAAGGTTAAAAGCAAAGCAACGACGCCCAAAGTCAGTCGTGTAAATAGTCAAGTAGTAAATAGAGTTCATTTAGATAATTTCATAGTAACTCGTATTGTATTGTAGGTTGGTATGGTTCGCGTAGGACGCGGCATGTGTAATGTTTCACGTTTGCCCGATGGAACTTTATCTACTGTTTTAATGTAGGTGTTTGAGCGCGCCATTTAACTAAAAATGTTACAAGCAATGTATCCTCTTATAAATAATTGGTATCGTATATTCAACCGCCTTTAAAAAAGGAGGTTTTCAATTCAGTTGTATGTTTTTTTATTAATGTATGTTCATCATTCATCAGTCATCTGTCAGTTGTAAACCAAATTGGAAAATTCTTTTTTTTATCTAAAATGATATGCTTACGGATTATAACATTTCTATGGGACCCCATAAAAATATTATTACAATCGGTTCAGTACTTTAGTTTTACAGTTTTGTAGTTCAAAATAACTAGTTATGCCACAATTAAAGTCGATTTTTTTTTTTGTGGAATAGATTATTTTGTAATAAACTCACGAACTTGAAAATTACTTATTATGCGACACATGTTCAATTGATGACAAATAGACAAGGAAATAAAATTATTTTTGTTATTACAATTTTCATGCTTGAAAAATCATTATAGATATATCTTCATAGATGACAACGACGAAGGTGTTACAGTATTTTCTGTGATGTTCATAATATTGTACATATCTATAGGTAACGGTTACCAATTTCAATCAAGTAGCCATTAGTTTATTTGTTATATTACATAAAAAGTATACTTCAAAAAAATATACTTATTTCAAAAATAATACCTACCCGTATATCTCATTTCGATTTCTGATTGGCCTGCGTGTTCTTTATAAAGTATTTAGTTAAATGGTGCTTCACAATACCTACTGTTACGATACAAATTATTTTTATAGAAAAACCAAAAGCTATTGTCTGTAATCGATGTAACTAGATATATTTAAGCGACATTTATATTTTATATTCGAATCGAAATAAAGCGTTACTCTCAGTGGTAGGTGTATAGCTGTGCAAGATAAATACGCTACGTTAATCTTTCTAATATGCTAATTTCTAATTCTATTTTTAAACCACATTAAATATGAGGTGATCCTTGATTCACTTATCATATACGTGCCGTCATTCTTCATCAATTCTGAGTTGGTTATAATTTATTTTGCAAACAATTGAATTTATGTGGCATAACTTTGACAGATTAAAACAAAATCTTATAACGAATCAACTTTTTTTTTTTTATTATAGGGAATACTATCCACTGCGAATGACGCTTAAATAGATTCACTACTTGAATAGTCAACACCTTATGGGATTGATATTATGTACTGACAAAATATTTGCATTTTTATGTACATACTGAGAGAGTGTTGTGTGTGTTTTGAGCATTTTAACGAAGAGTCCACCTATTTTGTAAATAAATAGATTTTTACACTTTGTAGCGTCTAAATAAGTAGACAATGGATGTAAGGAAAAGCTTTATTTAATTAGGTATATAGGATCTGATTGCCATAATTATTATTTAACGTGTTATCTAAGTGTGCATAAGATTTGTATACAGTGTGGTTTCTCATATCTAAATATATAACCAACTGGACACTTGTGAGCTGAATTCAAATATACATATCTAGATATAGGTACATACTCTTGCTACCATTTTGCTTCGATAAACATTGAAACTAATCTAAAGAGCTACGTAGCTGTTATCTGCTACTTCGCCCGCAATTGGATTTCTTAAATCGATTCTGTTGTTTTTTATAGTACCTACTTATATTTTAAATACATCGAATGTATTAGTTTTTATTCTAAATTATTAATGCACTTATTCAGTGTAACAAATCAGGTTATAATACCTTTTGATACCTATTTGGTATTTTTAATTTCTAAACCCAGTTACATATAAAATATTGAGGGAATTTTACTTTCTAATAAATAACTAAAATACCCTGCACATTTTCTCTCTTCACTAATTAATTTAAAAATTGGTATAATGAATTTGTACCAAAGGTAATTTTGCTTAGAACTATATCCAAATTTTGTTTTATATCTAATATTGATCTGTGAGGATTCTATCGTTATATTTAACTACACAACCAAATATTTACATCTACGAAGAAAACCCTATAACAATAATTATTATTCTGAAGCCCCTATGAGTAAACTTTAAACTTAAATAAATCTAATGACTCAGCTCACAAGTAACTACCGTCATAGAACCATCACATTCCATTTTAATATCCTCTAATTTATGCTTTACATGTTAGAAATTAAGTTTGAAATTGCTGTGATTGTTATGAAACTGCAATTCATAAATATTTTGTTTACATTCCATGCTTGTGATACTCAGTCTTTTGAGTAGTACCAATATTTGAAACATAGATGTATGTACAAACATAAACATCTGAACTGTTTTATATTGAAATAAAATATTTTATTGCTAAACTATAGTGTTATTTTAATAAAGCCATCCAGACATTAATAAGGGGTACGTACAGAATCGAAAACGAAACCATAGACAGCACCAGAGTGACTTTGTACCAAAAGAGTCTGGTTGGAATAGATACCTCAGTCCCACTCAGTAATCTATGGTCCCACTCGTGTTTCTGCCATCGAGAAGTTTGCACGATTCTGTAGTTTGAAGGTTGAAATATGATAATGAAATTACTGGTTACGAAGACATAATATTACATCATAGTCCTCAAAAATGGCAACGAATATTATAGTATGAAGAGGCGTAGACCGTAACTCGATAATCATGTTTACGAAAAAAACATACACCACCTAGGAGCAATCTTAGTATTACCAAGTAATCTAAATTTTAACTTAGTAAAAGTTAAAATTAAGTCAGCCCACCAAATAGCCGTAGCTACGACCGGGAATTGTTAGACTAGGAAATCGCTAGAGTTCACGATATAGAGGTTCTAGGTTGCTTAATTATGTAGCCATGTTCATATTTATGAACACCCTCTGCCGTCAACAAGTCAATATTTACTTTTAGTATTCAAAACAAACACTAAGCAAGCCTATAACATTGTTAACACTAGTTTGATTAATGTTTTGATCCGAATTTCTTTACATAATTATTATTATCTGATTGTTCTACAAATTTATAGTAAATTTACATAATAAAAAGTGAAATAATTTTTATTTTTAAAAAAACGCCGATTCCAAAGTATCAATTTAATTTTAAACAATATATTTTACATTTCATTTTTGTAGGCAAGTTATACGAATGAACAGAAAGAACAACACAAAACTTTTATCTATTTATTCATCAACATACATAATAATATCTACATTTGCACAAATAAAGTATATTAAATTAGAATCCCATCAGTTAACAGTACTTATGACTGATTTAATACTTCGTCGATTTTGATTTGTTCCACATTTTGAACACAACTTTGTGCCTAATACAAAAAAAATCTATAGATTTTTAGATATTCCAACCAAACGATGTTCTATATATGGCATTCACGTAAACACCTATACTTAAGATTTTATGGATACGGTTTTTTTAAATACAATAAATTAGTATACAGGTAAGCAAACTAATATTTACAGTTGGGAGCAACAATATTATTTTAAAGATATAATAATTTTATAGTTATGATAGCAGGTCAATTTTAAAATATAGTATATTCTCCATACATACAGAAAATTGAGAAACTTAAGTTGCTGACATCATTACAACACACTGCAAAAATTTTAGCAGACCAAAAAAATGGATATAATTCACCTCATTCTTTTTATAAAAAAGAATGAAAACGATTTATGTAATAGTTTCAAGAACTTCAATTTATGATTAACAATATCAATAAACCATGGATTACTGTAACATACGGAAAATAAACTAAGGTAATTATGCAAATTGTTTATGTACACTTGTATAGTTGTAACTCGTGACTCAACAAACCAATCTAAGTTTCCACAAAAGTGATGAAAGGTGGTATGGAATGTTTAAGCTTTTCCTATAATGACTAAATACAACATTGCTTGTAATGTAAAGATATCTTATGAAATGATTATTTGCAATGTAACTCTATTATTATAAATAACAACATGAAACACATGTGCATTTAGTCATATTCAACATTAGGATACTGTAATATGTAGTTTTATACAAGTCTAATAATGGTTATAGAATCAAGTTAAAAACACTCCAAAACAATCAAAACCTGACATCTTAGCACAAAATGCAATAATGTAATAAGTCTAATTAACACCAAATTACAACTAGTTAATATGAAAGGTATATTTTTTTCCAATTTATATTATATTAGTGCCAAGATCAGATTTTTATACAATATAAGTTCATCAAAATAATAAAAAAGAAATTTTAATATTCAGCACACATGAAAATAGTATATTGGTATTCAAACATACACAATTCAGCACTATAACAATATGGATTCAAGCTTCGCTCCTGGGATATATTTTGTAGATTTCTTTCAAGCACTGTATAGATTAAGGTCGGGTCGAAGCTGGAGCGAACCAGTGCTATATTGTACACTGAAAATAAAAAAAATTCACTTTACAACAAAACTATTTATACAATCAACTTCAAGACTCTCACCTGTACACTGTTATCTATCATCTACTGATTACCAATGATATAGTAGCTACATCCTTATTAATGAAAAATATATGTACATAATGTAGTCATAAAATATAACTAGCTAAGCCATTGAGGCATCAAGAGGTAACAAACAATAAACATTCATAATATTAGCAAGGACATTTTTCTAAAAAACATCCCAATTATAACATAAAATTTATAGGAAAAACATTAAAATAAACACTTTTAATTAAAAAATTATCATTAAAATTGGTCAACAAAGAAAAGTTATCAGGAAACATGCACAAAAAATAAAAAAAAATATAGTCAAATTAAAGTCAGATTTCAAATTAGAGGATTTTAAAATTTGTTAGAAAATAACCAAATAATATTGATGGTGTATTTATTTTTATATTATATACAATACATACAAGAAGTTCTTCAGTCACATGACTCAAAGTCACTGTCAGTATGTGATGTCTAATGACATAACTACGACTCTACAAATCACATGTACAAAACTAATTTAATAGTAATTCATGTTTTTACTAATCAGATAACAATTTAAGATTATATTTCCATCTATTTGTGGCTGTAACTATACAATGTATTATATATTTTTAGTATTTTTTATTATGACTCAGTATAACCTACTTTAAATAAAATGAAACTAAATATCTAGAAATAAATTAGTGCCTCAAATTCTATTACTATATGTAAATATATATTAGTCTATTTTTGTAGAAAGTGCAGAGTGCACTATAAATAGACGAACAAGGTTTGATTACCAATATTGAGAGTATTTATCCCAAATTTTTTTCATTTATCATTTAATAGATTTCAAACCACAACACATATCAAAAACACTGAAACCTTATTAAGCTCTGTAACACACAATTATTATTGAAGATACATAATGATGAATTTACACATATTAAATTGATAGTTCAAATAAGTAAAAAATACATATACTTACACTTAAATTCAAGTATCTACTTCTTCCTAAGTTACTGGTTGCCCATTTTGACCTTTGATGTCATGTATATACCAACAATAAGACCAAAGAGACCAATGGCTGATCCGAAAATTTCTACAATAAGGATCTTGACGAACAATGCAGCATTGGCTGCATCAGCAAGAGCCGCTCCGGACCCCACGATTCCGACGGCAATACCGCAGAATAAGTTGACCAGGCCCACGGCCAAACCGGCACCAAACATCACATATCCAGCCATCCAATTCTGTTGCCTAATAGTGATGTCAACCAAGGGCTCTGTATATTTTTCCAGCATACCAGACAGTACAATGGCGGTGATCAATCCATAAATGGCGACGGCCTCACAGAAGATGACTGAGATTAAATTTTTGGTCTTGATTCTTGGAGCTTTGACACCACCACCAACTATGCTGACTCCGGTCGTGTGTATGCCCATCGCAGCGCCCACTACTGACAGGGCGACGGCTAACGCGATTCCCAACGTACCCCACATGTACGGGGAAGTATTCTCCAGGAACCATCCGAAGCTAATCTGCTCACCCTTTCCATTGAGTACATAGTAGAGCGAAAATATCGGAATAGCGAGCCCGACGAGCAGCACAAACAGGTAAGTTAGAAAGTATCTCATCTTGAGATATTTAATGAACAAATTGGACTTGTTATAACACCAAATCCCGAAAGGGACGGCCTTTTTCGCCCAATTTTTGCCTTGACAGAAAACTCAAAGCAGAGAAGTCTTGTGATCACAAGACGTCAGAGACAATTTTCAATGTTGCCATCAAATGAGATATGTAATTTAATTTATGAACACTTATCTACTTATCTTCCTGTTTCATTTAGAACTAAAAAAATATTACACATTCAAATTTAATTTTATTCTTTAATATATAGATAAACGTAAACATTTATTGATTATATTAAGGTTTTTCAGTCTATTACTGTTGGTACATATTTAAGTATCTCTCTAATTTAAAAACATTAAACAATTAAGCTAGCTGTAAGTCCAGTGTCAAGTAACTCTTTAGACTATCTAGTACACAGTTCTGTGTTAAAAACCTGTCTTTTTATTCTACAAATTCTATTATTTTTAAATATTTCAAATTCAAAAATTGTGAGGATGGATGAAGATTTGTTATTCTTTCAAGTTTAAATGGCTCAATGAATGTAAATAAAATTTGTTTGTTGACACAAACATATAATACCTATATTCATACAACCGAAACGAAACTGTGGAATATAACTAGTTCTTTATAATTACAAACATCGCACGCACATACAAGCAAACAATCGACAATTCGATTGCTCGTTGTAAAAAAAGTACAACAAAAAGGGAAATAGTGTTAAAAATTTAAAGCAAAAGTGCAATTGTTAGTCATCGCAGCTACCTATATGTTCTTACAGGGAATTATTCCGCTGCACGATTCTCAATAACAGCGAATTTAGCCTTAAGAAAGCCTTAGTTTTATCTTTAATCGATGCACGACGCGAATACTTCCAGAACGCCTATTGCTTGTCAATGAATAGTATACGTGATATATAGAAATAACACCTCAGAACCAATCTTACTATTGTCCAATGACTTTCTGTGCTTTCACTTAATCATATCATCTCACGTTCCCTTTATGAAAAAACAGGCAAATCAGTCAGGGGCTTTATGGCCCCTCTCCAGTGATATTTGTTCGCCGCGCGTTGAGACCTGCGTGTCCTTGGAATAGTTAACTATCGACAGTTTCAATTTCCGTGTGTACCGGCCGGCTTGTTCTGCGCAGTCTTCGCTTGATAGGTGAAACCCCATAGGGGGAGGCCTGGCAAGATGCCAACGTATCAGCGAGCCGGCGGCACCGAGGAATTATGGGGCTTCGGCTTCATCTTCCGCGGAACGTCTTTTTATTCTATTTCAAATTCAAAAATTGTGAGGATGGATGAAGATTTTTAAATATTCAATGAATTAAAAAAATTGTGAGGATGTGTTCTTTAAATTTGGAGTCTGGGGGGCACGCGTGCAGTGGCACCAGGTCCCGCAGGTAGCTCCAGTTCGGCGCGTCTATACGTGCGAACGTACTGGTGGCCAGGTCCTCGATGAAGGTGTTCAGTGTTGTGTCTGGCTACTCTTGCACTGTTGCGAACTACGTTCGCATGGGCGCGGAATGTGAGCCGTCGGTTGATGACCACTCCTAGTTAGGTGACGGTGGAGGACTTCTTAATCTGGGCGTCCCCGAGTTTGAGTTTTGGTAGATAGTGCTGTTGTCTAAACAGAATCGCCTGCGTTTTGCGCACGTTCACCATCTCCATTTGTCCAACCATCAAGGTAAAGTGTCCAGTAATCTTTACATTTGCAACACTTCACATCGACGAAACGGACATCGTTATGTAGACGGCATCGTCGGCATACAGCCATAGGGTTGTTGAAACGCGTGAAGGTCGACCTGATAAAGTATATTGATAGCGATGGGACTAACCTCCCCATTACTAATAATCTCTTCCCCTCCTCTTGCCGGGTTTAGGCAGTGTGATGTCATTGTGTTAGAAATAGGGTTATTTTCATACAGCTATAAACTACTGGCCAGTTGTAAATTAAAAAGATATAGTTTTTAAATTATGTTGATACTCGTACATTCTTAGAAACAATCGTTGCTTTCTGTATTTGCTCTTGTATTAAATTTTATCGTATTTTTATATTGTGTTTATCCTATTCCCTTCCACTACGGAAATATTAGCTGATATCTCAAGCTAAATACCAACATTTTGCCTGTCTTCCATTGGGAAATGCCCTGTGTACCCTATGTGTAATACCATTGAACAAACGCGTCAGTGCCGCTATAGTACGCGGCGGCAAATGATGTATCACCTTATTAGAGATATTATAGCTGCTACTGGCTTTCCGAGACTTCGTCTTTCCAATCTCGCGCTACACTTATTTCGGCGTAAAGACTACCGGGTCTTTGTGCAGTTGTAATTGATTGATGGTGCCAGGTAGTCTTCGACAAAACTGTCAATGGCTACAACGTGTTCGATATCCTGAATCGAATTAGGCTGGAACGGGCGTTCGAATTGGTCCGCGTGTATCTCTGCATGATCTATTGCGCGGTATCGTGACTTTCCGTTGCTCGCTAGAAGGAGATGGATTGGTGATTGGGATTTGGTTAGCCGACGACAGAAGCAGTGGATGCTACTCCAATCGTCGCTAGTATCTTCCAGTAACTGATCCCAACTCTGTTATGTCCATGGTACTACTCATGTCTATAGGCGAAGGTTACCATTTCCCATCAGGTGGCCGTCAGCTTGTTTGCCATTCTAAGTTGCATGAAAAAAAATACTTTCCTATGGGACTCAATTTCGTTCCTAATGGTGGCTGCCTGTCGGTTCAACCTCGCCTTGAGGATGGAGCATCATGTGGTGTGCTTTCATAAATTTTAACATTTGTAAAAAAGATGGATTATCCTACCTTTGATCCAAAAACAATTTGTCACATTTATTCTGCGTATTATTATATCTAGGGCATTCTTTGATTATTTTTGATTAATCTGTTGATTTGTTGTATGATGTTTATCTATGTGCATGGCACCTCGATTTGACATCGGGTCTATTTTTGTATTGTATTTTTTTATTAACAAACAATATTACTAAATGCTTGGTATTGGAGATATTACAGTATTTATTAATTTATTTTTAATTATTTTTCTACTAAACGTCTACTATATCCTCTACTAAGATGTGAAGTGCATAATTAATTACCTGTATTCTATCTTTAGTGAGTAGGGCATGTGTTTCAAGGACGAAAGAAGATGGAATGAAAAAAGAATGAAGTCCCTGAAAACATCACAGAAAGATGTGGTCCGCCTACGCCAGATTCATTGCTCGGCATACCTACCTATATCTTTTTATCCTAACAGTTATATGCACAGTTCTCACCGTTATTCCATTGGTTTGCCACGATCTTCCATCGTTTTCCGATCCTCTTGTCGGATTCGAAACTCGTGGAACTGCACTAGCACATCGATTTATGGCATGGGAGAATTTAATATATGAGACCAGACCTTCACGAAAACTGGCCGTGAATCCCAAAGAAATAGAGGATCAAATACGCATGAATCAAACATACTATAATAGAACACGCCAAGATATACCCCGTTCGGGACATAAACGCCTAGGCAAAAATAAAGGACACAAGAAAAAAAAGAAACCCATTTCTAATAGCACCGGCTTTGAAAAAACTTTATTTAATGCTTCCGAGTCTAACATTACTAATGGTCATGTTCATTGGGGATTTGGAATAAATATGACCCATGAGGATGAAAATACTGCTATCAACAAAGATCATATACGTAAACAATGGGTATCCTTGAAAGAAATGAGGCGTAAACCTGATAAGCCCCTTCATCACAACTATGCATCTGGAACATGCGGAGCGCCTGTTTTTGATTATGCTCATCTTGTTGTTGCAAATATAGATAATACATCACTGTTAACGTTTGACAATGTTGCCAAAATATGCAAGTTACAGTCATTTCTTGTAGTTCTAGGCGGTAATGAATATTATAAAATATGTCAAAGAGTCTCAGACTCTCATGATATTTGTTGTCCAGTATGGAGTGTGCCAAATTATATAGCTTTAATATCTGGAAAGAGTTCATGTGAAAATTTAACTAGGGAAGATGTAAACAAGACTGTAACTATATTAAAAAAATGTGCTGCTTACTTCCACAATTTTTCCCTGATGGCGTCATGTGACCTGGATCGTTGTAAAGTGCCAAAATATTGTTCACAACATGATGCTGTTTACAACATGTTATTCTATTTGATAGATTCACATGCATTTACCCCCTCAGACTATTCCCAAACATTTGTTAAATATTCCATGATATTCTTGCCACTGCCATATAGCAGTACCTCATTACCTTACTATGAAAAATTACAAAGTTCAAATTTGTCTTATGATACACTTATTATACCAGCCATAGATTTTGGGCTAAAAAATGCACTTTTTGACTTGTGGATAATTCAAGATACATGGTTAATAGGATTAGGTGGTATTTTTGTATTTTTATGTGTATGGTTCTATTGCAAATCATTGATTCTCACTTTGCTGTTATTTACAGCTATAACTTATTCTCTTGGTATTGCATACTTCTTGTATATTTATGTGTTCATTTTAGAGTTTTTTCCTTTTATGAATTTATTAGTGATAGTTGTTGTGATAGGCATTGGAGCTGATGATGCTTTTTTGTATGTTAAAATATGGAAGATGATTAGTAAACAGCTCATGAGGGATAATGTTGTCACACAGGACAACTGTTTAACTGATATTAAGAATATCTCCAGTGCTGGTGAGACAATTCTAATACAGATACTTGAAGAAACATTGAAACATTCTATTCTGACAATGTTTATAACTACATTGACAACTGCTATTGCATTTTATGCCTCCTATGTAAGTTACATACCTGCTATAAACTGTTTCAGTGTTTTTGCAGGTACTGCCATTCTTGTAAACTTTTTCCTAATGATTAGTTGGTTACCTGTATCAGTATTTATAATAGATGTTAAATTGTCTATAAATAAAGGTAAATGTTTAATTAAGATGTATAAATGTATTAATGACATTTGGGAAGATATCAGAGTTGTCTTGAATAGATTCATTATTGTATGTGTTACAAAATTTCATGTTCTATTTGCTGTATTGTTGTGTGCTATAGGGATTTATAGTGTTGTTATAGTGTTTTTTTCCCCTGGACTTCAATTACCAGAGTCCAAAGAATTTCAACTTTTTCAAACTTCTCATCCTTTTGAACAGTATGATATAGAATATAGAGATAAGTTTTTATTTGAGAGATTTGGTAAAGATATTGGGACTGGTAGCAAAATGCCACTTAGATGGATATGGGGTATAAAGGCAATTGACAATGGGAATCATATGGATCCATATTCAACAGGACATTTAGTTTTTGATGATAAGTTTTCTATATCAGATCCTAATTCTCAGAAATGGTTGCTGGGATTCTGTTCCAGAATAAAATCCCAACCATTTTATCAACAAACTTTGGGTCCTCTATTACCCAACTGTTTTATTGAAAGTTTTAAGATGTTTATGAGCAGACGATGTATTGATGTTATAGATAAAATAAATAGGACTCCTTGCTGTGAGTCATCTCGATTTCCATATAAGAAAGAAGTATTTAATTATTGTATTATAAAAGCTATGGAGTCTTTATACCAAACACCTCGTGAAATTTTTATGCCTGGAGTTGCAGGACCTAAATTTCTTAGAACTGCTTCTCCAACTGTAGCAGCAATCGTAATAGAGTTTGAAAGTGTTGTTCCATATTCAATGTCCTATATGGCCATGAATGATTTCTTTCTTCGTGTCGAAAATTGGACACAACATGAGTTGAGGTCGGCTCCACCAGGCATGACTTGCGGGTGGTTTCTCTCTGACTTACAATTTTATGACTTACAAACCACATTAGCCAGTGGAACGGTAATGGCTTTATTGTTGTCTGCTAGTTTAGGGTTTGTCGTTCTCATACCTGCTACTTTAAATTTTGTGGTCAGCATTTGTGCACTGTCTGCTATGATATTTTCATCTACTGTTACAATAGCTATTTTAGTTTTTAATAATTGGAAACTAAATGTTTTAGAAAGTATAGCCATTTCAACATCTGCTGGATTAGCTGTTGACTTTAGTCTTCACTATGCTTTAAGTTACACTAATGCCAGTGGAGTAACGTCGGCTAGAGTGAAGTATGCGCTTACAGCATCTGCTGGTCCCACAGCTGCAGCTGCACTGACTACTGGTTTTGCAGGGATATTTCTTTTATGGTCGAATCTCTTACCTTACTCTCAAATTGGTACATTCCTTGCATTAATAATGTCTGTAAGCTGGATATATGCTACCTTCTATCTTTGTTCTTTGCTCTATATTTTCGGACGCAATTCTTCAAAAGAGCCTCCTATTGAGGATAGGAAATCAGTCTCGCGAGTTAGTTCTATATGTTCAGGAGTACCAAATTTAGAAAGTCACGAATTAGAGCATTTGGCTGATAGCAATCGCACGAATCTTACACATTCTCAGAGCCATTCCAGTGTTAGCGGTACGACAGTTGTTTTACATGAGGATTATGATAACTCGCATATTAAGATTGATAAGAAAAGTAGTGATAACAGTAACATAGCATGTAACAAGGACTGAATGTTTAGATGTAGTTAGTCTTAAGTAGATTCACATTTTGAATTTTTTTTTTATATTGTTGCAGTATTATTAATTACTTTGTATGAATTGATCTCATGACAGGATTATTTATTTAATCAAGTACTTATTTTATACAATTTATTTTTGTGCCTGTGATGATGTACTTAATTACGTCTTAGTTTTTTTTTAAATCTGATAAAATCTCATATGTAAGAAATGATTATTGAGACAATAATTATCACATAAATACTTCACAATCGACAATATAAGATCTAAACGAGCTTAGCTTGAACATTGACCCTCTCTTAATTTTATCATATAGATTTAAGTTTGTTGTTATATATAGGTGGATTTGGTATTAATTCTGCGAACAGCTTAAATGTTATGTGTTAAATGCTACTTAACAGCATTTTAGTGTAATTAATCAAGCATCAGTACACAATTTGTTGTTACTTTTGTATTGTATTTTCTAAGTATTAATTTTCATTTACTTAATCATTATTATAAATTTAAGTAATTCTTGTCAATTCATTGTCACAATGAAATTAATTTGTATTACTGTCTACACCACCCAATTTAGGTGGTGTAAAGTGTGTACTTAAAACTAAACCATTGAAAGAGGTAAAATAGTTTCTTCAGGGTGGGCAACGCGCGCGTATGGCCCATGGTATTGCAAATATGGTAATCGCTTACCATCAGGTGGGTGTGTGCTTATCTCTCACTTCAGTGGTATGAAAAATAAAATGTCTGTATATACCCATTTCAACTCATTATATGAGTAATATTTATCAGAAGATACAATAAAATAAAATTAAAAAGTATAGGTAACTAATTAGGTACATACAAAAACTTAAAAAATTTGGAGATACTTATTAAATATACAAAAATATTTTATTTTAAAGTAACAAAATGCTTTGCACAATTTTTTTGTATATAAAAATACCTACCTATTTAGGTAATTTTTATTTATCTACTAAACAGTATTTTTCAGTTTATATTTTTATATGTTGTATGTAGATTGGATATTACTAGTAAGTATCTACTTTGTGTAATTATTGATATTAAATGAACTATATCTATTTTCATTGTCTGTTTAATTTCTTGTTATTTGTAAACCTTTTGTTTACATCCCGTTAAAAATCTAAACTAATTGAAACTTCTCCAAGAAAATATGTTAAGATTTATTTTCAACCGATTTAAAATAAGGTGTAGGTTTGTATTTTTTACTTTTGTTACTTCAGAACTCCATTATAAACCGAATTAGAAAATTATTTTTATTCAAAAATTTTATGGGAGCTGTCTAAAGCAATAAAACTTATAGACTAGTCCGCGATAATTTTTTTATCAAAGTACTATTGAACCGTCAGTAGTTCTTGGTTTTAAATCAAAATAGTTTTGCCAAGACCAAAATCGGTCTTTTGTAAAATATAATCTTGTTTAAGATTCTATTCCACAAAACAGATTTATGAGACCTGTCAGAAAGTATCATAAAAATCAGTTTACATAGTTCTGCTGAAGTAACAAATAATACAACTGAATTGACCTCCTACAACCTCCTTTTTAGTCAGTTGATTATGATATTACCAAATATCATGCAAACCATTGAAACCAAAGATTTTATAATTCTTTGTTCTTAGATTGAAACCAAGAAAGATAGTACTTAGATTGAAACTAATAACGAAAGAAATGACAGAATTGTTACAAGGAGCCTTTTAATAATTGTAAGTAAATAACAATCTCCACATGTAGGTATTAATATGTATTATTCTTTATCTTTGATCACGATGTTAAATGACAGCGCACTGAACCAAAAAGTAATATATAGACAAAACGTCAACAATTACCTATTTACTGTATCCACCTGATTGTCATTCAATTAATCTGACATTTCATAATTTTCGTCTTTTTAGTGATTCATCACAAATAGATTAGAAATTTAATTAATAAATTTTGTATTGTTATAGAAGAATAATACCTCTGGTGTATTGTATTAAAAAAGTATACAAATTCTTAAAATTATTGTATTGTGTGTGGTATTGATGATTCATTCGGTGAAATTGAAATATAGCTGATACAAACAAAACAACGCACCTATTAAATTTGTTAATATTTTCTTTGATTAAGAACTAAACAAACCAAGATGTTTTCAACAAACCCTAATTATACTAAACTTAAAACTCATTTGAGGCTCTCCATCAACCGTCTTAAGTTATTAGAAAAGAAGAAAACAGAATTGGCACAGAAAGCAAGGAAAGAAATTGCTGAATATATTGCGGCGGGTAAAAGTGAACGTGCAAAAATTCGTGTGGAACATATAATCAGGTAAGTAGAAAATATAATACCTACTTTATATGTTTTGCTAATGATTCATATTAGAACTCATAATATGTCCTTGAAAATTTATATTATTTACGACGTATTTGATGACTCAATTGTGGTATAGATTGTAGAAAGAGTAATATAGTATATTTTTGCATAACGTATGTTGTATATTATCATTACTATATATATTAGATAAGACTAGTGAGAGAGAGAGAGTTTGTTACCTGTTAGTGCCTTAACCATTCAAACAATCTTATTATAATTATTTATATTGATGTACATTGTTACTTAGGATGGAGAAAGACATTTTATCTCATTCACATAGTCAGATTTATAGGTAAAAGCTAAGCTCTTTTTTTTTATCTAACTTAAAATGATAAACAATCTGATGATCTGATAGAAAGTGGTAACTGTTTTCTATAGTATATATATTATAAAATATAGCAGCACATGAATAGGGTATCATGAATGTCACAGTAATATTCTATGATTTTCATGGTCTTTCAGAAAAGAGTATTTGATTTCTTATCCATGATGAGTTTACCATTCTAAGTTGCATAAAAAATATCCATATTGATATAGATTGTCATAATGTTTTAGAGAAGACTATATGGTGGAAGCTATGGAAATAGTGGAAATGTACTGTGATTTGATATTGGCGAGGTTTGGCCTTGTCACTCAAATGAAGGAATTAGATGAGGGGCTAGCTGAAGCCATATCTAGCCTCATTTGGGTAGCGCCCAGAATGCACACAGATGTACAGGTATATTGTTTTTATTGTTGTATTAAATACTGGCCATATAGACTATTTATACCATATTTGACTAGTAAAAATGTGTCTCTTATCTTATTAATTTATTTATTTTAATAATTTGCTATTATTAATTTGGTAATTTAAAAAAAATAATAACTAAATTAATTAGAAATACAACTAATGAGAATGTTGGGTGAAATAGTATATGTATATACATATGCCCTGTGATATTCTATGCCACTTATTCTGTTAGTAAATTTAATCATAAAAAATGTTTAACTTATTCAACAACAAGGCAATTATATTAAACATGTGAAATGTAAAAATTTTCAACATATTTATTACAATTCAAGACACCACATAAAGAATACAATAGCTCTGCTATTACACCATGTTTATGAGGATAGTAGAGCAACATATATGTTATTCTATATACAGTAAATGTGGAAGTACTTTTACTTAGATTGCTTAAATCTTTAGCTCCAAATTATTGTATAATCATACTCTGAGTTTTTCAAATTAATACAAATCAATTTGAAATTCCAAATACAAGAATACTCACCCAATTTTAAAAATGATTATAAGCAAATAAAACTTGATAGACAAGATATAAAATTAGTAATGTATTTAATATTTAATAGGTACAGTTAGATTTGAAAGTTAGTTAAAAAATATAATCTATATTGAAATAGCACAGCAATGATGTTAAAATAAGTAATTAAAATTTGTATACTTTTTTTTAGGAATTGAAAGTCATATCTGATTTGTTTACGGCGAAATATGGCAAAATTTATGCAGACGCGTGTAGAAATGAAAATGTGAACACAATCAGTGACAAGCTCAAACACAAATTGTCAGTTCAGAGCCCTCCAAAAATTCTCGTCGAAAAATATCTGATAGAGATAGCTAAGAACTATAATGTTGAGTATACACCTGATGAACAGGTTATGAGAGAGGAACAAGGTAAGTGGAAAATAGTATAATATCGTAATTAGTAAACATTATTACAATAGTGCTTAAAATTGTTAAATAGAAATGTAAACAATCATTTTAAAATAAATTACATCTATTGTTCAACTAAATTATAACTTGTAATTTTGTATTGTTGTACATAACAATAGAACTATTATAATAATTTACAAATATAATTGAATTTTTAATTATAATTGAAAATTATTATATATGGAGTGAAATTGAGTTCATAGCCTTATTTTAAGAATGTTCTACCAGTGAAATTAAACTTTTTTGTTAAAGAAACTGATTCAGAAACTACAAATGTTGAACCTCCCATACTATATGTCCAGTTATTCAGTTCATATGGGAGGTTCAAAATGTAAACCCCCCCCTTTATAGGGGAGGCCTAAGGGGAAAGCTTTAAGCAATGGCTAATATGATGATGATAATGTTGATCTCTGTTTTATGCTTTTTTTAGTTCATTGAGTTAATGACTTCAATTTAAACCTACACATGAATCGTTTCCCTATTGACAGGTCGTGATGCACTGCTGATTGACATTAATGGCCCACCCATGCCGCCTGGTTTCATAGGCTATCCAAACCCGCCACCAATGCCTCATTTGCCTGATTTGCCCCCTGTGCAACCATTTGCTTATCCTACAGTAAGTTTTTTTTTTACAATTATATTTAATGGTTAGCAATGGGGTCACCAGTCCACGTAACCATTCCATTTGAGAGGAGGGCCATTGTTAGTAATGGGAATTAGTAATTCCAGCCAGATCTAGTCATCATCATTTCATTACCACATGCATAAATCATTCCTTCCTTCCCCTGAATAATTTTGATTTCTTAAAGATGAAAATGGAATGTTGATGTGTGTCGACATTCCATTTTCATCTTTAAATCATCATTTGTGTGACATTAGGATAGGTAAGGATGAAGGTAGGTCAGTTCAACCCACCATAACAGGGGGGAAGGGATTGTTAGTAATGCAGATTACTAGTCTCATTGCTAGTAATATACCTTGTCAGGTCAACCTTGACATGGCTCCCCCTTGGAAATCATTGTGCTGAATTCCAGATGTTTCATCACGATGGGTTAACCTAACCTGCTTTTTCATTGTCATCTGTCAGCGTATACCGTTAGCGCTGATGGATTGCCATTCTATTATCACCCATAAGAACCACAATAATATCTAACAGGGAAAGTATGAAAATTTTCACTGATTATATTACTAGCAATGGAGACACTAATATCTGTTATTGAGAATTCTCTTCTCAATATAATGTTGATTAACCAACAGATATAATTTCAGAAACCATCCGGCGGTAGTGCGGGCGGGTTTATCGCTACTCCTCCGGCCGCTTACGGCGGGCCTAGTCAGTCCCCTATGGGATACAACTTGCCGCCTGGCGTCGACTCTAAAAATTTAAGCAATAGTTTCCTTCAGGTAGTAATTTTTACAATCAAGTATATAATACTAGTGTATCTATAGAAACAATTATGCGAATTATTTTGTGAGCATGTGTATGTCTTGTGTAGTAGAAAATAATTCCATTTTAATATTATTCTAAATATGTTCTAATGACAAGTAGACTCCTATTGTGTCCAAGACTGCTCGACGGCTAGTGAACACTATGTGTACCCTTGTTATTGTACTTTAAATCTTACAATTTAGACTGTAATAATACCCACTGCTGCTCAGGCACTTCTGTAATTTTTTTTTGTGATTGTGTATTTTTTTTTTATAGTGTATCAATGATTCTATGCCATTAAAGCTATTGATCCTATTCTTCATGTAAAACATTCAAAGGTGGAAGGGGTGAGGGATACTTTAAGTCCCAATGCTTATTTCTTCCACAATTGAAATAAAAACCATTTTTCCCTTTACAGGAGGAAATGAGTAATCTCCCACCTGCTTATGACAGCATTAATCACGATTTGGTAATTTTTTTTTAATTTTTATTTTACCTGCTTCGAAAACATAGTAGTAATGCACCAAAATAGTAGATTAGATTGTGTTGTGAATGCTTTTATTAAATATGGCAGCATCTGAATTACTTGTCAGTTTTAAAAACAATTTTCAATATTTTTTAATAATTATTATTTAAAAACATTGAAACATTTACTTTCAGACAGCTTGATCCCATATGATCTTATCGAACTGACCCATTTGTATGTAAATTTATCAATCTATTAGCTGTATTTGCTATTTTAAATACCATTAAAATTAATGTTGAACATTTATATATATAATATGAAAATAATAAATAAAATAAATTTTCTATAATCTATATTTTGACACTACATACTTAGCTTATATTTTGAACATTTCATCACAATAAACTGAGTTTAGGCGTTTTTGTGTGAAATAAATGTGAAACGCCGTGTGGTCCCCGCATAGAATGGGCCATCTCTTACGATTGGGTGTCGTAAGAGGCGACTAAGGGAATTTAATGGTAGAGAGATAGACAGCAGCGTCCATCTTAAAATAGCACCAAAGCCCAACTGCAGTTGCCAGCCTGTCTGTCAAGTGTGGCAACTAGTGGTCAAATCCTCTTTAAGGGGGAGGTTTATATCCAGCAGTGGACAGTTAACGGCTGATATAATAAAAAATAAAAAAAAATGTGAAATTCTAATATTTAAATAGAGCAAAAGGTTTTTTGCATTATTAACTCATAATTGGTAATTATTTACATCGGCTTTAGGGATACCCGACTAATTTCGAACAATTATTATAAAATTCGTATTTAAAACATGAATGAAGCTGATATAAATAATTACTTTATTATACATATTATAATTATATTTTATTTTTCCACTGCAGCCTGCTCACGTGCCGACACCACAGCCCCGGCCCCGAGCGCCGCAGAACGTTCGGACTCCACAGAACCAGTTCCCCGAGTTACCGGAACTGCCTTCTGTGCCCTCCGACCTGATCTTACCTTCAGTGCCTCAAAGCAATAACTCCAATACAAACGCTAACAATTCTAACGCACCCGATGAGATAGACTTCGAAGATCTGAACCGACGTTTTGAGGAGTTGAAGAAGAAAACATAAGTAACAAATAATTAAAGTATATATATATATATATATATATATATATATATATATATATATATATATATATATATATATATATATATATATATATATATAAGATATGAATAGGGTATTAAATTGAATACAAATTACATGACTTAAGTCTCGTTTACGGATATATGTTATCTGTAACATTAGATAGTGTTTCACTATGAATGTTCACAAAACACCATAACTTTGTTATAAAATAGTGTACTATTAAAGTTTCATTAATCTTCACATTATTTATAGATAAATACTCTTCCAGGCAACCTTTGGATAAAGAGGAAATATGTTTATATTTATTATATTATCAATATTATTATAGATAATCTTAATATGGCGTACCGTTCCAACTTTTTATTATGTGTGACCTTATGTGGTGCTCTGTTTGTGTTTGTGAGAGGACACCTTCAGTAGCAGTCTAGCCAAAGGAGTATTATATTCCTTGCTTGAAATATTGTAAATATTTTTACTCATACATTTTTAGTTCTTTGGATTTTGAATAGGCGTGGTAGACAATCTATACTTTCAGACTCATCCATTCTAACAAGAGATTGAATACTGGAATATTAAATATAAAAAACGACGTGTCACTCAAATAAACTGTTTTTTTTAATTACTTGATATTTCAAGTAGTTGTATTTGATCATTATGGGCAGCTTTTGCATAAACAACTATAACATCATGCAATACTCAAATCTCTGAATTTCCGTAAACGAGGCCTTATAAGTAAAATCAAGGTTAAACTTCAGTTCACGTATCATCTTAAATTATTCGTATACGAGAATTTTAACGTCACAAATACATAGATTTCAATAAATAATAAGCTACAAATCACTTTACATGGTTTTGGTCACGATTTTGATATTGACATGCTCAATTTTCGTTGTAGAAAACGCTTTTGGAGACAATCGCAGTATTTCTAGCTTATGAATATCCCTAGAAAAAGTATAATCATAAAAGCAGAATTTATTGTATAACATAAAGGGTAAGATCTAAGTCATGTTGGTACAATTTGTGTCTAATTTGAGAGAGGTATCTAGTCTCTAAAACTGATGTTGTGAACGAGACGAGTCATGGAAATGGATATGGCAAGACATGTAAGAAGCATAAGATGACGCCATATTTAAAAAGTTTATATGCTAATTGAGGAGGAGTCGAAAGACAACTGGTGTGTATTCATGCGACGGTATATAAAAGTGGATATAGCAAGAGATATATTGGGATAGAGGCCTTCGATATTTTGTTCTTTACCTACTCTGAGTATATACGAGGTCTGTCCGGAAAGTTCGTATAAAAGTGTTCTGGAATGCGAGAAAGAGGAGTGGGGAGGCCAGGTAAGCGCAGGACCCCTTCCTTATGTCCCTAACAATGCTTCAGTTCTGGTCTGACCGCCGTGCGGTGCGAACTGGCTTGTCACGCCATCTGTGAAGTTACCTCTTAACGAAACCCCGTCGGCATGGAGCCCGCTTCCGTTGAAGAGCAGCGCGTCGTAATCAAGTTTCTCTCGAAACTCGGCAAGAATGGCCGTGAAATTTTTGCCGATCTCAGAACAGTTTATGGGGATGATGCTGTGAAGGAACCAACCGTCCACAAGTGGCTAAAAAGATTCAGAGAGGGCCGAGAAAGCATCAAGAATTCGTCCCTCCAGGCCAGACAGTTGATGGAAAATTCTACGTCGATGTGCTCAGACGCCTCAAAGCTCGTGTGGCACGAGTTCGTCCAGAATTGGCGCGAGAGGGGCGTTGGATTCTTCACCACGACAATGCCCCTGCCCACACCTCTCTTGTTGTCCGTGAGTTTTTGAGTAAAAATTCCATTACGGTGACCGAACACCCCCCTATTCGCCGGATTTGGCCCCGTGTGACTTCTTCTTGTTCCCAAAAACCAAATTGGTACTTCGGGGGCGGCATTTGGGGGACATAAATGAGATAAAAAAAGCTACGACGGGGCAGCTGAGAAACCTACAACCAGAGGACTTTCAAGGAGCCTTCTCACAGTGGAAACGGCGTTGGCACAAGTGCATTATGTCACAGGGGGAGTACTTTGAAGGGGATAAAATTGATTTACCTGAATAATTGTAAAATAAAATTTTTAAAAAACTTTTATACGTACTTTCCGGACAAACCTCGTACAGTGCATGGTGGCACTATTCTTTCTACGGAGATTTAATTTTATATTTGGAAATTTGTATACATGTAGAACGGGAATTTCATGAATTTACTACATTTGTCATTTTAACTTCATCCGGAAGTCTTTAGGGGACGTACAGCGCTTTGTGCTACAGCGTCTCACCTCGCACAACAATTCCCGTTAAGCTTGTATAAAAATGAACATGAGTTTTAAAAATAATATTTGGAAACTTTTTTAATTTCCAATGTTAATTTTACCTATAATTGTTAGTAATGCAGATATAGATTTGAATAAATTATAAGAAAGCATCTAATATTTTCAACCGACTTCAAAAAGCAAGTTTTCAATTCGGTTGTATTTTGTAATGTTTGTTACCTCGTAACTTAGTCGATTTTAAACCGATTTGGATTTTTAAATAGAAATTTTATCAAAATCAGTTCAGTAGTTTAGTTTTTAGATCAAAAAAAAATGTTTTTGTCAGAATTGAAGTCGGTTTTATTATCTCTTTTCTGTCGAGTAGAAAAGTGGGCATTATTAGGTACACTTGTGTTATCTATTTAGATCTATATCTGGATTACTCGTGTTTATATTATATTTAGATTTATATTATAGTTATTTTTATATGTTAATCAATATGAATTTAATATACCTACATAAAAATTTAACTTGTTTGGCCAACGCAATTTTAGTTGCAAGTGGGGCCATATTCACAAGCACGATGTAATTAAAAATATAAATAAATATTATATTTTATTTAAGTATATTTTGTAGTATTTATTGCAAATATGCATATTTTTCCTAATAAATCAAGACCTTTTTAAGGGCAAACCAAACATAATGTACAAAATTCTGGGTTCACACCATAATGTATAAAAATATGTCTGACTAGCTAACCGCTCCGGATTCGAACGTGTGGATAAAATATTGGAAAATAATATATAGCCCATGCTTAGATTATATAGATACGAGTGTCCATACAAATGCTTCGAGAAAAGTGGGTTAACTTTTTCATACAATTTTGCGTGATAAATAGGTATGAATGATTCCTTTATAATTTCTATATTTATTTTTATAATTTTTGTACTTTTTTAAGAAGCAAAAATTCATTTTATTGAATTAATAATTAAATATAGATAGTTTAGGTACATTGTGTGCGTAAATACTTTATTATTGTGTTCTATATACATAGAACACATAAAAAACCAGTCAGCTAATTTTACAATTAGCTGACAAAAAGTTGGCCTGTTTTTCCGGTTCGATACTCTATCTATATAATATAATCTAAGAATCCATGTTACTCGATGACAACGTAGCTTTCAGTAGGTGAATTTTTTTTTTAAATAGCTTTAGTAGTTTTTGAGTCTATTCAATACAAACAAACACAAACCTCTTTATAGAAAATAGTATATATAATTAATGTTGATTATGAGAATTAAAAGAATAATAATATTTTGATATTATCAGTATTATTGCTATTAAATAAATAAAAATAAATACACATCACTGTAAGAGGACAATTCGAAATAAAATAACGCAGTTATATCAGCGTGATAATATAATATCTCTGATTTCATAACGATGTTTAAAACTACGCATAAACAGCATTTTAATATCTATATAGAGAATACAGATATTATAATCACGGTAAATATTTCGTTTTATAATTTAATAATAATATAAAAATCTATATAGGAGATATATTTAATATATACATATATAGGAAAGAACAACCATTTTTTACTTTTTTACTATTGAGTTGTAATACTTTAGTGGGTTGTTGTAATGATGAAATTACAAACGCTGCAACTTAGCTCAGGAATGGCAACGCATGGTGGGTATCATGAGCGAAACATTATACTCTGTTATGTCCATGGTATTGCTCATACTATGCTCATGTTATGTCATGGTCTATAGGCGACGGCTTCCACTTTCCATCAGGTGAGCTGTCAGCTTGTTTGCCATTCTAAGTTGTATAAAAAAAATCCTAATATATATGATACATATAATTAAATCAACGATAAGCATTATGAGATGTAGTAAATATTAAGTAATTTTTAGTTAGAGCTAGTTTTGTTGACTCAAATCAAAGTCTCTTTATTACATATTACAATTTATTGCTTTTGTTAGAAAATTTCGTTCGTCATAGTAAAGTATTAATATTAATGATAGCAAGCAAAATTGTAAACGTATTTCATGACCTGTATAAAGTAAACATCAATTTATTAAATTATTTTCATTATATTAAATATTTAAATACTTAAACCTTGACAGTGTGATGTAGATAAGAGTATACATACTATACTCAAAGTAAATCGCAATAGATGTGGTAAATATAAAATAATTTAATAAATTAACAGTCTTAATTCTCGTTCATAATAATCTCAGTATTTGTTGGGAGCACGTGGATATTTTCTTGAAGTTTGAGTCATTGGTAGCAGAGCTATCTTTTTTCAGTCGATTATGGAGTGATGTGTTTGAGACGATTTTCGTTTGTATTTGTAGTTTGTTAGGAGACTCGGCCAGCAGTGTACCTAATGCTACTAGCCCTCTGAAACAAAATTTTTTATTTTGAGGATCGATATGAATTAACTTTCTAATAGATTTAAGTTAAAATTATTATAAATTTAGTTTATGATGTAATAATAAAAAATATCTAAACTATCAAATTAAAATATTAGGTTAAGGACATTTAGAAGAATGGCGCTTCATAATCACTCAAACTTTCATTACACAATTTGACACTTAAATTATATTTGGACTACATTCAAGATAAAAACATAGGGCACTAAAAATATAACAACGCCATTTATATCAGACAAACACATTATATGGGCGTCACAGTGTATTCTATCATGACAATCATAGGAAATATACCTCATCCATTGTAATTCCTAACAATTAAGTTAGTAAAACATGGCATTAAAATTACACCGTTCAAAATCAAACAATCCCTATAGATCAGTTAAGCAAAATAATAAATTTGGCATTAGCAAAGTTTGCTCTTAACAATTAATGGACGAGCCCCGTAGATTTATGTTTTTCCACTGAATAAAGATGAATGTTTTAAAGCATGTCAAAAACCTGGTTAAAAAATACTAAACACTTTAACATTATTTAACTGTTATGAAATATTATAAGAAATATAATTGAGTTAATAAAGTTTTATTATAGTTACGTCGCTTTAAATCCATACATTCATATTTACTCAATTCCCCTAAAAAAATCCTAGAAACTAGGAAAAACGTCCGTTAAGTGTTTTTTATAACACTTTTTTATAAAACTTGCTAATATGAAAAGAATGCGTTTCTCACCTAAAATAGGCTTCATTGTCCGTAAATTTACTAAGTAACTGTGCTAAGCACTCTGCTATGTCCACGCTGTCGGGTTGCTGCGCTAAAGCCACCGAGAGGTTCAGTAATAGAGACGCCGCTGCAATCTATAATTAAAATACAGGTATGTAAATATAATATTTAATACAAGATTGTAAAAGTTTAAACGAATCTTAGACAATAGATTTATTTCCAAGAGAAAAAAAACGATACTATCATAGCAAAACTAGATTTTGATTTAAGTAGCAAACTACTGAATTAAATTTGATAAAATTCCTATGAAATCAGAATCGAATTAGTTTTCAGAGTTCTGAGATAAAAGACATAAAAATATTATAATCTAATTGAGAATCTTCTCGTTTTTGCAGTCATATTATTTTTTAATCTATAAAAGTTTTTGTACTTTTTGAAGTCGTTTGAAAATAAGAGAAAAATTATAAAAATGAGATGAAAGATCTATTCAAATGTTTTAATATATCCATCTTTTTTTTACTAACTGGGCTGAGAAGCCCCCGAAGTGTAATATTAATAATATTGAAGTGATAATATTATATTAATTGTAAATAAAACTTACTACTACCAGACAGGATAATAGACTTAGACGTCTTCTTACCTGTGCGTTATTATTGAGCTGGTTGAGGCATATTAGGCAGTGTAAGACACTTTCACGTGCTGCCAACACTAGCATCTCGCCGGGGAGGTCACTGAACGCGTTTACCAGTACGCGCATAGACAGCATCTGGTTGGGCGCTAGGTTATCTGAAATGCACGCCAATGAGATCTTGAGGATTAGATGTTTTTGAAATATTTAAATATTTATTTACTTTAAACAGACATTTACCATAACAAAGACTATGTGGCAGAACTTTTTGGCATGTATCTAATTGCCTTGCAAGAAAAAACAAAAGTATGTAAACTTAATGTATTGATTTTTTTTTACCAGAGGGAGACTTTGTACAAAAGTCGATTGCTTGGGTACCTCTGTCCTATTCGTGTTTCAACCGTGAAGCAGCTGTGTTTACATGGCTGTGTTTCGGTTTGAAGGGTGGGATATGGCGTGAATTTACTGGGTACAGAGGAATAACATCTGAGTCCTCAGGAATTGCAACGCTTGGGGGATATCATGGGCGAAACAGTATATTCTGTTATGTCCATGGTACTGCTCATGTCTATAGGCGAAGGTTATCACTTTCCATCAGGTGGACCGTCAGCTTGTTTGCCATTCTAAGTTGTATAAAAAAAAATTAATCGATTGGAGATAATTGTATTTATCTACGGTTTTTCTGACTCGAGAACAATTTACTGTATTTGAGATTCGTCTTGAGAGCACATCAACTGTGTTGCATTTACATCATTACGATGCAATATGCAATCTTAAGATTTGAATTTTGAGCGTGTTCTTGTCTCTTAATTGTTATGGAACTACTGAATTCAATTATATTCATCTGTAAATCAAAACAGTATCTTGAAGGTGTTCTCAAAATTACTTTTATACTTGTACCATGCATTAATCAATATCATATCAGCTGTGAATCGTCCACTGCGGAACATAGGCCTCCCCTTTGAGGTGTTTTGTCAGCAGTTGTCATGCTTAACAGGCTGCTGCAGTTAGGCTTTAGTGGAGTTTAAAGAGCGACATTGCTGCCCATTCCTCGACTATTAAATCCCCTTAGTCGTCTCTTACGATACACATGGATACAGAAGGGATAGCCCATTTTATACCGAGACGACACGGTGATTTATTAATACAGATCTAATATTTTTTTTTTTACAACATAGGGGGCAAACGGACATGAGGCACACTTGATGATAAGTGACTACCGCCGCCCATGATCACCCACAACTCCAAAGGCATTGCAGATGTGCTGCTGGCCTTTTAAAAAGGAATATGCTCTTTTCTTGAAGGTTACGATGTCGTATCGGTTCAGAAATACTGTTGCTGGAAGTTGATTCCAAAGAGTGGTTGTAGAAGAGAGTGATAGGTATTATTTCTTATTTAGTGATATAATATTCACTAAATAAGAAATAATACTGCGGAAATATTATTTTCGTATTTCCTCTATCTATCTATCTCTCTCTCTCTCTCTATCTTTATGTCTATGATATTAATTAAAAAATTACCTGGTGCTAATAAAGTTAAAAGGTACTTCACAAATGACGGCCCGTATGTAGTATCAAATATTTGTCCATTTATTTCTTTATTTCTAACTGCTAACCTAGTTATATCCAATACGGGGAAGAGGATTTCTGAAAAAAAAAACCATTAAATTAATAATTGTATTATTTCTTACGTATATTTATTCCAATATATATAAAAGTTTTACATACCTTTTGGCCATTCTAACATTTTTTTCAAAAATGTAATTGTTTCAGCACTATAAGAACTATTCTGAAAGGAAGATTGTCATCGTTTATTATTAAACTAAAACTAATAAAAATATTTACAGGATCTTACAATTAACTACCTATGTACCGCGGCTTAGCCCGCGCGAATCAGTAACTACATAAAGTTTTTTTTATACAACTTAGAATGGCAAACAAGCTGACGGGCCACCTGATGGAAAGTGGTAATCGTCGCTTATAGACATGAGCAGTACCATGTACATAACAGAGTATATTGTTTCGCCCATGATACCCCTCATGCGTTGCCATTCCTGAGGGCTCAGGTTTTATTCCTCTGTACCCAGTATTCTATGTGCTGAGTTAGCATATAACCAGGTACGTTAGGTGTATCAAATTTTATTCAAATCAGTTTAAAAAAGGGATTGTTAATAATGGGGTCTAACAGCCCCATTGCTAGCAATATACCCTGTCAGGTTGACCTCCACATGGTTCCGCCTGGAAACCATCGTGGTTTATTTTTGTGGAATTCGTCACGTCCAACTGACCTCATTTCATCCTTATTTATCATTCCTCGCTAGTGCACCGCCAGCGTATAATAGCGAAGGCGAGTTTGCCATTTCATTAAACAAATCTGTCGAGTAGTTTTTGTGTGAAAGACTAACAAACATTCATCAATGTATCCTTATAAATTTTGTAATGTAATATAATTATAATTCTTTATTGCACTTGTAAATTACATTGTTAATGCATTTATAAATATTGTGAGCAAGGGTGGACTTATCTCTGACAGAGATCTCTTCTAGTCAACCCAATGCAGTTAGAAAACATGTTGTTAGCGAGAAGCTGAAGTAATGTATAGTAATATAATTAACAGGATTAATCATAAAGCGTCCAAATAAGTTGACGGCTTATTTAGTAATTGCAGCCTATAGATATGAACAAAAGCATCAATATTACACTATACAGACATCTACTGGTGGTGCCTATTGCACTCCGCGCATGTGTGATCACTTCTGAGTATTTATTGCTTGTGTCAGAGACTACTATTTTAAATTAAAATTACTGGATGGAATTTGACCAACTTTGCATATTATTATTATTATCTAGCTTAGTAATATATCTTATTTCCATGGTAAATAGTAAAACTCGTTATGCGGAAGACACGATCCCAGGTATAGTCTATCTATATTTTTTTTTATACAACTTAGAATGGCAAACAAGCTGACAGCCCACCTGATGGAAAGTGGTAATCGTTGCCTATAGATATGAGCAGTACCATGGACATAACAGAGTATACTGTTTCGTCGTGATACCTCCCGTATGTTGACATTCTTGAGGACTCAGGTGTTATTCCTCTGTACCCTATAAATTCACTGCCATATCTCACCTTTCAAACAGAAACACAGTCATGCAAACACAACTGCTTCTCGGTAGAAACATGAATGGAACAGAGGTGCCCAAGCAAATGACTTTTGTAGTCTCCCTCTAGTAATATTATTAAAACTTACCAGTTCACCTAATTTCACAACATTTTCCAACTGTTGATCAGTCATCGCATTTGAGCCATCTCCTACTTTGCTATTGAATTCCTTTAATTTTTCATATATAGCTTTCAAATTTGCTTGATCGAATCTGTAAGAAATTTTTAATAGTGTTTTTTATAACGGACATATGTGGGCAAATCAACGTTCTCAGATTGGATATTTTTTTCCAATTTTGGGGGAAAAAATAAATTTAATGTTCGCGAAATTTTGAAGAAATTAAATAGTTGCAGCAATTTTTGGAGGCAAATAATATGGATAATTTTTTTGACAGTTTTGGTATTTCTAAAACTGTATCGCTGTATATACGAGGTTTGTCCGGAAAGTACGTATAAAAGTTTTTTAAAAATTTTATTTTACAATTATTCAGGTAAATCAATTTTATCCCCTTCAAAGTACTCCCCCTGTGACATAATGCACTTGTGCCAACGCCGTTTCCACTGTGAGAAGGCTCCTTGAAAGTCCTCTGGTTGTAGGTTTCTCAGCTGCCCCGTCGTAGCTTTTTTTATCTCATTTATGTCCCCCAAATGCCGCCCCCGAAGTACCAATTTGGTTTTTGGGAACAAGAAGAAGTCACACGGGGCCAAATCCGGCGAATAGGGGGGGTGTTCGGTCACCGTAATGGAATTTTTACTCAAAAACTCACGGACAACAAGAAAGGTGTGGGCAGGGGCATTGTCGTGGTGAAGAATCCAACGCCCCTCTCGCGCCAATTCTGGACGAACTCGTGCCACACGAGCTTTGAGGCGTCTGAGCACATCGACGTAGAATTTTCCATTAACTGTCTGGCCTGGAGGGACGAATTCTTGATGGACAATCCCCCGAACATCGAAAAAAACAATCAACATTGTCTTGACATTTGAGCGGGATTTTCTTGATTTTTTTGTTCGTGGTTCCCCGGATGTCTTCCACTCTTTGCTTTCACGGCCATTCTTGCCGAGTTTCGAGAGAAACTTGATTACGACGCGCTGCTCTTCAACGGAAGCGGGCTCCATGCCGACGGGGTTTCGTTAAGAGGTAACTTCACAGATGGCGTGACAAGCCAGTTCGCACCGCACGGCGGTCAGACCAGAACTGAAGCATTGTTAGGGACATAAGGAAGGGGTCCTGCGCTTACCTGGCCTCCCCACTCCTCTTTCTCGCATTCCAGAACACTTTTATACGAACTTTCCGGACAGACCTCGTAAGTAAATATCTTCCAGCAATGAGGTAAAGCAGGCGTAGACAAAGACTTTTTTTCGTGGTTCGCCTGCAGTTTGTGATTGGGTAAAAGCGAATGAAAATGTATTAATTTAGATATAAAAAAAAAAAAAATATTGGGTAAAATTTTTAAATTACATCCGGCAACCCCGTGATAAATGGCGTTAAGCAGTTATATGTAAGATTGTAAAATGGCAATGCGATTCTATTTCTATTTCTTATTAAATAAATTTAGGACATTTTTTTTTTATTTACTGTGCCAATATGTAGTTTTTAGAGTAGGGAGTATATTGATAAACAAGCTATTGTCATAGTTGTTTGGTAAAAAATATTTTAAAGCCATTTTATTGTGTCACAAAGAGAGTAAGAAACTTGACAGCAGATAGTTTGCAATATAAGAATAACTGATGTTGATTACCTTATGTATGAATCGTGAGGTATAAGTGGTTTTTCGTTACTAGAGAGCGCAGTGGCCGAGGCAACCGGAGTGGTGTACGCACCACCACCAGTGAAGGGGTCGGCCGCCCCCATCCCCACCGTGCGTCCCCCTATTCCCCTTGCAGCCCCACCCGACCCTGGCACATAGCGGGACTCGCCCGTGAATGGATCCGCGAATCTGAGTACAGAATATAAACACTGATGATTGGACCATTATGTGCATATGTAACAAAAGTTCAAATGTACTAAAAAATAGATCTAGATGACTACAGATAAAATGCAATTATTTTAAAATTCATTCATCCATCTTTTAATATCAAATAAATAATTCAAATATGTAAGTTTGTAAATATAGATATTTGAACATTTATACTGTTTGTCAAGGAATAGATGTAATATAAAACCTTAAACTTAAAATATGCAGTATATTTTATCTATTATTTATTCAAAAATTTTACTTTTTCAACAGCTCAATTCGACGAAATTTTATTGAGAAATAATTAAGAAAGCAATAACAAGGATTTATTATTGCTTTCCTAATTATTTCTCAATAACATTTCGTCAAATTATATAAGCAATATTTATAAGCTGGCAACACTGTTCTGTAAACAAAGGAACATGATTCTGCTAAAAATTATAGAAATAGAAAGACTTTGTTTATTAATATAGTAATTCCCATTGTAACAGTAAGAATAAAGAGAATAAAAAAATCAACTCTGTTTTTATATTTATTACAAGTACTTATAATATTACAAATTTAAAACTCACCCATTACTAGATTGAGTCGGCAGTGTATCCAGTTTAGCGTTTGTGATGATAAAATTGGCTACTTGTTCCAGATACACTTGGGGAAGATCGTGTCTGAAATAATCAAAATAAACACATTACATTTAATATATATTTTACTTTTATAAAATTCTACTAGTTACTAAATAATAAATAAGAATAAGAATGCTTTTAGCATTATTTCCGCCTTGTACACACACAAAACATGTATTAATGAATAAATAAATAATAATTATATTAAACAAAAGAAAAGATAATGTAATTGGGTTTTTGCCCGCTATTTCGTACGTGTGGATAATAGAAATAGTAGAAAATAGTAGAAAAATGAAAAACAATGAAATAGACCACTTTCTAGATGGTGTATCAAGATGAAACATACACCAGAATTTTACACTTTTCTGTCTGGTGACGAGTGAACTCGTCATTGCATTGGCGTATAGGTACGTCCTCCTACCATGATGAGCAAGACCGTTTGAAATATAAAGCGTTCATGACGATGATTCCGGTCATGTGGACAAAGTCGCCTGTAAAAATTAGTAGTAGTATTAAATCACAAATAAACATACTTGTGTATAAATGCTTGTGCAGCGACCCATGGGTCTTCCGTTTTGTTGTAGGGCAGCTTCAGTGGCGGTGCTCCGTCCTTGATGTCAACACTGAATACGAAGTCATACTCCTGAAAGTATTATTGAGTATACTCTATATTGCATAATTGATTTGATCCACAGTTGGCAATATCTTTGGTTTGGAAAATAGTAAAGTATATAATATAGTGCAAAATGATAAACTGAATCTGATTCTGTTAAAGTGACATGAAAAAAAATGTATTTATTAATCAGAATGTGACGCCTTTTGTGGCAGTATAGTAAACTATTAATTAGACCATGGCACTTGATAGTATAAGATTTATATTCACAAGCTACTAATTGCTAATGAGTAACGAAGCACGCCGTACCTATAGTTAAGTATAAGACAGTATCTAATTTAGTGTAAATTAGTACTTAGTAATAAGAATTACGCAGTGTAGGGCGACTCCTCACTAGATGGAGTGACAACCTCAAATGCAAGGGGGAAAGGGATTGTTAGCAATAGAGTTTGACAACCCCATTGCTATCAGTATGCCCTATTAGGTCGACCTCCACGTAGATCCCTCTGGAAACCATCGTAAAGAATTCTTGTTGAATTCGTCACGATGGGCTAACTGACCTGCTGCATCCTCACCTCTCATCCTTCACTGGTGCCCCGCCGGTGTATACCGACAGCGCGGTTTGGTGTTACCATTCCATTATCACCCATACAAAAACCTCAAATGCATTACAGGGAGTCAGTGGATGCCGGTGGCTCTGAACCATTCCTTATGGCAGTCTATAGGGGAGGCCTATGTTCAGCAGTGGACAGATAATGGCTGAGATGATGACGAGGATTATGTATTAGAAATTTTAAACTTAAAGAAAAATCCATTGAATTTAGCATGTATATAAATAGTAGTGAGCACTTTTTTATGTTCAAATGTTTAAATTACAAGATAAATTTAAACATTTGATTTTATTTGAAGTTATTTGATTGTTTATCGTAGATTATTAAATACTCTGTATTTATTTCATTTTTAAATTCCTAATTAATTAATTCAGACTGTTTACTTAATAAAAACAAAACTAAAAAAAAGATTATAATGTGAATAAGTTTAAAATAAAGTGTATATATAATAAAAAAAATAATATACCTTTCCTTGATACATCGTTTTGCCCTCACTAGCAGGGTTCGCACCCATAACGTCTCCAATTTCATTCCACGTGTTCTCTGCAACACTCCAAGAGTAACATTTCACATTGGTGCCCCGGCGCACTAGCTTAGTCTGGCCGTCCGATTTGCCAGGCTCCAATAATACTTCTGGGCCTGGTATTCTGAAAAGTTTAAGTATAAAAAGTTGTTTATTTTATTATAATTAAAGAAAATTAAAGGGAGGGATTGTTAGTAATAGGGATCTAACAGCTCCATCGCTAGCAATATATCCTATCAGGTTGAGCTCCACGCACTTTCCCTGGAAACAATCTTGATTATTTATGAATGCGTCATGATGGATCAACTGGCCTACTTTCATCCACATCTATTCCTTGCCTATTCCTCACTGGTTCTCCGCCAGCGTATACCGATGGCGCAGGCGGAATTACTATTTCATTATTTAAGAAAAAAAATACCTTAATCCTTTCATAGAATAGTTAAAATCCAAAAATGCGATATATTACCTTCAATCATTCATATCTTTTATCTTCAATAATTTTAATAAAAGCTGTATAACATAATTCTAATGCGAGTTACAGCTCATTCGAATACAAATCTTTCACTGATGATATATTTATACAGTCCTTCAGTTCATTGATACCGAAAGATGACGTCATGTACATAATTCTATAAATAACAGAATTAGTATATACTCGTATATATAATGCGCACTTTCAAATTCTAAGTTTATTAAAACTATACCATACTCAGATAGTTTGTAGCCGCCGATTTCTTGTTGGGATGCCGCTTGCATTTTAACTACGTCCTCTTCAAAGGCTTTGAGGGTCGCTTCATCTGCGTATCTAGCTGGGTCCGCTGTAAACACTCGCACCAGTCCATCACTTGAACCTGAAAAGATAACATTACTAACATTATAAATGTGATAGTTTTATTGTATATTTATCTGTTGTGTATGGATCAACTAAATGTCAATAAATTTTGTATACAGGTAACATTTGGAATGGAGAGACAGGCTAGTTTTTATCACGGTGCTTTCGTTTTACGTGAACGAAGTCTCGTTTAAAACTAGTGTTTTTAATATCACTAGAAAAATATGATCCAACTATAAATCTAAATGAAGTAGTCAAAGGCATTTGTCGATTTTTGCTTTGAGGGTCACACTGCGCAAAGCATATCAGAATTCAAGGTGGCAGCCGACGATTTCTGCTGTCACCCAGATTAATTTACTTTGTTATTTATGTAAAAGTTATTAAGTAGTTTTCGAAACATGAGTTACAAATTTCCGGAGATTCTGCTAGAATCAATTAGTGTATCTATAAAGAAGAAAATAAATATCTGTCACGCCTGTTTCCCATTGGTAGGCAGCAACAATGGAACGCCGAACGCCACAATTAAAACAGACCTCTTTCGCTTACCCCATATTCATCAAAACTTTTTCATATATGCTCGCTAGTTACGTGTAGTACTAATTTGGACTTTCTTCAGCATGTTGCCTATTTGGTTGACATAAATACGTTTATGGTGGCCTTTAGTGACATCTCCATTCATTAGTGCGAGATAAATCTATTTCGTAATTCTTTTTTTTATCTATTCTCGTGATTAGACACAATTCAAATAAACTTAAATTTAAGCTCTTTTAAATAGTATTTATTCATGATTCCACCGTCCATTCGAAACTCGATTTTAATTAAAAAGAACAGGCATGAAATTCAACTGTCGCATTTTTTTAAAAACTTCAGTTATATAAATTATGAATTTGTAAATACAAAATTACTATGCAGTATCAGATAAACAATATCATACCAGTAACAATATCACCATTATCGAGACATGTCACACTCCATACCGAGTGTACTGGTAATCGTATTTCGCCAATGCAGTCCCCAGCGGACCAAACTCTCACACTGCCGTCTTCCCCACATGTTGCGAAACCACTGCTGAGAGCTGAATTTATACTGATACTGTGAAATTATATGTAAAAATATTAATTTTATTTTGATACATTCAACCTATTGACATTTACAATTATATCGTCATAATTGTAGAATACTGACGGATCTATATATGGTATGTAATATTTGTCAAATCCGTCAGTATTCTACGACTATGATGATATATATTATTTCAACCATTATCCATCCACTGCTGGACATAAGCCTTCCCCATAGACAGTCATAAGGAATGGTTGAATTATGGTGATATATATATATATATATATATATATATATATATATATATATATATATATATATATATATATATATATATATATATATAATATTGATTAACAAGTATTGATTAACAACATTGTGTGCTTTAACTGTATTATAATATATACTGTAACTGTTTTTGCCACTAAATTTAGCCTAGATACAAAATTTTATTCCCCAATATCCATATGCTATGGTAACCCCATATACTATCAGACAGGCCATATACTTGTTTGCCACCACAGTAGTATTAAAAAAACACAATAAATATCTGATATGAATGTAAGCAGCCAAAATCTATTTATTTTAATAAGAAAAACAAACCTATAAATATAATTTGAGTGTCCATAGTAAGTGTTAAGGCACTGTCCTTTATTAGTCCAAAGTCTGATAGAAGCATCATTTGAGCAACTAAGGAAAGTCTCTGGATTAGCAACTGCTAATCCTCGTACGCAGTCTGTGTGTCCTGTAAATACAAAATAAAGTTTAGATCGAAGACACATGAATAGATGAAAGTGGCAAAAAAGCATACAGTCCAACTGATGGTAAACAGTCACTGTATCTTATGGACACCTGCAGCACTAGGTGTGTCACATGGGTGTTGCTAAACCTGAAGAAACTATTGTAAAAAAATCTTTTACATTTTAGCAATTTCATATTTTTGCTATTATATATACATTGATGGGGTGTTAAATGCATATCAACAACTATAAGTTATAATAATCGAGTGTAAGTTAATATGCATATAACAATTAACCATAGTAGTTTTTTTAATGAATGATATAATGGAGCGGTAATCCCACCTGCGCTAACGGTATACACTGATGCGGCACCAGTGAGGGATGACAGGTGAGAATGAAAAGGCAGGTCAGTTACCCCATCATGATGGGGATACACCTGGGATTTAGCATGGTGGTTTCCAGGGGGAACAATGTGGAGGTCAACCTGACAGAGTATTTTTTTTTGATGGTTGAAAATGGTATGGTAACCCCGCCTGCACTAACGGGATACGCTGGCGAAGCACCAGTGAAAGGTGATAGATGAGAATGAAAACAGGTCAGTTAGCCCATCATGATGAATTCATCAGGAATTAACCATGATAGTTTGCAGGGAGAACCGTGAGGAAGTCGACCTGGTTGGGTATATTGCTAGCAATGGGATTCTCAGTCTCCATTACTAATAATCCCTTTCCCCCCTGACAGGGTATATTGCTAGTAATGTAACTGGTAATCTACATTACTAACAATCTCTTCCCCCAAACCATGGTAGTTAATAGGAAGAACCACGTGGAGGTCAACCTGATAAAAGTATATTGCTAGCAATAATGTCAGTAGCTAGAATCCATTACTAGCAATACATTTCCTCTAAAAATAAATTGTATTATGATTAGTATAAAGCAGCCATTACATTTTTATATACATATCATAACTATAATAAAAAAAATGTAAGTACCAGTTAGTGTAGATATTGGTACTCCCTCCTTGTTCCAAAGTTTTATTGTTTTATCAGCAGATGCTGTAGCATATGTATTATTATGCAGTTCCACCACAGCCCATACGGCTGCCTGATGACCCTTCAGGGTAATGGGGATTGCATTTGGGTTATTTAGATTCCAAACTTTTGCAGTACTATCCCAGCTAGAGCTGCAAGTATTAAAATTATTATTAGTAATGTTCATGTTACAATGACAATTAAAATATGTTCATATTAAATTCCACAGAAAAATAAAATAATTTGTTTAAACTGACAGTAATTACCTACCTACAGTTTATCATTAATTAAAACAAGTCAAGTTAGATTATTTAAAACTTTTATGTTATTGTTATTCTATATGAAGTGCATTTTTATTTCCACATTATCAGAATTTAATAAATATAAATTTGAAAAATTTTCATTATTTGTTGATAGAACACTAAAAGAATTACTTTCTATGTTATATGTGTAACCATAACAACTCATTGTAGTCCACTATAGTATTTTATATTTTGTTTCATTTCCTTAGATGTACAATATTATGGAGAAGAATTTGGTGACATTTATACTTTGTCACCAGAAATTGTTTACTTATGTAGGTGTTCAAAAGCTATAATTAAATAATAATCATTACCTTAACAGCACTCCTGAGTCCTGTCCTGACACAACACTACAAACTACATTCTCATGGCTTTCCAGAGTGATCTGAATCATTCCATCCTGTAAATTGTAGCCTATTATCGTGTTGTCGTTGCTTCCTGTTACCACTAGACCATCGTGGAACGCCTCACAAGGTGGAATCCAGCAAACACAAGACACAAAGTTCTTGTGGCCTTTATATGTGACTACGTTAACGAAATCTTTTATTCTGTACAAGAAATTTTAGATTACTGACATTGGAAGTATCCGGAATCATAATTATTAGGATCTATAAAATAATACTAACCCTTCGGGGTGCCACAATTTTGCAGTTCTATCACGAGAAGCAGATAATATACAGTTTTCTTTCGTTATTGTCACACATCGCACGTCCATTGAGTGCCCATTTAAAATTGCACTTAACTTATAATCCGGTATAGCCATTGTGAATTGTAAGTATTTTAGTATTTCAAATACAGAATTTCAGAAACAAATCAAAATATAACAAGGAACTAGCTCTCTTAGTTGCGGAGAAAGTTGTCAAATCATGTAAAAGTACTCTGTGTTGACAACATTGACGCTTGACGTCATGACGTTAACCGATAGGACATTATTTTACCGAAGATAGAAAACATTTTGTTTGATTACCGACGTGTTTTATAATTAAAATGAATACTAATTAAGACAGTTGCACACAAACACAAAAAAGACATCACCTTTTTTATTTTAACTTTCGAACTTTGCTTAACTTGTACTGTAGATATAACTATAACCTTATCAAATTCAAATAAAACTTGCTTGCATATTTTCTACATAAATTCTGTCAAATATATAATTTAGTAATGTAAAATTTGTCACTGATAAATAATTGACAAATCAAACATTTCCTATACATTAGCCTGCTATGACTTGATAAAAATAGCAACGGATGGTATATTTTTCGCCCTCTTTTTACTAATTATATTTGCATAAGAAGAAAGGAGGCTATCATATGCTTTACAGTTTTTTTTTTATCATTCCTTCCTTTATTGTATGTAGTTCTTAATCTTATATATTGTTATAAATATTATGTATAACTTTATTTTACATATAAATTATGTATAGTTTTGGACTTTTGACGTCTCAACTATAAACAGGTCTATTTGGGTCGGAGTGTAAAAGAGATGGAATACATGAGAAACGTGAAAGGTAATTTAAATTCATATGCACAGAGCACGTTACCTTATATTTATATGAGTTTAAATTAATATACGTATGATTAATCAATAACGCAAATATATCCTTCTACCACAGACATATATGTCTCTACTTCTTATTCATAGGTGTCTTCTACTATTCTTCATCTATGCTTTTGATAAGAAGTGACAGTACCACCAACATGGCAAATGTGACCACCAACATAACAAAATAATGGCGCATAAATTGAAATTTTCGTTTCCATTATTTTTGGGCCCTATTATATTACACTAATATTTTATATATAATTTATATATTAGTGCTTAAAACCAGAGCTTAAAAGTCTTGTGAATTTACTACTTTTATCTTTATTTACTTACATTTTTAGAAAAAATTATGAAGGTTTGGAAAAACATTATACAGATTGTTCATTAGTCTTATTTTGTTTAATATATTGTATTAATAACTATGTTCATTAATTCAATATGAAGTAACTAAATAAAAAGAAATTGTCTTTTGTACTGACTGAATTTATTTGTCAGTTCGCGGCGCCAGTGTGGCCGGTGGATTGAGCTATAGATACTTGTTCATCATATACATACGTAGTGGAAAAATGGCGTCGACGGTGTGTGTTTCTAGTTGCCGACTGTTAGCAAAATTAGAAATAAATCGTGTTTTGTGTTTATCACCAATATTTAGGGATTTGTCAAATAACCGGGTGAGTTTCTAATGTTTTTCGTGGTCATGTGTTTTCATATTGTGGTATTTCATATAGGATCGTCGATTTTAGGACTTTCTTTCGCTCTGCACGTGTATATATCTAGTAAGTATACGTATGTACTGCAGCTGTCAAACGTCATCTAATTGTTTTTATTTTTGTTTATACTTTTTTATATTTTTAACCAAAGGTACTCAAAGTTTTTTTAGAATTTATAAGTCTTTTCTATTAGAAAAGAGTGATTATTATTTTAAAATATAGAATGGCAAATTGTAAACAAATAAAAATATACATGCACACAAACCTTATACATTAATTACACAGTAATTAAACACTACATAAGCAAGTTCATACCTAATAAAACATTGATTATACTCAATAAAAATGAAGTGTTATGATTTATTTTCTTTCTTTTAATTCCTGCCGGTTATTGATAAAATTAATTGCATTGTAGTCACGACCATGTCATGACTGATAAAATGAGTAACATAATAATTGTCTCGTACTGATAGTCACAAAGTAAAGTTTACAAATTTATTCTTAAAGTATTTTAATAACATAAATAAATATTTATATTAAATAAATAATAATTATTAATTTGGTCAGGGCAATTTAGAAATGTAAGAGTTGGTATTGCTATAAATAAGTACCTATTTATCATATACCCACCCTTAATAAATTTTTTTTGAACCACGTATTTAAGTAAGAATATAAACCAAAATTAAAAAATTCTTTAATAGGCAATACTTACTATATAATAATAAAAATTTTACGATAAAACTATAAATTTAATAGTACTTTTAAGTTAGGCAGGTGTATTTTTAAGGTTATAATTTTCATAATATTAAAGTATATAAGTAAATCTGAAATTGTTGTAGGGATTATTAAAGGTGTATTTAATAATCTCAATAATAAATAAATCTCAGGTAGGCAGTAATGGCTCTATTTTAGGGATTTAAATTATTTATCTTATTTTTATCGGATTAATCTATATAACCTAAAATTTAAAATGCTAAACAGTTAAAATTGTAAGATTATCGGCAAGATTAAAAGTATGTCACACTCTAGAGGTATTTGCAGTTCATTGCTCTTCACAGATGTACTTACATAAACATCATCTACCTATGTCTGTAGTTGACGTGTATGTCAGATAATTTAAGATTCTCATCTCTAAAAAAACATCGTCTTTAACCGTGACAAAAATTACAAGTGACAAAAAGAGTACATTCTGTCGATTTTATTTTCGTCTTTGTCCCATAGAACTAGATTCCAGGACTAAAATAATTATAAATTTTGGTCCAGAATCAGTACAAATATCGCGTAATAGCTATAATGTGCCGATATACAATAATGCAAGGAAACAGAGAATATCTTGCTTTTATTTTTTATGTCGCTTAGATACTTGTGTAAATTCTTTTTAACTATAATACTTACCTATTAAATTTAAATAATTTTAATATAACTATCTTTCCATAATTTCCATATTTATTACTATCTTGTTTACATTAAATTGTAGATATTTTGTACATATTACGTTACATAATAAAATCTATAATACAATTTAGTTAATTATGAATTGTAATAGGTATTATACGACGTCATTGATAAGCGACTGCATGATACTAATAAGTTTTTTTATAATGTTACTTATCTATTCATAGCACAAAATAAATAATAATAAGTAAATTATTTTCTTCTTTATAGTTATGAGCTTTTAATATCTCTTTCACATTCATTAAAAACATAATGATACTTAGACGGAAGTCTTTTGTTTATTTAAAATTAGCATTTTTCATTCATCATTATCATATTTGTCGTAAACTGTCCACCGCTGAATACAGGCCTCCCCCATAATGGTGGTGGGTGGGGATGTTGCCATTAGTTGCCACGCTGTGCAGGTGGGTTGGCAACCGCAGTCAGGCTTGGCTAATATTTTAAGAAGGACGCTGCTGCCCATCTCTCGATCATTAAGATCCGTTATTTTCCTCTTACGACACCCACTAAAAAGAAAGAAGTGGCCCTTTCTATGCCGGGACCACACTGCCATTTTCCATTAAACATGTCTATTAAATAACATATAGAGCTAGATTGATCTTTCATTGACAGATAGATCACTATTCATTCATCAATTCTAGTATTATTTTTGCGTTTAATCACTGATTTGTAATCATTTCGGATACTTTTCTTTCAAGCCAACTTTTATATGTAATTGTCGCATTGAAAGGGCAGGCAATGCATTCACGATGTTCAACCAATGGAATTATTTATAAAATATACATCAATGCCACTATCCCTTTTCACTTATTATTATTAATATATGTATATATTATTACATTTCACTATTGTGTAGTTATGTGTTGAGATTAGACTATTAAGACTTATATTTCATCTCGTAATCCCATTGGACAAATGACACTTTACATATAGAAGTCAGAATTCTCCGGAGTATGGGTGTGATGTGAGTGAAGTAAGAGATGTATTCATGTTTAAAATACAGCTTTTCAGCATTCGGTTTTCTCGGCTTAATCCATAAGGGACTGTTCGTGAATACATAAAATATGCTGTCTAATATATTTTAGGTGGTTGTCTATATTTCTTATATTGTTTCAAAGAAAAACTTGAAATAGTTTGAGGTAGATACTACTTTTAAAATGTGCAGCCCAGATCTATTTTCTAATCAGTAGTCGCGGTGATGGCAGCTAGGTGGGCACTTGGAACATTTTTTGTTATGTCTCATTAGATACGTATTTCAAGAACGACGGATTTACTCAGTCTGAAGTAAAATAGCTAAACAGATAAAAATAAATGTATAGGTATGCCTACGAGATCTCTCTTCAAACCTTACTTAAATAAAATAATAAAATATATCTTCTATTAATATATAATTTTGATTCTGTGATGTTGATGTTCCAATAATTATCGAGTAATGCTTGTCAATTCTCGTATCTAGTTAGTAGACGGCTAGATACGTTGCATAGATTTTTATTACAAGTCTATATTGTATCCTGTATTTTTTAAAATTTGTTAATTTACATTTTTATACCCTAATTTATTAATTTAAAGATATAGATCACATAAATCGGTAACAAATAAATATAATATAATTCACAACCGATGATGTTAAACATTTTTTAAATTAATTTAAAAATCTAGGATTAAAAAATTAAAGGTTATTTATTATTAAATATTTTCAAAATAGGTATAATATAATTTGATTATTGTGTAATGAATATATTCTGTAATGAATATGAGCTATTTATGTAGGTATTGTCATAATAAATAAATAACATTATTATTATTTATTATGGTATACTATTATTGTAATACTGTACTATTATGTTATTATCTAACGTTCAGGTCAAACATATAGGTAAGTATGTTAGCGAAAAGTTCAAAGATCAATTGCTCGATCTCATGTTACCTATTTCTTAAATTAGTTAAGTAAATAATTTGTTAAGAACTGATTATCTTCATTTTTTTTTATTGAGTTCTAATATGTAAAAAAGGTAAACAATATACGAATAAATATTCTTTTTAACACACCAATTACTTTATGAATTTTATCTAATTATATGCATCACCATACTCTATTAGTTCTGATACATTTCCTATAATCATAAAGTTTGGATAAGCATCTCCAATTAATATTATTCCAATCACATTTGTCTTATAACTTTAAAGTTATAAGTCAAATGTATGACACATTTGACATAACATCAATACAATGACTGATTTACGATGTAGGTACTATAATTTAAGGATTTATTCAACAAAAACCTGGTTTATAAGGATTCAATTAGTATAGGATCAACACAAGAATAAACTATATTGATTGGTAGAAAGAATCATTAAAAGCGGAATATTTTGATTTCGCTGTTTTTGCTAATTCTGTTAGCAAAATATTTACATTTGTGATGATTACCGCTTTTTATCAGTTTACTACAACATTATGTAGTTACTAGTGACTTCCGTGGTATAGTACAGTCTCTTTAAAATAAAATAAAGCTTAAGTTATTTGCTGATAATGTAGCTTTGTATAGGCCATTTTTTTTAAAATCGGATATATATTTTTTAACTATATCCATTACAAAAAAATCGTTTCCTTTTTATAATATTACTTTAAATAAATGTGCCAGCGACGATTGCGGCATAATAAAAATAAGTGCGTTTGTATGATTCAGTTTTAATGCATTAGTTTAGAGTACGTGTTGTTAAGATGTTATATCAGCGACAAAAAATGGGAGTGCACAATATTTGATTTGGGGCCTATGATGGGTTTCTTGTCATAAGTTTGAGAACCTCTGAGTAACGGCAATGAAATTCAAATCTCATATTTTTCTAAATTATATTGAGTGTAAATAAAAAAAAATATATAATAATTTATCTTATTATATTACTCAATAATAGTTAATTGACTAATTAAACTCAGGTTTCGCTCATGTGAATCTCTGCATGTCTACTTCCCGTAATGGCAGCATTTCCGGTATTTTTTCCCTTCAATTCTTAAGTTGTTTCTCACCATTTGTAAGATAAGTTTATAATCATATTCTTCTTAGAAATACTACTTAGTGTAGTACTGGTTTTTTTGTATACATAAATAAATAAATTTTGAGGTATATCGTTAATTAGCTTATTTAAGACTAACTATATCATGCTGCTTCGCCTGCGTGAATTATTATGTAAAGTATTCTTTGTGTTAAGTTAGGATTTAATTTACCCGTGTATCAAATTTAATTTAAATCGTTACAAACTTTTACATTTATTATATTAATAGTTTTCCAGGAGGAGAGAGGGAAGGGGTTATGTCTATACGAAACTTCGTTCGCATCCCGGTTTAGGCACTGGACAATTTTTGTTAATGGGTAATGATGAAATAGTAACCCCGCCTGCGCTATCGGTATACACTGGCGGAGCACCAGTGAGTGATGATAAGTGAGGATAAAAAAATAGGTTAGTTAGCCCATCGTGATTAATAAGCTTTGAATTCAGCACGATGGTTTCTATATCGAGGTCAACTTGGATGGGTATATTGCTAGCAATGGAGCCCTTAGTCTCCATTACTAACACTCCCTCCCCCCCGGCATTGGACAAGTATGCGTTGGGCACGCTAAGTTAACATACTTTTTTACAATCTAAGTATATATTATTAAGGATAAAACGATTTTTGGCATTTTTTAAATCGTAGAATTGAAAACCTCTCTTTTAAGGTAAGGTTAATGTTCAGTAGTGGACTGTTAACAGTTGATATGATGATAATGATGATTGAAATGAGCGGTTTCCATTTTAAATAATAACCGTTAAATTTCATAACTATTTCTCTCTCTACGATCAAAAAAAATATATAATCGTTTTTATCTTTGAAATTTGATAGAGTATATAATTTTTTTGAAATTTAAATTTTTTTTAATAAAAGAATCTCAGGATTGAACATTTGTCTTAATTGAAGATAACAATTGAAATATTTAATTGACGATTAAGTGCCAAATATATATTATTGATGATTTTTTTTATATATCTGATGCTATATTAATGTTCAGTAGTGGACTGTTAACAGTTGATATGATGATAATGATGATTGAAAACCGTAGATCCTATTCTCTCTCTACGAAAAAATATATAATCGTTTTTATCTTTGAAATTTGATAGGCACCTTTTTGAGATTAGATAAAGAATCTCAGGATTACATTTGCTCTTAATTGAAGATAACAGTAAATTTATTGTAAGTGCCAAATAAACAGATTGTGATATTTTTTATATATCTGATGCTATATTAAGGGCGTAGGTCCGCTATGCGTGCGTGTTTTACGCGAACTAACTGAAGTACCCTCTTTAACTTTTTTTTTAAGAACCCTATGTTTAGACTCTGATATGTCTGATATGTATGTTTTTACAACAGGAGTCATGGTGCCGGCGATGGCGGCCCGTCCGCCGGTCGTTCTTCACAAGCGTATGTGTACATGGATCCAAAACTGCACCTACAAAAGTTGACCACGAAAAATCTGACGGTAAGCAAAGGAAGAAAATGATGAAATGAAAAAAATCTTTGACAAATATAATAATATTATTTCGTAGTAAGTTAAGAGACCATCACCAAGGCTACAGTTAGGTTCGATCTGAAATATTACAGGATTTTCTAAATTATTATGTATAAGAATAAACTTAAAATTAAGTATATGACTAAAGCTATATATTTATATCAGTACTATATTTACTTGCAATAATTTAATAGCGTTATTTGAATACAGATCACAATTTATATAAGCGAAGCTTAAAATTAATATGTATTTTTAAATATATTATTTCAGAGACTTATTACTATTTAAACTATCATAACATGATTCTAAAACTTCAAATTCTTCAAAGACCATCTCTCCAAATTTTCCTGGCGTGGTCTTGCCTTGCTCTAAATTTTCATTTACATAATAAAATTTTTTTTCGAAACTATGTGTATCAGCTGATGATTTTTCTATTGGGGCTACTAATTTGCTGTTTTCTGTATTAATTGTTTCCTGCGGATTTGATTTTTCTTTTATCACTGCAGCAGCTGTATTAAAATCATTTTTAGATACTTCATTTTTCTGTATGTTAAAATCATTATTTACTTTTATTTCATGCGTAATTTTTAAAGGCTTTGTAACTTCATGATCTTTGTTTTCAAAGGGTGTTTTTACTATTCCTTTATTATAGCTTTCCAATCTACAAATTTTATTTTTTACTGAATTCTCATCATCACACATGAGTGGGGGGTCATCTATTTTAAATGGTTGTTTTCTAAATTTATTACGGAAGTTTTTATTATCATCGGTTCCTGTTAGTTCTAATCGACTACTACAACTGTTTGATTTTACTAATTTAAATTTAAAACCAGGAAAACCTTCAGTACGTTTACTGTCTTGTTGGTTCACTGATTCCGATGATGATTTAAATAAATTACTCTTTTGTTTTTCATTTAACATTTGTTTATGCTTATCAGCTACAAGACAGGAGCACTTGCTGCCTTTGCATTTTGTTTGACAAGAGTAGCAGTCTCTACTGCAATTCTTTTGTAAGCTTTTTATTTCTTCCATTATAGCCTTGGTCATAGGACTTACCGTCGAACCGCTTTTTGAGTTTAAAACCTTGCCTCCGTAATATGTTATAGAAGTTCCACATTCTCTTATTTTTTTTAAAATATCTGGACTTACATACTGACTTTCACAACAAAGATCTTGATTCATGGAATCACATAGATATTCATCACTCGAACTGTATACGTTATCTTTTAAATTTTTGTTTGAATAAGGACTTAATCCGTCAGTTTCATATTCGTTGTTAGAACTAAGATCTCCACTGGACACACCGCTTGAAAGACTAACATTATCCCATTTTTTATTGCTAAAATTTGTATCAATAGTTAGCTGTCGTATTACTTTTTTTCTTCCACCCATTTTATTTCCTTTAGACTCTTCATTTAAATTTCTGTAAGAAGTAGCTCTTCTTGTTAAACCAACAGAATCTTCAACTAACGGAGGATCTTGACTCATCGGGCTCTTCATTTTTAACGTATCTTCAAAAAGATTTCTTACTTTTTTAACTGTATCTGGATTTGGTAGTTCTTCCTCTATTATTTCTTTATTAACTCTTATAGGATGGTAAAAGAAATGTCGGCGTATAGCATTTTTAGATTTATCAATTTGCCCAGAATTATCATTTCTCTTAAACAGGGTGGGTGGAATTTTGCAAGTGTCTGTATTTTGATTTTTTCTGGGTGCCGGTTCTACTTTTGTTCTTACGGGCTCTATTATTACTATGTTATTATTAACTAAGAGTTCTTGAAAACTATAGTTTTGTAGATATTGTAGTAAACCATCAAATTGGGCTTCTTTTCGATAGTTTGCTATCATACTATTTTTAAACAGTTCTGATTTCATTACTTTATAGCGAACATGATCAAATTCGTCACACCCCTTTTCATAACTTTTGGCTTTTATTAATGTAGCTTGAGTTTTTTGATTTTGATTATCCTCACAGGTCAATTCCACAATTTCTATTTCAGGCGTATCTCTACATTCTAGTTCAGTAGTTTTAGGTCTTGGCTTTTCATAAGTTATTTCCTCAGGACTTTTCATAATTTTTTCTGTAGGCCTTTCTTCTATTTCAGAGTCACTTTTCACTTTTTCTGTCTCATCTTTCCATAGATGTAACTTAGTTTGACTTATTTTTCTTATACTATCTACAATTTTTACACTTTCTAATGACTTAATGATACTTCCAACTGATAATTCAGGTGATGGACAATTATTATTTTCAGTTTTACTTTCATTTTTATCTATATTTTTATCGATTTCGTTGTTTATAGTCATTGTATCATTTTGATCTGTTTTGAAATCTTGTTTGATATTTTCTTTCGATTCCGATGTTTTATCTATAAGTCTCGACCAGTAATTCTTAACAGAATTTAATTTTTCTTGATACTCCATGTCTGTCTTAATTGCGTTGTGTAATTTTTCTTTAACACTGGATTCGTTTTTAGTATCATTATATTCTTTATTATCAATTTTTATTTCAGATTCTTTGACATTATTTTGCATTTCATTTTCTTCTTTTATATTATTTTTTTCTTCATGAACTGGTACATCTTGTTTTTTATTCTTTGAATCTACAACTTGCAGGATTTGAGGTCTTGTCATATTCGTATTTGTTTTCTTGAAGCTAAAATCTTTACAATCTTTTGAGTTATTATCTTTGATTATTAATTTGCGTGGTGGTTTTTCAAATTTATATTGTGCGCATGAAATTTTATCCGTTGTTTCTTTTTTGAGTTTTGGTACAGTTGTTCTGACTATCTTATTCAGTTTTATAGTTATGAAAGGATCTTTTGGAGTATAATAACTGGAAGTATCGATTGTACTGTAATTTAGGTCCTCGTTTGATATTTCATTTACTTCTTTAGTTTTATCAAGTTGTGATTCAGGATTTTTATTTACAAATTCTGCTATGGGGGTTTTCTTAATAATTTGTTTATTTATTGGCAATTCTTCTGTTTTTATAACTGATTTTTTTTGGTTTTCACTCGAATTTTGAGTTAACGGTGGATTAATGACAATAGTTTGATGACCACTCAATGGTACTAATGCTATATTAGATTCGGCAGATGTCTTGAATGATTGAACTCGAGATAATAAGGAGTGAACATTAATTTCCTCGTTCTGAGGTTTAGTTATCTGTGTATTGTTAGATATATTAATAGTATTTTCTATGCTGTTAGGACTGGGTATACGATGAATATCGTCTTCTGTGGGATCTCGTTGTCGCAGTGAATAATGTTTTTTGATTCCTAATTTGCTTTTCTTTTCTTGTATTGATTTGTTAATGTTATCATTTGATAGAGATTTGATTATATTTATTTCTGGCCTGTATATAGAATTTATTTTTAAACTTTCAGATTTAGTTATTAGTTTATTATTACGTATAGTTCCCTCTATTTCATTTATTTCCCTTTCGTTTTGATGAGTATCAGAACTATAGTAATTTGCGTCTTTATCGTCTAGATTAGAACTTTCAACTGTTATGATAGAATTTAAGTCGTCTTCTAATCTAGAGAAACTGTTTATTATTTGTGGATCTGAATATTCCGCATACGAAGTAGTAGTATGTTTTATGTTATTATTACGATTAATTTGAGATTTATTCAACTGACCGTAATTTTGATTGCTCTTGTTACATAAAATTTCATTAAAATGAGTATGTGCTATTTCATAAGTATTTTCACAAGGCACATCTTCTGGATCTTCTTCTCGTAATTGTGCGTCAATGCGCTCTGATTTTCTTAAACATTTGCTGATATTGATATCGGGCAAAGAGTAGTATTGATTTTCAATTAATGTTGTTACAAAAGGCTCAGTTGTTATATTTTTGGAAGAGGTACAGCTACTTCTTATAGATTGTCTATCGTTATCTAAAAATGTATTACTCACATAAATATTTTCTGGTTTATGAACTTCATTAAATAAACTACCACTTTTGCTTAGGAAGGAATCTCTTTTAATATCTGCAAAAGTTTGTTTCTTATTTACCTTTGTGTATATAGTATCTCGTTCACTGTTATGGTTTTCAGAATATATAGTTGGTGATGCGACAGATGTATTTTCTTTAAATTGGGAATCGCAATATTCATCGATTTTTTCTGCTAACGAATTAGCTAGATACTCTAATTTATGAGATTTATCTGCAGAAGAAGCAATTGAGATAGATATATATGAAGTTATACTATCAGGAGGGCTCGATCTAATTTCATCGTTTTCAGACGCTATTGAGTGTATGTCTTCTTCAATTTTAATTTCACTAGGCTTATCCAATTCTTCAGGCTTGTCTTTACTTTCATTTACTATAGTTTTGACAGAAACTTCTTCATAAGAATTTTTATCATTAACAGTTGCAGATTGATTTAATTGTTGCTGGTCTATTTCGCTGTGTGTAACTGATAAGCTGTCGTTGGTAAGTGATTTGGGAGTATTATTTTTAGATCTTTGTCTGTCTTCGTTGTCAGTGTCGTGATCGTCAGTAGTTACATATAATTCTTTACTATGATTTGGTGACGTAGCAGATCGTTCTGTTTCAGGGGAAGAGTTATCTTTGTAATGTTTCCGATGTGCTTCGAAATTATAATGTTTTCTTACATAGTTTGAGTCTAAACTGTCGATTTCGCTCGGGTTGCGTGAGTGCCCGATGCTATCTTCGGAAAGGTTCGTCTGTTTTGTTTCCTCGTTTAAATTAGGCCAACTTCCACTGACAGATCTAGTACAATGGCTCTCGTTTCTTGATGGTGCGTCTTCTTTATCGGACTTATTATTTGGTACCTCTTGTTGTGTTTCACTATCTCTTTGTCCGTTAATATCACCAAAACAAGAGGCAGTACTGTCTATGTAAATACTTTCTAAAACTTCTTCTTTCGTTTGGTACTTGGCACGTCCAGGTAACCTGAAAAATACGGGTTTTGAAAATGAATAAAAAATGGTAAAATCTAAATATTAGCTATTTAATATTATATAAAAAAAGGTTGAAATAGTTAAGGGAGTTGAAAGTTTGAATGTAATTTTTCGAGTTGAGAAGTTAGACACGTGAAATTTTTATTTAGATAAATTAATTTTAGATTTAGGCTCTTGGTTTAAAACAAAAAATAATAAGTTTATTAGCCATAATTTACCCCTAAAGATGTGATATGAAATTAAACTTTGTACAAGAGCGAGCGAAGCCATGGGAAAAAGTTAGTAATAAATAAAGACTAATACTTCGATTTTCTCTTGGGTTTCTCAGAAATTCTATTATTACACTTTAATAATTTCATTTTACATAGGCTGACTTTGTACAAAAATAGTTTGCTGGGTGCTTCTGCCCTATTCGTGTTTTTGCCGTAAAACTGTTGTGTTGCATGGCTGGGTTTCGGTTTGAAAAGTGGGATTTGGCAGTGAAATAACATGGTACAAGTATAACACATTTGGTTTTTAGGAATAGCAACGCATGAGTAGCATCAACATCACAGTATAATTCTGATATGTCCATGATACACTTCATGTTTATATGCAACAGTTACCATCAGGTGGGCCGTCAGCTTTGCTATTCTTATTTAAGTAATACTTCGTAAAGGAAACGATTTATCCCAAGTTTATTGAATGAAGATTCTAGGTTAGTTGCCTTTTTTTTTACAACACAGGTGGCAAACGAGCATGCGGCAAGTTTCTTTCCTAATTGAATACCTATTCAATGTAATGTATGATATCAATACTAATTTATCTGAGCTTTCATAATAAATTGTTTTTTTTTGTAGTAATTATATTGAGTTATTACCTGTCTTTAAAGCAAGGCTTGTCGAATAGGCGGGCGCGCGGTATGAGCTGAGACCTTTTACTCTTCGCGTGATTTTGAATTTGGAGGTCAGTAAAGGTTTCTTCTCTTATTACCGCTAGACTTCTACTACGCCGTAAATTGGAACCTTCGGGCTCTTTATGTTTGCACAGTCTCCCGTAACTGCCGCTGAATTCTGTATCTGAATTTGAGAACCGCTTTGTAGTAATTCCTCAGCAGCTTTCGATCGAGTTAAATGTTGATAAAACTCGTCTTGTGGCAATTGCACAGGAAGCTTGTAGTAATCAGCTAGTTTGCTCTGATATTTCTCGTGTTTTTTGTTCTTACTTTCGCAGGTATCCTTGTCCTTGTCTTTGCTCTTGGACAGTTTCCTCTTTTTGGGACGTTCGTCTAAGCTTCTTTTCAGTTCTAAGGAATTCCGCGGTCTGTCAAATTCAAGTGTCTCTGTAGGGTTTTCAAAGTATTGGATATCACCGACGGTGTTCGCCGCGGGCTTGTGCTCGTCCTGACTCGATTTCCTTTCGACAAGTTCTCGAAGGCGGCTTCTTGTGGAACTGCTATTGGACGTGACACTTTCCGGCCGTCTGAGCGGATATTCCAAGTTGGACGAGGATCGTCTGAACAGGCTTGTCTTTATCGAGCCGAAATCGTTATCGTCTTGACAAGAAGCCGCTGAGAAGTTCTGTGTTCTTATCCGGTCAACGTGATTCTGGCTAGAATACGACGCGACCGAGTCCACCGAGTGCCTGAAACATAAAATAGATTAGATTAGGATGTAGGTTTTGCCATTGAGATAATATTGTTTGCTTAAGACATTATTTTGGTTGATTTGACTCATAGCTTTTAATGTAGTCACGTCGTTCAAATATTGATAAAGGACGCCGGTGTAATTTATCGCTCGGAATGAGTCTTTGTTAATTCTAGTTGGGATTTGATGGCATTTGGAGATTTCTTTACGTTACTTAGTTTGACGTTCTCGTAGTGACTACTGGCGTAAGGCCAAAGTCTAGCCATGCCGTGGATAATAGTGCTCTTGTTATATATAATGATCTCGTTTCAACTATTCTGTAATGCAGATCTTCAATGTATTGTATCCGAATATTATATGTTTAGAAATACTGTTCAAATAATAATATCTCGAGTAATTTTAGGCAAGTATAATCATTAATGTTATTAGTGATACATTTGTTATGCGTTATATACATTTTCCTCATACGTTCATAAACGTGTTAGAGTTATATTAATACTTATAATTTGAATGACATATCAACTTACACAATATAATTCTTAAATAGTTAATATAACTAATACTAAAATAAAGCTAGCGGTTTTATAAACATGACCTAATAATATATTTTATATATACATTAGTATTTTTCCTTCATTAAAGTTTTTTTTTTAAGTAAAAACGTTGAAGTAAAATGACATAAATCGGTAATAAATAATTATATTTACTAGAATCCTTGTTTGGGACTAATGTATATTTATTAGATTTCAAATGTATCCTTGTAGATTTATGGTCTTATAAATATTACAATACTTATAAACATGTCCTGCCATTTTTGGTGTTTAAATTGAAATATTAAACAAGAATGAATTAAAATTATAAATATAACAGTTAATTTTACTATTTGAGTTTATTACTATTAAATCTTACTGTCATCGTAAACGATTTTGTTAATTGGTTGAATTATTGAGGTGCCAAGAGGCAACAAACAAACAGATACTTTCACATTTTTTTTATACAACTTAGTATGGCAAACAAGCTGACGGCCCACCTGATGGAAAGTGGTAACCGTCGCCTATAGACATGAGCAGTACTATGGACATAACAGAGTATACTGTTTCGCTCATGATACCCCCCAGTAAATTCACGCCATATCCCACCCTTCAAACCGAAACACAGCCATGCAAACACAACTACTTAACGGTTGAAACACGAATGGGACAGAGGTACCCAAGCAATCGACTTTTGTACAAAGCCTACTTCATTCTTTTTGAAGTCGGTTGAAAACAGTATACTCTGTTATGTCCATGGTACTGCTCATGTCTATAGGCGACGGTTACAGTTACCACTTTCCATCAGGTGGGCCGTCAGCTTGTTTGTCATTCTAAGTTGTACAAAAAAAAAACTAAATTCGTTTGTATTTTTTTTATTTTTGTTACCTCATAACTCCGTCAGTTCTAAACCGATTTGGAAAATTATTTTTTTTATTTAAAAGGATATACATCCAGATTGGTTCCATAGAAATTTTATTTAAATCGGTTCAGTAGTTTAGTTTTTAGATCAAAATAACTGGTTTTGTTACAATTGAAGTCGGTTTTTTTGTGGTACACAATCTTTAATTGTTTAATTATCGCTTTACAACAGCGATATAAAGTGGTATGTCGAGTCGAGGCACGGGATGTTAATACGGTTACTTTTGCTACGGAGAAATGTGTACGTGCTTTTTACGGGAAGCAAAGAAGTTTCAGAAGTTGTAACGTGCCAGCCATTGCAATTTTTTTTATAGCTTCTACAAGTAGGCACAAGAGATAGCTGTTATTTGAAGACTAAATTAATCACCTCTAAAGAACTTTATTCGATAAACAATGTATTAGTAATAGCAAAAAAATGGCTTATAATTATTGTACTATTTTTTACTATATGTTAAAATAATAATTTAATAGAAAAACACTGTTGTGTGTGTTTTGTAATTAGTTTTTTTTCCAGAACACAATCTAGTAATAATACTAGTTGTATCCTATGGTTTTTACCTGCATCAAACTTTGTGCAAAATATGCTGTGCACTAAATTTTATTCAAATCCATTCGGTCGTTTTCAAGCGTTTTTCTGCTTTTTCTCAGTTTATGCAGCGTCTGACGGGATGGATATAAAACATCAGAATCCGGCTATAGTATTCTTGAAACTGAAGAACTTTCCTCAAGGGACGTAGGTCGTAATATAAACTTTGAACTTTCCAAACAAACTGTCCGGTTTCATGCATACCGTCACTGTACTCGTATTTGGTTTATTATACCTTTATTCTGGTACCATTGTATTATTTTACTGTATCGCTACATAACAGTTTGTTGGCGTGGATAAATAAACAAAAAAAGTCAAATGACATTATGATTTTAAAAAATATATATTTTATAATATTAACTTGAAAAAGGTGGGTCTCAATTCCGTTGTATTTATTTTTATGTTTATTACCATTTAACTCTGTTATTTATAAACCGATTTAGAAATATATTTTTATATATGCAATGATATACTTTAAGATTTCTATAAGATCGTTATAGAAATTTTATAAAAATCGGTTTAGTAGTTTAGTTTTTAAATCAAAATTACAGGTTTTACAACAATTGAAGTTTTATTTTTGTGGCATCATATATTAAATTATGTTGTTACATTTCACCCCTAGGATGTCATAGGAGATGACTAATGAAATAAAACACTATAAACCAAATCAAGGTGAAGAAAATTCGAAATTAAACGATACCAAGCCACCTGGCCTGGGGGCTCTCCTTATTGATATTCAATGGAAAGTTTATGAGTTGTTATGGTTTGGTATGCAAACAGACAATAAAGTTCTAGATATGTTTAAACCACAAATCCGTGTATACACGCGAAACTGCGGTCAACAGTCTTTGCTGAATTTAAAATCACGTTTCTTTTTAGACACTGATTTATAAACATTACAGCATGATTAGAAAATAAGCCTTCGTAATCACGAAAGGAATTTCTACTTAATATTCTTTAATATTTCGATAACAAGACCTTAGTCGTTTTAATATTGAAGTCCGCAGTGAAGGACACGCATTTACAGTTTGACACTAAGCCAAAATGGCTTTGTAGCTATTAGAGATATATTACACTGGCCGATTGATTCAAATTATTTTATTTCCGCTATTATTGTTATTTATTTTGGATATCATTTGAGACTTTTAATCTTTCTTATTTATTTTTTACCGGTTAAGTTATACATGTTTCATCAGTTACAACGTGATCTCTTGCAATTAGGGTTGAAATATCGGAGTGCTCATATAAATAATCGTGGTAAAAACTTGTTACTATGTTATTCATATTTAGGATTTTGTCCTACAAAAATGTAACTTTCTGTAAAACAAAATCCTTTGTCAGTTGTGACAATATTTATATAGGACCAACAAGGAAGTAAATGTAATTGAATAAAAAATCGCGTAACTAATGTATAAAAAATACAAAATGTACTCAGAGATAAACTTCGGTAATGATCATCTTATAATAACTGGCGATTCACCTCGTCTTCGAACGGGTAGACAAATAGATAGATAAATTAGTATTTTATATGAACTTTAGTAGGCAAATTTTTGACAAATTTAAAATTGTAATATTATTGTAATTTTCGTTAAAGCATTTCTAGTTTTTTTTTTAAATAACATGTCACTCGTTGATAATGTATAGCTTTCTATAGGTGAAAGAATTTTTAAAGTGGGATGAGTAGTTTTTGAGGTTGTATACAAACAATCAAATATATTAGAGTATATTTGATAGTATATTATATCCTTTACTAAGATCTGGCGCTTACTATACAGTGACCTCTAAGAGTTGGATGTCGACGTTAAAAGCAGGAAATTAAATCTATTGTGCGTGGCATTAGAAAAATAAACTCTTCTACTCGATTATTTTTACATGTAATTTGTAGCATAGCATCTATCTTACTCGCAGCGTATTTAAAAGAATGTGTAAATGAAACAGGAAGTCTGGGGAGCTTTATACATTTTTGTCACTCACAGTTTAAATATTTTAAGTGCCATCTAAAAATAAATTCCTATATTTTATTTATTAACCTTTAGACTTTCTTTTGTAAACAATACTTTAAATTAAATCAAACAGAAAAGTTTATTTTATATAAATAAAATATTTTCTATCTATTTTTTTACGCTACGTAATATTTCAATTGCTAATTCTGAATAGATTTGATTGAACAGAATGCGATTTTTTTTTAATTTAAAGGGTTCACTCCCGTATTGGTATCCATACTGTTAACTCTTTAAGGGTCGTCTTTGTGTTCTGAAGCAGCTTAATGTAACTGGAACGGGAAGTCAGAGCCGCAACGTCCTTATTGTCTTAATGACAGTCATTAGTTCGATGACAAACGAATTGCTATTGATTATTATTATCGATGTTTTTTCATGAATTGTTTCGCGGTATTTTGTAGTAGATAAAGTGTTGGATTATCATATTGTTAAAGTATTAAAGTTGAAAGTAATATCTTTTACTTTTAACGCCTTTAAAAATACAATCATAGTAAATTACAATACATTTATAATATTAGCAGAGTCTAAAGAATTTTTCTTTCCAATGACCACATCTGGATAATCATACGAGAGATAAAAAAAAGCGTTGGACCACTGGTTATTTCTTACACTGTAATATTAGTCGTCGTCGTCGTGGCCGCATTAGCTGTTTACTGTCCACTGCTGAACATAGGCGTCCTTTATATGAGGGCTTTTGCTAATAGTTGCCATTCTTGCCCTTCCTTTCCCGTTGATGTCGTAAGAGGCATCTAAGGGAAGACGAGGGCAGCACCAGCGATGGGCAGCTTCTCTCTTCAAACATCTCAAAGCCTAACTGCGGTTGCCTAATCTGCCTGTTAAGTACGACAACTACTAGCAAAACATTTCAGGTGAATACATTCCTTATGAACCTTACTCCTAGTATTTCAATAGTTTCGCGTCCTGTATATCCACGAGAATATCTATAAATATTCAGGAGACC